GTTGTTGTTGTTGTTGTTGTTTGGGTGTAAAAGAGAGTGTGAACCACCAGGGTTAAAGAGTGTAAGAAGTTTGTTGAAAAGTAAAGAGAGTTGGACTGAGGAGGGGAAGAGTTGAGATGAGAGATGTTTCTTGACCTTATATAGAACGATTGAAGGTGGACTTGGGCATGGAGTGTCCTCGTTCACGATGACAGATTATTGTGGTCCCCTGTCTGTTGGTGTTTCAGATCGAATTGAGGCATGTCACTTTGCAGGATGAGGTATGATTGGAGGAAGAACTCTGAATTCCCCAATTCTAGAAGCCATGGCCTGTCTAATTTTTGTATGGGTCATTGGGACTGTAACATTAGACAGCCAGTGTCGGAGCTAATACGATGAGACTACGCACAGCCAAAGCTTTTGTGTGATCAACGAAACATTCGCGCAGACTATAGTCTTGATCGTCTTTTCATTCAAGTCGCGACAGTTGTAGAGCGCAATTGACTCCATTCCCTTTGCCGCAGCAAAACGTCAACCTCGAGCGCCTCAAACCCCCAAAAAGACAGGGCTGATGGAGCTAACTTGTGCCCCTGTCAATTCCGGAAATGAGGTGGATTTCCTCTCTGAAAACATGTCCGTCTTCGCCCATTTCCTGGGTCATCCAAGTCAAGCATTTTCTTAAAAAGAAGCTTGATTGCAGTGACAGATTTTTGTGGCTCTGACGAAGCTTGGTAAACTAGGTTGGCTTTTCCCATTGGGCTCTGTTCAGTGGAGTTTTAGGTGTCGTATGCACTGACTGGCGCCCATGTCAACTGAAACACAGACGTTGCAGACGCAGTTGACTGAGCGCTTCACCGTAGGTATACTCGTATAATCTACATCTGCCAATCTGATAAGCGACTGGTGTGTCTGTCGCGTGAGTGTTAGGGGCACTTTTAAAAAGAAACATCTAGATTTGACTGTTCGGTGTCTTGGTTCATCCCGTCTTGACATCCCTGTCTCGTTCTGCCCTGTACTGTAACCAGGAAATCGGAGACCGTAAAACGATCAATCAACGGCTACTAGTGTTCCCTGTGCCCCATTGCAATCTTTCGATTTAATGCGCCCCGCGAAGTGGAATCTTCCATGTTACTGTAGTTTTGATCTTTTATATTTTTGTTTGTCTGTATGTCACTGCGATGACTGGCAGTAGGCAGCCCGGTATTACTCAGTAGATCTTATTGTCGCATACCTACTTGCGCATTGCACATCAAGACAAGACCGTGGACTCATCTCAATTGACGCTTACCATCAGTAAAACAAGGTTTCCTGGGATCGCGGAGTCAGGAGTATCGCTATTCCAACCATGGTCAGATTTTGTCCAGTCTGGGCCACTGATCAGGCGGTAGACTTACCAGGCCCCAAACCATACTCAGTCGAGCATCACCTTGCGACCTGTCAACTGGAGGCCTAATCTAATTAATTAACGACCAGTTCCGTTCTCTTCTGGGTCCGGCAATTGAAAGGGTGTGGATCTTGAATCACCTCCTCTCATTAAAAACACGAGCACCTCTGAAACACGGACTCATGCTTAGCTCTGGCGCATTCGTTTCCTGACTCAGCACGGAATGTCCCGCATCTTGGATACAACGCCATGCTACTCCGTATACGCGGATGGTGAGATTATGTAGCTTCCAAGGTTATTATCGGCGATAGTGGACTTTTTCTTTCCTTGATATCGCATGTCACAAGGTATCACTCGGCGTGGCGCTGAGATTACCGTGTCCACCATCAAGATTTGATGTAACCCCATCATGTGTCTTCAGTAATTAAAACTACCCTACGGATACAAAAGAGTGAATTTCCCAAGAACCCAAAGAGCTAGACCGTCGTTATCTTAGGTTATCGAATAAACTCAATCGGCGATCGTGTGTCAAGGCAATCTCAACAACATCGTTATTCCGACCTCAAGTAAGCAGGAGGCAAGATATTTTCAAGCGCCGCCTTGATTTGCAACGCCAAAACCCGCGAATACCACCTGTGCTGCACCGTGAAACCTCCCATGACCCAATAATTCTCAACATGTAAATGGCGTTTCCACATGCCCCGGATCTCGCCTTCCGAGTCCACGCCCCATGTTGCGCCAAGGCGGTCAGCAATCTCACGAGGACCTAGAAGGTTGTCGCTGTCGAGGGCCTGATCTCCTCCCAGGATGTCAACGGTTGTATCTCGAACGTCGCGGTCTGCGAAACCGGTACACCAGATTACGGCGTCGGCAGCAGCTGTACTCCCATCTGAGAACAGCAGACCAGTCTCTGTAAAGGCAGTAGGCTCAACGCCTGCTTTAATGCCAGCTTTGCCTTGCGTGAGGATCTCAGTGCCACCAATATCAATGTAGTGTCCGCCTGCTCTCTCAATTAAATTCGACCACAAGGCCTGACTCGGATCCGCACTATCGAGAGCTGGAAATCCTGCTTTCCTGAGAGTCTCATAGCGGTCTGGCTCCTGTGAGGCCAGCATGTGAAATAAGTTACGGAGTAATTGTCCGCTTACGACGGCCGGCAGCGTGAGAAACATCCTATCTGCTACTTCGACGCCAAAGTCATAGGTCCCTAGGTTCCATTTATTTCGGATGTATTCCACAGGAACGATGTAGGTCGGAGATCGGACGTTCATGGTGGCTTGGATGCCGGCTGCTTGGCAATCTCCGAGAATGTCGAAGGCCGTGTTTGCTGAACCCATGATGAGTACCGACTTGGACGGGTTAGAAACTCGTATAGAGACAGTGACTTATGACTAACCTTGACCCCTTGATCTACCAAAGTTTGTCCGTTTTTATACTCGGAAGAGTGGATGCTCAAGCCCCTGAACAAATGCTTATCGGGCACGGCAGGTACATAAGGCTTTTGCGATCCGATGCCAGTTGCTTGAACCAGATGCTTTGCGGTCACTGTGAATTTAGCAGCAGGTGTGTTCATCTTTACAATCCATCTCTTGGTCGACTTATCATAAACTGTCGAGACGATCTTGACAGAAGTAATGACGTTCAAGTGAAAGGCGTCGACATATTTTCGTAAATGATCGGCCAGCTCGTCTTTGCTGAGAAGATGTTCCCCACGAAACCGGTCCTGATAGCCTTCAGATGTCAAGATCAGTCATCTCCATTATTGCATTCATGAGACTTACCCATGTACGGCATATCACAAGCTGGTGTTGGAATATGAAACTTCATGCAATCGTACCGCAAAGCCCAGTTATCTCCAACATCTGCGTGTCTCTCGACCATGACACTGTTGACACCGAGAGCCTTGAGACGAGCTGCGAGGGCCGCACCGCTGGAACACGGTTAAACACAAACATCGACGCCTTAATAGGCACTGACCTATTTCCAGCACCTATGATCAAGACGTCTGTCTCGATATCTTCTGTTCTACCTAGACGCCGGCCGGGAAACCGTAGAAGGTCTTGGTGTTCTGGTTGGATGTCCAGATGCGTTAAATCTGTGCTCAGAATCCAGATTTTCCAGTCCAATCCGCTTGTCGTGTTCCGGGTAGGAAGGAGGAGAGCTCTTGCGCTGCAGGCAGCCGCTGGGGAAGAGGTCCTGAAGCATAGTGACACGTCCAGGAATTGCTGCACAACGAAGGACGTCAACAGATGGTTCCTATGAAGATACAATACTATCGGAGATGGTACCTACAATGGTAGGTGTCGCTGGGACAAATACCGCTCCTTCTATGATCCACTCGCTATCACATCGCCTAGCCTGTTTCGTCTCAATAAGGCTCTTAGCAATTCGTAGATGCTCTCTAAAGGTACGGAGGTGCCACGTCAAAGCCAACGTGTCTTTCCAGTAAGCTTGTTCTGCAAAGAAGCATGCCTGAAGAGCATCGACATCGTTAGCAGCCAAGGCCGCATTGAATGCATCTATAGCTGTAGATGTTTGCTCTAGCTCAGCCGACTCTGAGAAAGAGATCAATTTGACAGTATCTGGAGACAGAATCGGAAGCGGGTGCTCGTCGAAGAGAGCACGCAAGTCTCCCGCAGGGGCGTGAATTTCATCAGCTTGAGCAACAGGTTACCAGGTAATGTTGAAGTTGGGACTGGCGTTTGACTTACTGGATGCCATTTTGTCAGTGTTGAACGAACCTACTGGAATGCAGGCGAAGGGGTGAGGAGACTTTTGGAATAAAACTTCGATGTAGGTATCCGAATCAGGCTTTGGGCTCGGGTTCCGAGGTCGAAACACCTCATATGTAGTCAGCACAGACTTGTGTAACATCTAATGAGGCCTTGAAATGCGCCCCCGAAGTACCCCTCAAGAAACACTGGTTTCGTTCTTTCCACTTCAGGGAACAATGCCATCAATCAATTATTCCTCCACCCGGCCGTCTCGAGGTACGCAGAAACGTCTGTGTTCGCTAGCGGTACTTCTCAGCGCCGCTCATTTAATCGAACTATCCAGCGCTCAACTGTTGTTGAGATGATGGCTGATCGTTCTCATGGACACCAAAGAATATTTGTGGTACGTACCTGTCAAGGTGTGAACTCGGTGGGCTTGTCAAATGATCCACTTTAATCCCACGTACAAGGTGAGCTCACCGAGGTCTCACCTGGAGATAAAAGACCAAAAGCGCAAGGCTGGAGGGTCACCTTTAAATAAAATGAACCGAGACACTTAATTAAAATAGTTGTTTGAGCAAGTTTATTTTTCCTTTTTGTTTTTGTTCTTCCTTTGCGTATACACGGTAATTTGGCGTGGAAAAGCCAATGGCTGAGTGCCGCCATCGAGCTCAAGGGTAAGTGTCGAAATATCATCGCACAATTTTCCCACTATAATATAAACGCGTTATGTAAGTTGTTACTCCATCATTTGTAACGACTGTTATCTCTTAGAAATATTTTGTCTCTGCCAGATCTCCTGCCTCAATCTCGATATCTCAGGTAGAAGAGAGGCCGTTGGGTGAGTCATTGACGAAGCAATGCTACGTTGCATGACTATCGTGGAGTGTTGCTTCACTTTCAAAGATTAGCCTTAATTCAGCAGGCACAGCGCTAACGTCTTGAGGGATTGGAGTTGAGGCTTAGACGCAAGACCGTTGTCAGGTTCTCGCGTTGCAATTGGAAGACGCGTTGGTCGCGGCCATTTCAGGAATAGGGTGGACAGAATTACGCGAGGGAGGACTGCCGATCATTACAGCTCAAGGCTGACTGTTCATTTTCGTCGACCCCCTCACTGGCCCTGTAGGGCAAAAACCCCTGCGCTGATTCCTCTTGGCAAGAGCTATTTGTGGATATCGCTTAAGATTTCACGTCTGAACTTGACCCAGAAGGATCAAGATAGCGCCATTGTCAGACGGCCCATCGGCATGATAATTGGGCCGGAGCTGGACGTTATGCGGCACGGATACTCTATGGTTAGTGCTTACTTCTTGGCAGGGGCTTTAAGAACATCTAAAGTCCCCGAAGGAAATTGATGTCAAGCTTCTGCCAGTTCACATTCACGGTTCTTCAACCATATACTATCGTTTATACAATCGTTAACCGCTATACATTCGTTAAACTTCAAAAATGGCTCGCTCTATCGCCCTCGCTGCCCTTCTCTACACCCTGCCTATCGCGGCAAAGACCGACATCGACGGCTGCACTTCCTTCACCAGCACCGTGACCGTCCGACCCGAACCCGGCTACGGAAACACGTACCAGAAGGTCATCTGGTACGTCTCCGACACTCTCGAAATCTGCGAAGGAGTCGACTGCGGTGGCGGCCGAGCTCCTCCCAAGAGCGTCCCAGGATGTCCTCTATACAAGGGCACCGAGACCGTTACACCCCGATTCCTTGATAGCGACCCCATGGCGGAGGAGACTGCTGCCGCTGAGCCTTTGAGCCGTAGTGGTTCGGTCCTTGTGTCTGGAGTGTGGTACTCTGATTCCGACACGACTATTACCGATACTGCCGATTACACCGGTATCGCAATTACTGCCCCCATGACCACCGATGCTACTTCGACTGTTACCAAGATTTCTGCGACTGCTGCCGATGCTGCTGAGACTACCGATGTTGAGAGCCTCACCTTTGTTACTGATAGCCCCACGGCTACTGGTCACAAGAATGCTACTGCCACCGGTTCCGAGGATGCCACTGACGGATCTGCCAAGCCTTCTTCCGTCGATGTCGACAATGCTGGTGCTGGAGTTATGGTCAAGGCTGCCGGTGTTCTCGCTGCTGTCGCCGGTGCCATTGTTGTGGCTCTGTAGAGTTGGACACTGCTGGTATGGATTTAACGGCAAAGGATGATGATGATGTGCTAGGATATAATGCATTGACGGAAGCCTGATTATAGATTAATAATTAATGCCGAGTCTTCTCATGACATTGGCGCTTGATGCCATTTGGTCTATAAATACTCTTTGCATACATTGAAATCTCTGTACAGCCTCTATCTACCAGCCAACACCGTTGAACTAGCCGTACTCTGCGCATATTCACTATGTCTCGCAGTAGTAGGCGAGTCCGGCTCAACATGCGCGGGCGCACTATCCACGGTAGTTTCAATAGTCCTAACAATCCCACTCAGATTATCCCTCCCGTTCCGCCCAGACTCCAAAGAACTTTCGAGATCACCCAGGTCGCCGCCTCGTATAAGCGTTGAGTTTCTCCCTGTCATCGCCCCAACTGTTCCTCCAAGTGGCTTCTCTTTCGGTTTTAGAGTTGCTGTTGTAGCTCGCGCGTTGGTAAGGTTGGAGCTGTGATAATACATGTCGTCTGCGCCGCGCGCACCGGAAGATCGCACGATTTTGGTGATGAGTTCGGCCATCTTCATCTCGATTTGGAGCTTGAGGAGGTAGGCTACTGGATGGAAAGAGAGGTAGCTGGACTGTCAGTAAAACGAACCATTGCCATAACTGGGAATCGGCACTTACACTAAGCTGCTTGGTAAAGACATGAGTCCTACCAACGCCACCTATAACTGTCAGCCGTGAAAGAGCCAGATGTTGCAACTCTTACATCTAAGGATAGAGACAAAAAGATAAGCCCCAAGTTCATTCGATACAACGGCACATATTTCGTCAATCCATTCTCGATAAGCCTCGATCGAACAAGGTAGATGAAATACCCATTCAAAACACCATCTACCACAGCGAAAATAACCTTTTCGACCCGATCCCAGATACCATTCAACCAAATCCACCGATCGTTAATCTGCAAACGGGCTGGCAGCCAGATGATAAAGACGCTGATGTTGACGGCTAATATTATCGCAAAGACGAGCCATTTGAGACGGGTGGCGCGGTCCTTTGAGACCATCAATAGACCGATTCTGTTGATGATGATCTGAAGAAGGAATTGGACTTGCAGTGCCCAAAACAATGCTGTCTTGTTAGATCCTGTCGTGAAGAGGCATCGGGAAACGAACCGACTGAAAAGTAAAAGCCAAAGCTAAACAGGTTAGCACAACCGAGACAATTGAGATGGCACGAGCAGGATACCTTGGTGTGATATACTGTCGCTGAAATCCCCAAGCCAAACATCCAAGAACCATACTACTCAGCCATACCACCCAAATCATACCCACATACGCCGTCACGCGATGACATCTTTTCCAAGCGCGCCAACTCTGCTGGCTACCCTTTGTAAATGTGAAGACTGCCGCGCAGAGAGAAAAGCCCCAGAAAATACTCGCCGTGTTCATGTCGACTTCGTTGGGGACTTCACGGACGTAGCGGTCCGGTATCAAGTAGCCGTACTGGCCCATGTTAGCAATTTTTGAGCGGCATCGAAGGACCTAGCGGAAGTGAATAATGAAAGAGGGATGGTATTTGTTAAGTAATGTTTATGTGTCTTGGCGAGCGGGACAAGAGAAGCCACAAGCGGAGTGTTTCATTAGAATTAGGCATAGCTGCTGATAAGAAGGCCGGTTCAGATTCCTAGACGCGTCAACGCGGGCTTTTTTCGTGTAAAAAATGCTTTGTCTGGTCATAACTGGCTAAGAACGCTTTTGCGCTAGCTGATTCAGATGGATCGAAACTACAGAAACGGACAGTGGCGTTCGGGATGCTAAGACACGCTTGATTTAGAGTGATTGATCTGCGACAGGAACGTGATTAGAGGTATGTGAATGAGCTATTGCTTGGACAACAACATGCGCTGTGACCTATCACATGGCGAGTCATTTATCTGGGAGTTGTTGGCGTCATCCTTGTTCAAGAGAAGATGACTTAAAAATAGAAATGGGTCGATTGATAAGGGCGATATGTTATATCTCAATGTCTGTCGTGTTTACTATGTAGGAAGGTGGTTAGCATGGCGATATCGTCAGCTCAACCGAGGATAATTGATATTACAGGGGAAGAAAGAAGAGGTTTGATCGTACTCATCCAAGAGTATCCACGCAGAAAGTTTACAATGGAAAGTGACCGCCTCTCCAGTATCCATGGCATGGCCAGGCGCCTTATGGCACAACACAAAGAGATCTAGTGCGCGCTGGTGGTTTAGGTTCCAAACTTGAGAATGGACTTATGTGGCGCTGCAGAAAGAATCATGAGTAGTGAATAGAGTCCTGGAAATCTTTCAAGCAGTATCAGGATTTTCCCACTTGGCACCTGACTCCAGCATCAGGGGAAGCGTGGTGGCCACCCAGAACTTCATTGTTTCGTTGACCTTATGCGCTTCCCACCTTATTCTCTAAACCCAGATTTCGCCGCGATGTCATTACGTGAGGGGATCTTTCAATCGACAGTGTGTTATACGGTTATACGTAAATGAGGTTTAGCCACTGATAGATCAGCTATGGCAGTCAAAGATAACATGAGTACCTAGCAAGGAAGGAGGTGGGGACTACTACTGGTGACTTAGTAGGTAGGGAAGGAGGCGGGGACTGCTAACAGTGAGCACCGATGCAGGGGTTCCAGTGGTCCCCACCTCCTTCCCTGCGGTTAGTGTGCATTATGAAAAGAGACATATCTACCTATCTATCAAAACAAACCATTAAATACAATCTATCGATACAAGGTATCACTTTTCATATGCCTAGGTTCAGTTTCTTGTTCTGCATTGCCCCATTACAAATTGTTGAAAAAATACTGTCCTAATCGTTCTCCATACAACAAATTGGCTTATTTTTCCATGTATCCACAATGCTCAACCCCCACTCATCAGGCAGCCAAGCTACTTCCTGTCAGCGACAATCTGTCTCCTTCACCATCAGTCACAATGGAAGCAAAAATTGCTGGAGAATGGCTTGTCAACCTTTACAGCGCAGAAGCATCCTACCGCAGCGAAGATCAATACCTCACATCCCTCGAACAACTCAAATTCGACGAATTCTTCACTCAGCATGGCTCATCTCCCGTATTCAAGAAATATCATGTCGAAGCGATCCGACTGTGTTTATCAAAGGAGAGGAAGCCAGAGTACCGGAACGCGAGGGAGCTGATCGCTAAAGACGAGACAAAGAAGTTGTTTGTCGATGAGGATGATGTGCTACAGGTTGCGGTTAAACGGGCTAGAATAGACCCGGACTCGGAGGGGCAAGGCTGGTCACCGGCGCAGTTTAACCCTGAGCTTCAGGAGATGGTGAAGTTGCTGATGGAACATGGAGCGAGGGTGAATTGTGTCGACCAAGACGGATACTCTCCTCTTTATTATACTTGCGTTCTGGGAGATTCGGATCTATTTCATTATCTACTGCATTGCGGCGCCGACCCTTCGACATTGCAGAAAAGGGTAGTCCCAGAACAAATTATTAAAGAGAGAGAGGTTTCAGAAGTACCTTTCGAAGATGAAGAAAACGTGAATCTTCTTCAGGTTACACTCGACGCTCTGATATCACCCCAGCGTATCTGGGACATGACTTGGGTTGGTTGGCCTCCAGGGGTCAACTACAACAGACCTCTCTGGAAGATGTGGATCAGCGCCAGTTGGGGTGGTATTATACACAAACTCATAAGCGAAGGTCTTGCATATGACAAGAAAGATCCGGGCCTTGTCATGCTTCTTCACATCGCTTGTTATCAAGGAGATAAAGATGAAGTTGAGGATATCTTGGAATACGGCGTCCCAGCGAACATCCCCAACCCAAGAATCATAGACGGCGGACAAGGCGAGGGTTCAATGTTTGGGACGGCAATGCTTGCTGCAGCTGCTGGTCTGCACATGCAAGTCATCGAAGCTCTGATCGCGCACGGCGAAGACCCGGGTTTGAAGAGGTGGTGCGCTTTCGATCGCGGGGCGGTCAGTAAAGAATATACGCCTGTGGAAATTGCCATCGCTGTTTCGGATCGTGATTTGGATCTGTTGGATTTTCTGCAGGCTTTTGTAACGAAGGCCCAGAATCTTCCCAATTCAAATTATCAAGCGGTATTGACGTGGTTTGTTGAGTCTGATGAACTCGACTTGGCGAAAGATTTACTGGAACGTGGTGTGCTATTGAATCAGGTTCCTCTGAACACGAAGAGCGTTGGAATGGCTAAGCTGCTTACATCGCGTGGGATCAGATTGAGTCCGATAGCTCTACAGCAAAAGGCGTTGAGGAATAAACACTTAGATCTCCTACGCTGGTGTGTCAACGAGTACGGTCCGGAACTGCCGACCGACCCACACTCATGGGGCAGAACAGGCCTTTGGCTGATGCAAGACATGTCTTATATCAGAGAGATCGAGTATCTTATCAAGGAATATCCTCGTCCTCATATCGACCAAGTCCTGTTCGCTCAGCTACAAAACTCGAAGAATGAGCAGAAGCGCACTGAGACAAATTGGCTCCACTTAGCCGTCACCAAGCACAACCTTGAGGCTGCTAGATTAATTCTAGACGCAGGAGCAGATCCGACCTGTCCTGGGTTGTGCGTCGATGCTATGACGGCTATGAGACAGGTCGGTAGATGGTGGGATATTGCTGATCAATTGGATGTCATCAGGATAATCGAGGAAAAGCTTTCGAAAGACGGGAAGTGGGATGTTCCGTCGTACGCTGACACGAGAGCAAAGATATCTGAAACTGTTGTTGCAGAACGACAAGTTTTGGACGAGAAAGTGAAGGAGCTGGTGGAAGGCCGACAGGAACTTCCGCGTACGGTACCGAAGACTAGGGATCCTGCGGTTGGCTCTGCCAATCCTGCAAGCTCTGCAAGTAGCGCTTACAAACTGTTGTTAGGAAGCAGTTCGTTTCGACTTCTGGAGCTCCTACCATCAGCTAACCGATCTGACCCTCTAAGTGGCCGCTTGATCGACAGCGATATCACGTTCCAGCCAGAATATGAAGCTTTGTCGTACGTATGGGGCGACATCGAACCAGCCAGGTCTATAACACTCAATGGCACCGAAACATCGATAACGCCAAACTTACACTCTGCACTCATTCATCTTCGTTCTGCAGATATTGTTAGAACTATTTGGGTAGACGCATTATGTATTAACCAATCCCTTTACCACGAACGAAACCAACAAGTTCGAATCATGGGCGATATTTACAAATCGGCAAAACAAGTCATAGTTTGGCTTGGCGACGCAGCACACGATTCGCACCTAGTGTTCGATCAGTTCAAGGATGATCCTCCCGCAAACTCGTCAACGCCTCCAGATGTGCAACGCAAAGCCTGGGTTGAAATTTTCAAACGACCCTGGTTCTACCGCACCTGGGTAATCCAAGAAATCGCCCTCTCACGCAAAGCAATTATCATGTGCGGAGACGATACTACCGTCTGGCGAAATGTCAGCGAGAGTTGGAAAGAGGACTTTTCAGGCCAAGCAAGTGGCATTTCTACAGGAGGGGACCATCCTATTTCGGGATTTGACCCCGGCAGTCATGTCTTTGGCCTTAGATTGATTGTTAGAGGCTTCAAGTGACAATCGGAACCCCATTAGTATCCTAGAGTACAGCCGTTTGTGCGAAACGTCTGAAGTACGGGATAAGATTTATGGAATCTTGGGCTTATTCGAACCAGGCTTTATTGAAGTCGATTATCATTTACCTGTGGGGGAGATTTTTAAGCAGTTCACAGAGGCTGTTCTTACCTCAACAGGTGATTTGAAGATCCTGAAATGTGCAGGCCTTGGCCATTTTCCGTCCTGGGTTCCTGACTTCACGGATTCGTCTAAGAGAAACGTTTCTGAGTATTACTGGTCTCCTCCTTATCGAAGAGAAGCTCCAAGTCACTATCACTATCGGGCTGCAGACAACACGCTGATGAGTGTCCCGCGGGAAGACTTGGCTAGGAAATATCTACCAGGTCTTGAATTCTCAGCTGATGGGACTTTGACTTTGAAGGGTAAGATGGTCGATACTGTCCGCGCAGTGAGCATTGAACTTCCGGCTGGTGTTAGCCATGCTCCTGGCACGGCAGCTTTCGCGTCTGTGATGGAAGAGTGGGAAAAGCTTGCGAGAACTTGTATTCCTGGGTGGAGAGGGTCAAAGGATTCAGTGTCGCACGCTTTTGCTGCCACAATCGCTGGAATGTACCATGGTGACCGTTCCAAGGATGATGATGGCTTTACACAATGGTACCGGCACTATGGAACAGGTATTCTCGAAGAAGCAGACCCATCGATGTTCCTCCGCGATCACGAGTTCTACCTCTGGTGGCGCAGTATCGGAAGACCTATCTCAGACTCTAATGCAGACTATTATCGTCTTCGTGAATTCTTTCAGAAAATGATGGAAGCTAGCTATAATCACTGTCTTTTTACCACAGACGAGGGATCAATGGGCCTTGCGGGTCCTGATGCAAGGACGGGTGACAAGGTAGTTTACTTCCCAGGCTCAACTGACCCTTTTATTCTACGAAAGAGGGATGACATGCGATGGAGCTTGGTAGGAGACTGTTATCTGTATGGATTGGATATCGATGAACTCTTTATGGATGAGGAACATCCTGTTGAGGATTTCGGGATATGTTAACCGAGGAGTGTTTCATCGAGTGGGGGACATTCATCAAGAACAGATAGGTTACCGAAAAAGCCACGTAAAAGGCAATTGATTGGTGGATATAAGAAGGTTATGCATGTCAGATTCTTAAAATCATGCGAATACATGTTCATGATACGATACAAGGCCTCATACATCTACCGTCACCAACGTCACAACTATGGACTCCACTTCATGAAGATCTTGATCTTGTATGGACCGGGCCGACCAAGCGCCCCATTCTGCCCGTTTCACCAAGAAAATTCCCCTCACCATCGCATTTCAACCCATAATAAGGTTCCATACTCTCTGCTCTAGTGCGGCGGGGGCGGCACATTTCGGCTTTGTTGCCAACTTGGATAGTGGTTGATGTCATGTGAAACGTCTTCGTCATATAAATTCCCCGCTGAGGCTTGATGTCTCAATCTTATTTCACTGTTATCTAAACGACTTGACCTATCGTGACAATGGGCGAGAGAATTACACCTGAGGCATTCAAGCCTCGCATGCTTATCGATGGTGAAGTATGTATCCCACCAACCTGTTGAGATGGATACTAATGCGTCATAGTTGGTCGAGGCATCAGACGGCAATTCATTCCCCCTCTACGACCCAGCAACAGGCGAAAAAGTAGCCGATGGTACACACAACCTTCATATGTCCAGACCTCACACACTGACAATTGCCAGTCCCCGAAGCTACAAAAGATGATACCAACAGAGCTGTCGCAGCCGCTGCCCGCGCATTCCCAGAATGGTCTGCCTTGGACCCCGCAAAGCGTGGCGCGTACTTGAAGAAACTCGCCGCTTTAATCCGCGAGCACACCGATGAACTGGCACTCCTCGAAGCCAAGTCTATGGGCCGTCCTCTTTCCGAATTCCTGGAAGGTCACATCACTGCGGGGACTTATGAGCATTATGCTGAGGCCTGGCCGCATATTCAGGGTCAGGCAAGTCTCAACACGCCTGGTTATGTGACCATGACTCTTCGACAGCCTTTTGGTGTTGTCGCGGCTATTATCCCTTGGAATGCTTCACTCTTGTTCTTTGCTGGTAAATCGGCTCCTGCACTTATTACTGGTAACACAGTGGTTGTCAAGAGCAGCGAGAAAGCACCACTTGGAGCAGCAAAGTTTGCGGAACTTATCCAGAAGGCGGGGTTTCCTCCTGGTGTTTTTAATGTTATTTCTGGCCACGGGAACCCTTCTGGTGCTACCCTTGCGTCTCACATGGATGTTCGAGCAATCAGCTTTACTGGTTCCAGTCCCACTGGTCGCGGAATTCAGGAGGCTGCTGCCAAGTCCAACTTGAAGAAGGTCATTCTTGAACTTGGTGGAAAGTCGCCTGTCATTATATTCGAAGACGCCGACCTTGAGCAGGCAGCCAAGGACACTATGAATAGCATCCAGTGGAACAGCGGACAAGTCTGCATGGCCAACTCTCGAGTCTATGTGCAGGACTCCGTTGCAGATAAGTTCATTCAGGCTTGCAAAACAGCACTCGCTGCCGCCAAGGTTGGAAACCCGACTGAAGAGGGTGTCAAGCAAGGTCCCCAAGCCGACAAGGTTCAATATGAGAAAGTATTATCCTACATCAACGAGGGCAAGAAATCCGGCACTCTCGAACTCGGCGGAAATGGTAACCTCGACAAAATGGGCGGTTACTTTATCGAGCCAACTATCTTCCTTAACACTCCTGAAGACGCCAAAATCATGAAGGAAGAGATCTTCGGCCCAGTTGTCAACATCAACGTCATCAAGACCGAAGAAGAAGCTGTCGAGAAGGCGAATGATACAGAATATGGTCTATATGCTGCTGTGTATACCAAGAATGTTGACCGGGCTATGAGGGTTACTCAAAAGCTGAACTCGGGATACGTGGGTATCAACTGCACCAGTCCTACGACTGCAAGGGATTTGCCTTTTGGAGGATACAAGGCTTCAGGACAAGGGAGGGAAGGGTACTTGTACAGTATGGATAACTTCTTGGAGATCAAGAGTGTGATGATGAAGGTCGAAGGTTCAAAAATTTAAAGGATATCGTAACGCAGAATGCAATTTGTTATTACTGGACATCTTACTTCAATGCTCTCGAATAGTCACCACCAGAAAAAGCTCTAACAGCAGTTGTCTAGACACCAAAACAGCTACAGCCCCGACCTATACAGCGTACGCAGCCTGTGGCTCCGACGATATCGTTACCACCGCCAATGGTGGACAAGGCATAAACTTGTTCAACTATAACACTGCCAACACCCTGGGGTTTTCTTCGGGTATAACCTCACCTTACAACTGTTGTGTGCTCTGCCAGTAAACTACGAATTGTATCTTCTCGGGCTTGTCCCCGCCGCCTGATCAGAGAGGATACGCTTTCGTTACGAGTGCCAGTAATGGGCCTTGTGGACAAGTCGCGAATATGGGTTCTGATGGTTAGATGTGGATGGATGAGCATCCTTCGGGTGTCTTGTTGATTATAACCTCAGTATAAAACTTAAATCTTACTTGTCGTAACTTGGAAAGCCGAGAGCCATTGTATTTCCATGAGACCAAAATTTGATACCGATTTGGAAAGTTAGCTCCGGGCCGGAGAGAAAGGTCTGACGTACTATGTATCTCAAAAGCCGCTTTGGCCGGAGAGATTGATTCCCGCGTGTTTCTAAAAACAAGCCAAGCCAAGAGTATAACTTAAAGTGGTCCAACAACTCTTTAATGGTGCATGTCACCTCCTTAGCAAAAGTTCTGTATTTACTATGCCAAATTTTAGCAGTGTATTCGAAAGCCTGCCCCTGGCCCTTACTTGACTCCTCTCCCCTCTTACCTGTTTCCACTAGACTACAAGAGATGAGCCCTTGGCCACGGGAAACAATATTCTAGAAGAGAAAGGACATTATCGATGTTGAGCATTGGGGGGTAACACATATAATAGAATATACAAAAGGGGATATTTGTTAAATCCATCTCACGGACTTTCCTAGATCAAGATGAATCAAGACCTTTCTTCAGTGTGCCGAATCAACTCTCATCACGGCTCTGGCTCCTCACACTCTCCCTTCGTACCGCTCACCACGCCTGGAATCAAATCCTCCACCTCAAGATCGTCATAGGAACCCATGGAGCACGAAGAGTCAGAGGGAGCCCAGGAGAAAAGGATGCAACTTGCATCGTTACCGCATTTCTCGGCGCATTCGTCGAGGCTCATGTTGCCATCTTTGGGTAGACCTGCCAGTTGATAGTCGCATCGAATGTCCATGTTGTATAGACACATTCTGTCTGATCCAGGGCAGATGATTGGCTGCGGGGGAAAGACAGGTGATGTAGTAGTTGTGGCTTGGGAGGATGCGATTTCCGAAGCACTTGTTGTCTCAGCAGTGCTGGAAGACACAAAGCTTGTGGCGAGGGTTGTGTCGCTGGTGAAATCCGCGAAAGCAGCCGTGGTAGTCTCGGGCGCAGAGGTCTCGATGAGAGGAGCGGTAGTAGTCTCAGATACGGAGCTCTCTGTGACAGGAACAAATGTTTCAAGGGTAGTGGCTGGAATAGTTTCCGAGGCAGAGAATGACAGGGTCTGTGTAAGAGACGTCTTGGTGTCGGCATTGACGCTTGTTTCAGTCTCAATGGCAGCAATGGCTGTGGTGATCGAAGAGGTGCCTGGTCTGCATAGTCCGGCGGCAGCGATGCCTGCGAAGACAGGAAGGGTAAGTAGCTGGTGAGAAGAACGCATGACGAAGGTAATGTTGTAAAAGGAATGACTGTGGTAGGGGTTAACACGCTGGGACCAGTGATGGTTTCTTTCCCAGGGCTGTACTTATAGTTATCAGTTAATGACTCCTTTTTGTCAAACTGTCCACTATGGGGCCTTAGGAATTGGCGGCGTGATAGTAGTCCCAATAGTTCCAGTGCAACGGGCTCGCTTGGCAGAAAACTATTGAAGCTATCTGGGAGCTGGCATTTAATAGTGCTATATCATGACCCACTTAGACCCAGCCTTGTCAGGAACAAGAGCTGAAAAAACACCATTTTCACATTGTTTCCGGACTAATTGCGAATGGTATTTAACCAATGTCCCATTGTTAATTTCCGGTATCTGTGGCTTGACTCCTGGCAGTTCTGTGCCCTGAATTTCGAAACCTGACTCATGATGTGAAATGTGCCCCGCGATGACCCGCTAATACGGCTCATGTCTACGTTTTAACTACTGAAGTCAAGATTAAGAATCCACATAGCGTCAAAAAGTTCGTTATCATGGCTGTCCTTTTGAAGACCGAGGCTTATTCTCTGCGGCGGTACGGCGGAGCCGCATACGAAACTGGTAATATAGCTGCTAGGCTGAAACAAGTATGCTGTGGGAAAGGCAGAATCATTCCGCGACAAGTTGTCTTAAGCCGGGCTGTGCTACTTCTGGTAACCTCGTAAGCTGCAAAAATCACCGTTTGGGAAATATGGACCCAAACGATTCATTTCAGGGCCAATCCCACTACTATACCACCCTCCATAGGATGCCAAGGTAAGCAGATGCATGTCAGACGCCTGCCTGATCGGGGCTTAGAGAGGGGAACAAATTAGAGTGCTGTACTCAAAATCAACCCACACGAAGCAATCTCTTACATATTATACGGCACCCTCTACCCAGTCAATGCTGAAATATTATCAGGATGGCTGTTGGAAACCTCAGTGGCGTAGCGCTTGCTGCACACGGAAGCTGCACGGACGCAAGTACCGCAAAGCTAGATACCAATGCAGTCGACGCACCAGCTATCCAGCAACAGGATGCCTTTGATGCCAAAGATGGTCTTTCAATCAAGAGTCTTTGGGCCATCTCAATCTCCAGTCTTTGTGAAAGCGATCGAACCATGTTCCAAATCGACAACGAGACCGACCAACTGCGAATTCTTGGCGACATCATTCGAATCATCGAGAATACTCTAGAGAAAAAGCGAAAAACGTCAATCTCGTTGGCGTCTCCCAGGACTCAATGGAAAGGAAATGGCTGTCCAAGATGTCCTGGAGAAGATGGCAGGAGCAGTTCATGAGACGATGACTATTGCGGATGCAGTGGTCTCGTTCGACCCAACACGCTCTGCTTCGCCTTGGGCGGGCGTCAAAGCAGTCCTCTCCTGAAGTCGCTATGTATGAGATTAATCCACCGCGTTAATATCTCGTGGCTTTGCCTCAACGCCTCTGCTGTTAGCAGTGCTATCCTAGAAGGATTGGAGGTAGTAATTCGCGTCATCTCGCGGAACAATGTCATTGAAGCGACTTATCGCCGTGAAGAATCGGTCGATTTACGGACTGATTTTGAAACAGGGCTTGACAAACTTTACAAGCTAGTTTTGGATTTTCTCTGCTCAGCAAAGAAACACTACGCTCGCAGCAGCTCGGGTAAGTGGTTGTTCGGACATACACTGCCATCCCGGATGACTCACGAGGACAACTGTCAGAAGAGGATAGTCACAAAGTTACTATCAAGCGGCATGGATTTGAACACCGCGGATGAGCTCGGAAGATCCGCATTAGAGTTCGCTGTCAACGAGCTCAGAGACAACAGGTTTGACCGCCGTCGAGTTAAGGGCGAGCTTGAAAGTAGATTCGAAATGCTCAGCACCCTTTTGCGCCACGGCGCCGACGTGTCTAAGCTTACTGAAGAGTGCCATGTGATCACAACTGAAATAGTCGAGCGGGGAAGACTCGACCTCTTGCTCAGATTCGAGGTGGGGGGTTGTCACATCTTTCCTCAGCAGCAGGGCCTCTCTAGCGCATTGTCAATCGCTGTCAGGAAAAGGCATGTTGACATGGTTGGACATATCATTGATACTCAGAAGCCCGGGGATACAAAGATTGACAGGGTTCTCGGGTCACTGGGAGGTTCTGGTTCCAGTGCACAAGAAGAGGACCAAGTGCAGATTGCGAGGCTACTCCTCGCAGCGCGTTCAAGTCGCTTAGTAACGATGCTGCCATTCCCACTGAACAGGGCTGCGAGCAACAAACATTTTCTACTCTACAGGACCCTTATCGCCGAAGCCGACCACAGCCAAGAGTCTTACATAAAGATGCTAAAGGACACAGTCAGAACACGGGGCAAAGGCGGCGAATATATTCCTGCCATCTGGAGACAAGTTGGCTCGCGACCAGATAAACTCTTCATATATAATTCGGCAATCACAGCCTTCACCCAGAATGTCACCAGTTCTTACACATCTAACTTTTCGTTGTTGCACATGCTCCTGCAAGGTGCTGATTCAAATATACGAGGCAGGTCCGGGGAGAGCCTGCTGTATCACACGGCGATTTTTAAGGTCAAGAAGAGAGAGTGAAGCTTCTCCTGCACTTTAGAGCGGATATGAGGGCCTTTGGCGGTGAACATGGTACAGCGCTACATGGATCAGCCGTCAGTGGGAGTCAAGGTGCGATGAAGGTACTTCTAAACGCTGGTGCTGACATCGACGCCCTCAATGAAGGGCTGGAGTCACCCTTAATTCTCTCATTGAAGCAGACTTGGCGCGTCTGTCGTTCCCGAGATGACATTGAGTGTATACACTGTTGCGCTAAACTCCTCATCGAGGCTGGTGCGGATATCAATATCAGATGCGGGGAGAATGGAACGACAACACCTACATCTGCTGCAATAGCAGCTGGTAATATAGACGCAATTCGCATGCTTTTGGATAACGGTGTGGATGTGCTTGAGGGAACAGGGGGCTCGGAAAGGATAAAGGATTCTTGCGAAGCGGCGGGATTATGTCAACACTGCAGGAGATCACTGTGCCCTGCCTTCATCAGAGAGAGCAAGGCATGTACGCATATGCTGGATTTACTTTTATCTCTGGGGTATTGAGGTAAGAAGATCCATTTGATAGAGACCGATCCTGTCTGGTGACGACTTCGAAGATCCTATGATTCGTATCTAGAATGCTTGTCGGTAAAATTCAACTTCACCTTTTCGATCGCCTCATCACGTTCATAATCCTTCTCGTCGTCCGGGATTTCCTTGTGTCCGTCCGATTTCTCATGGCTTTTGTCCGACTTTGCATGATCTTTTTCTGACTTTTCATCTGGCTTTTCACGGTCTTTGTCCACCTTGTCATGCTCTTGGTACAATTCCTCTGCAGTCGTTCCCTCGGCGTCTTCGATGTCACATTCCCTTACTTCTGGGTCGTATTTGTACTCATACTTGTACACGTCGTCGTTGTCAGACATCTTATTCGACTGTTGTAGGATGTTTATTCTGAGTGGTAGCTGTTTGGAGTGGTAGGTTCTGACTAGTAGTGATTTTGAGTGGTAGTGGTTTTATAGACTGGTTTCTTTGAGAAGAAGGTGTTTTAGAGGGAGGTTGTGGTTGGTGGAAGGAAAGAGAAACGAGAGACTAGAAGGGGGGTAACCAAGTCATTTTATTCATCCTTCTAAACCTTATATCAGGCGAGGGCAAAAGAAAGAGCTCATCTGCGAGCAACAGAGTTACAATGCTTCAAAGTGTAATCTGGGTGAGGAGAAACTTTGAAGGAACTCAAAAAACAAAGTCAACTATGAAGATCCAGAGTTATCGGCACAAGACCAAGCCGCTGATCCACCAGATACTTTATACGATGCAATGATGTCCACCACAGAAGCATACGTTCCAGCCACAGTCAAGAAGGTTCCCAGGACAATAATCGTGAAGCTCCACAGCACACCGATGTACCAAGTGGCAGATCGGTCCTGCTTTCCACGCTTCCAATTATCGTATAGCCACATACAGCCCATAGGCTGGAATGACAGTGACGTGGCAAGTAGAGCGCCAATGAGCGAAACGAGACCACTGAAAATAGGTATTCCACTGGCAATGACGTACGCCACCACAGTGATGCCGAACGTACATCCTATCCAGGATGCCCAATGGACAAAGGTATTGGCAGCCAAATGCTTAGACCCTCTCAATACACGGACAAACACGTGCTTGCTCGCCAGCTATGACTCAACGTTAGTTTCTTAGGTACTTAGGAGGGTTCGCACGGCTACATGGATAAACACTTTGAAGCATCATGACTCCAAAGCTTGCACGGGATCACAAGAGGTTCAGGGCAAACTTACATGGCAGGTCAACATAGTAGTGACGATCAACCCAGGAAGTGCGATTCCGTAGCTAACCCTCTTGATCAAAACACCCGCCGAGCCAAGCGCAGGCGATGCAACGTATGAGCCACAGAAGTAGTACACCACACAGCCAATAGCGATATAGCAAGCACTAATTACAGTTTGACACAGTATTAGTGATCTGGTGTAGTGTCTGGGATCTCTCATCTCTGCTGCAATGGAGAAGAACGCAGGCGTGCCGGCGTATGCGAAGATAAGGGCGCAGATAGCTGAGATGGCGTTGGTAAAGCTGGGTTTCTTGAATAGGTGATAGTCTGATACCCAGATGGCATCCCTTGGAGCTGCGGCGGGTCGATCTTGGATACCAACTGCGACTGTGAGAACGATGACTATTAAAATGTCAGCAAGGGTAGTCCAAGTTGAGTTGTAATACCCTACCAGAGGTGATAACACAGACTAGGCCTAACCAAGCGAGCCAGCTTAGTTTCCCAAGTGTACGAATACTCGCAAAGATGAAGCCAGTAACAGCTGCAACAGCCACAAAAGCAGCTGTACAGGTCCCATGATTGGAAACAGCATTAAAACCGATCGAGACACTCAACATGGCGGAACCACACACAAATGTCCAATCTGCCAAAAATGAATCAGCTTATTTCCCACCAATACATGGTTCATACAGGTCACTTACAAAGGCCAAAAGCGAAGCCAAAGATTTCTCTGCCCACCTTCCCAAACATCAACCCACCTGCATCATCGATACCATAAACCTCTCTATGTCGAAGCTTGAAAGTACCAACAATGTAATCTGACCATGTCGTTATGGCTGCTACAACGCAGAGGCAGATTAGGCCGGGTATCATGCCTAGGGTATCAAAGACAGATGGAATGGAAAGGATGCCGAGGCCTAGTTGGGTTTTCATCATGAGACCTGCCGTGCCAAGCCATCCGACCTAGACATGTTAGTATTGACCTTGCCATTCGTAGATCTAGACTTTTGGTGGTTTCTCACATTTCGGTAATTTGGCCCATCATCACTGATCTTTCCAAAGACTGCATCATGAGCATGACCAGGATCATCAACAACCTCTCCAGACAAAACCTGTCCTTCCTGATCAACCTTGTCTGAGCTCAACATGTTGTAAGTCAATCAAGTCCAAGCTTTCCGTATGCTCGCATTCACTTTCCAAAGATTTGGAGAAAGGAAAGTGACCCCGACATGAACCCCATTTTGTTCTCGAAATCAGGAAATTTTCTCCAAATCGTCTCCGATACTAAGCGCCAAGAAGCACGCAATTACTATTAAAGTGACAGATTGTATATGGATGAAGTTTAGACTGGCAAATTCTTTCACTGAGATCCCACTTGGAGCCCGATGTCGGATGTTGGGGTTAGATGGGCAGCGATATCATTGGTTGATGAGAACGAGGGGTGAGATTTCAGTGGACGGTCTAAGCTGCATTGGAGAAGCTGTCGTTTTTGTGATGTGATAGAATTGGAGATGACTACTCGGCTTAACAGAATATGCCTCAGTTCAAAGGGATTAAACTATTGATATACGAATGTTCATTTTAAATACAGCTGTCTTTCCCTTCTTGGGGGCCTGACTCAAGTCTGTTCTGCTTGGCTGTTTGCTTGGCTGTTTGCTTGGCTGTTTGCTTGACTGGGCTCCGAGTCTGGTCACGTGGGCTATCCGAGTGAGGAGAATAGCCGCGGTGCGATGAGAAAACGCGACGGGAGGAATCGGGACGCGCCTTGTTTGTCGCCCTCTCTTCTAGGAAGAGCCATTGACTTGTTACGACAAAGAACAATCACTCGTGTTGATGCCACAGGAAAGAAGGGCGAGCTCATGAAGTTTGGTGCCATGTTATCGCGACCATGACAAAATCTCACTAAGCCGAGAACGACTAGATCCGCCGGAGGGATCTTGGCCATCCTCTTCATTCATCCCAGCCTCACTCGAGGCGCCGGATCTAACTCTTCTGAATTGAGGGGTTCATCAATAGTTTCCAACGCGATACTTCATTCAAGTGCCGACAGCAGCCGAAGCAATATTGTTTTGACGGGCGTTGATCTCAAGTCAAGGTCGTTCGGGTGGTGATGATGAGACATTTGGGACATGGGGTTTAGCCGTGGACAACCGAGCGGACACGGCATGTTGTCGGCGCGAGAATGAGTGGTCTACATCGTCGAAATAGGCTTTGAGATCGGCATTGATGCAGTGAGATGCACGATTTTTACTAGAAAACGCCATCTTTTGGCTTCCGTCGCGTCACTGTGGTGTCCCAGAGCTGTACACCCACTCGTGTTTAGGGTAGGTTATGTCGTCATGATTTTTGGTCGAGGTACACTTCCAACGTCTTTCACTTCTCATCTGCGGGCAAGTTCTGTACCGTAAAGAGTAATGGGAAACTGGTCAGGAGTTAAAGAACAGTACTCTTTGCTTTGAGCATGCCTTGTTGATCGACCTGATCAGGAATAGAGCAATCGTGTTTGCCATGTGTCTTGTGACGTTTTCGCAAAGTCTCACCGAGATCTGATAAACCAGAGTCAATAGATCCAACCTTGCATCCCTTTACCCGAGCTGTCATTCGTCCCCCACGACCCCAGCATCTAAATCGCGGGGAAACAAAGATCTATAACCCCAGATAATTGGTAGATCTGGAGTCTCAACCCCAGATAACGGACTTGTCGGCCGGCCTTCTCGCCGCCGAAGCACGAGTCGTGGAACAATTCGGTCGATCTAACTCGATCTCTGTTAACGTTGAATCTAAATCACCACGTGAGAAGGAGAAGGAGGGCGGAAATGGACCGAGGAGTTCCCCGCTCATCATCAATACCAGGTTTTTGGGGATAAGATTAAATTTTAAGCTGAGCGTTCGAGAGCGTTCTGCTCCACTTTATTAGCAGTGAAATTGGTTTTGAGGAACTTGTTATTGGTTGATGGAAGTCGAACTCTCCACCCCCAGATTAGCTGGTTCTGTGGAGAAGTTGGGCATTGAGAGAATGAAATTGTCAATTCTCCAAGATTCTGTCGTTTCATAGACAGGGAAATCATGCCATGACTACAGTATACTCATAGAAACTGGACATTCTATAGAAGAGACATCGAGAGAACATTCTACAAACAGCAAAGATCAGCATAAATACCAAGGCTTGGCCGCCAGTGAAGACTGAAGAAACTGCCATTTATCCCTGCACCCATCACTAGACAAGACCAAGACCAAGACCGAGCTAGTATTATTCAGGGCAACGTCCCGCACGCTCTCATCAATTGAGTTAACCGGCCACCTCGCCGATCAAAAAAAACGCTGCCCCCTCTTTACTCTTTACTTCCCCAGGCATTTTAAATAAGAATATTGGGGCCCCCTTGGAATTCTCCATCTTTCCCCAGATCATCCTTCTCTTCCCCGCATCAACATCTTTTCTCTTCCTTTCATCTTGTCACCTTACTTGGATATCCTCTGAGGTTGTCACCATGTCCGACGAAAAGGTCGCGACCGTTGCCCCAATGGCTTCCAATGACGCAGACCCCAGCAAGACTCATCCTGATGTTATCGATCATGCGCGCGCTGCTGCCGACAAGGAGCAGAAGATGACCCTCATGCAGGGCATCAAGCTGTATCCCAAGGCTGTCGGTTGGAGTGTCTTGATCTCGACTTGTATTGTCATGGAAGGTTTCGACATTGTCTTGGTCAACAACTTTTGTGAGTCTTTTCAGCATTGAGTTTGTGTCGCAATTACTAACGGTTGCGAAGACGCCTTTCCTCAGTGGAATAGGAAATACGGAACGCTTCAGCCCGATGGAACATATCAAGTGTCAGCAGCATGGCAAGCTGGTCTGAGTAACGTACGACTCCTTCCAATATCCTTGACCTTCGCAACACGGTCACTAACACGACTGTCCAGGGTGCCAACGTCGGTTCCATCATCGGTCTCTTCCTCAACGGCTGGCTCTCCGAACGTTTCGGCTACCGCTATACAATCATCGGCTGTCTCATCTGGCTCTCCGCCTGCATCACCCTCTTTTTCACCGCCCAAAACGTCCAAATGCTCCTCGCTGCCGAAATCCTCTGTGGTCTTCCCTGGGGTATCTTCCAGACCATTTGCGTCACCTACGCCTCCGAAGTTTGCCCCATCGCCCTCCGAGGTTATCTCACAACATACGTCAACTTCTGCTGGGGTCTCGGTCAAGAAATCGGCATCGGAATATTGCGATCCATGATTGGACGTACAGATCAGTGGGCCTACAGAATTCCCTACGGTCTGCAGTGGATTTGGCCTTTGCCCTTGATTGTGGGACTTTGGCTTGCGCCTGAGAGTCCTTGGTGGCTTGTTCGCAAGGGACGTGTTGCTGATGCGAAGAAGAGTCTTCTTAGACTCACGAGTTTGAACCGCGAGACAGAGTTCGATGCGGATGAGACTGTGGCTATGATGGTGCACACAACTGCCCTTGAAGAGAAGCTCACGAGCGGAAGTTCCTATATCGATTGCTTCAAGGGTGTTAACCGTCGCCGAACAGAAATCGTCTGTATGGTTTGGGCGATGCAGAACCTGAGCGGAAACTCCTTTTCTAACTACTCGACCTACTTCCTCGAACAGGCCGGTCTTTCCACCGAGCACGCTTACTCCTTTGCTCTCGGACAATACGCTATCAACATGATTGGTGTGTTCGGTGCTTGGGCACTGATGTCGCAGGGCATTGGACGTCGCACTCTATACCTGTACGGATTGTGCGGTCTTTGCACTGTTTTGTGTATCCTTGGCTTCTTGGGTCTTGTGCCTGAGGCGGATCGGGAGAAGGGTGCTCTTGCTACCGGAAGTCTTATGATTGGGTGGGCTGTGGTGTATCAGCTTACTGTTGGATCGGTTGCGTACTCGCTTGTCAGTGAGCTTCCTTCCCGACGACTTCAGATCAAGACCGTTGCTCTTGGTCGTATCTTCTAGTAAGTTTTCCTCCTCCAGATTCCCAGACTCGATGACTAACCAGCCTTAGTGGTATCGTCGGTATCATCAACGCCGTGTTGACTCCATACATGCTCAACCCAACTGCCTGGGATTGGAGCAATTACACCGGTTTCTTCTGGGTAAGTCCCGCACAAACTCTCCATCCCCCAACACAAACTAACTTTCCCCAGGGTGGTATCTGCTTCCTCTGCATCATCTACACTTACTTTCGCCTCCCCGAGCCCAACGGTCGAACCTTTGCCGAACTCGGTGTCCTGTTCGAGAAGGGTGTCAGCGCTCGCAAGTTCGCTACCACAAAGGTCGATGTCTTCCACGAGTCCGTCGACCAGCATATCCTCGATGAGCTTAACAAGGCTGATCATGCTACTGTCGAGACTGTAGAGAAGGCTCCTGGTGGCAAGTAAACTTCACGACTGGACAATTCCTGCCGAAGGAAATCGTCACCGTATAAGGAGATGGATTATATGTATAATAACGTAAAATAATGAGATATTGACTTGATCGCGTGTCTTCTTCATGTGACTGCAAATTTGAGCTGACTTGCTGGTTGAAGATCGACTGTACATGATCGGGGGAACTGCATGCGACCTCAGACGGAGGTTTGTTCATATGGGAAAGGGTTTTGCAGATCGCAAATGCCTCGGTAATGAACCCCACCTGCCAAGTTGTTGGCCAGACTTGGCTTCATACATGAGTCAGCCAGTAACGTGGCCAACCAACGCCTCAACCTGACCCTATCACAGATATCTGACCACAAGCTTTTCGGTCTTTTTATCTGACAAAAAGATATCCTCTCTAGTAGTAATGATTATCACAATTCTTTCCCAATAAAGTTACACTTTTGTGGCGTCATGACTTCGATGCTTAAACAAGAGCAAGGAGGAAGTAAAGAACCCATTTTATGCTCAGCCCGAAACTTATGGTGAATCAGGCTAGGAAGAAGAAAAGTGTTGTGTATGTAACGAAGTTATGATGTTTCAAAAGTATAATTCGTCGATAAAAAACTTATCATGATGGTGTAGAGAAGGGACAGTCTCCTTTCATCTGAACAGAAGATATGAAGTCAACCACTAATACAGTTTGTCCCACCAGGGCCCCCAGACCTCAATAAACTCCCTTACTCAACGGGAAGCCACTGACTAGCCAACTGCTGAATCCACTCGGGACATGGCAATTCCACCTTGACACTGTCCCTCTTCTCCATCCACTCATAGAATGCCCTCAAACTGGCCAACTCAGGATCAACCACAAGATCCAAACCATATACATCCTTCCCAAAATACAGAACTGCTTGAAGCACACAATCCGCAACATTGACCTTTCCTTCATCCCCATTAAGTCGTGAATCGTTGTCATAGTACTTTGCCAAAAGCTTCAAGTTCTTGTAGCAATACTCCATTATGAGCTTCGAAGCAGTGGCATTTGTCGTCTCCAGTTGTACAAATAACGCTGTGCCTTTATGGCAGGCTAGAACGAATTGACTTGTGATTTCATCTGCGAGACACAACATGTCCCTCACTCTTGCCTTTTCTGCCGCTGTCTCACCCAGCATGCTACCCTTGGCCTGTTTGGAAAGCTCAACTTGCCAGGGTTCTTCAGGGCGGTCGCAGATGTCTTCAAAGTACAGCAGAATAGCAATGGATTGCTTGATGAACGACCCGTCGGGGAGGCGTAGAACGGGGACGGAGCCCTTGGGTTTGCGAGGAGCAGAGAGTTCACCAGTTTCAGAGGCCGTGCTTTCGGATATTTTTATGAGAGGTGAATTGAGGAGGTTCTTTTCAGCGAGATAGGTTAGAACTCGACGGGGGTATACACCCCACGAGAGGACGAAAAGTTCAAGAGGGGGATTCATTGGAATGGTAGTATTGATTGAATGAAAATGAATTGGATATTCCTGTTTCGCCAAAGACATATGCGCAGTTTTATAGCAAAGGTTGGAGAGTTTCTGTAAGCGGAGAGTTTTCGCTGAAAGTGCCCGGTAGGATTGCGGAACAAAGAATTAATGTGCGACCGGATCCTTCTGATGATAAGCTAGTATATGTTAGGATTGCGGAATGGTGACATTGAATCCTTCTAGTACACGCCAAAAGCCTCCGTCCTATGGAGTACCGTCTATGCAGATGATCGACATGGCTGTGCCATATGCCGGGTACTGCGGCCGGACACTTTAATCCAAAGCTGGGAAAGGTTTGTATTTACATTTATAACTATGAACTCAGTTGAAGTGAAATGCTCGCCTCATTTTCGGAGGCTCATGACCACACTCTACTTCTTGAAGTACTTGATAGGGAACTTGGTCCCCATCTCCTTGTAAGCAGCAGGGTTGGGGTGCAGACCATCCCCAGAGTCAAACTTGGCCAACAACTTATCTCCTTCGCCAATCAAGCTAGCAAAGTCAACAGTATGGTCAAAACTGCCATTGTTCAGAATGAACTCGTTGATAGCAACCCTCGTCACCTCCCTCTCTGGAGCATAGTACTGGTTTCCGAGCATTTGGGTGATGGTAGCTCCGATGCTTGTCATGCCAGCCTTCTTGATATCACCAGCGATCTGCTTATACGCTGCCATGAGGCCGGTCTTGATCTTCTGTTGAGTGGAGGCATCGGTGGCAGATGGACCAATATCGTTTACACCTTCGAAGATAACGACGAACTTGGCGCCGGGTTGCTCGAGAGCGTCGCGCTTGTAGCGCTGGAGAAGAGGAGGTCCGAGACCACCTTGGAGAATGGCGTTGCCTCCTGCGGCCATGTTGTTGACGGCTACGTTCTTCATTCCTGATGCTTGAAGATGCTCGGCAAGGGCATCAGACCATCTGCTTCCGATTAGCCATCATATCAACATCATGCTGTGAGGTTACTTACCGATCATTCGTGTCATCAGTGCTGCCTCGTCCATCAGTGATACTATCACCCAACAGAACAACAGCGAAGTGATCCTGAGGCGCCCATGTATCAACGCCATTAGCGAAATACCAATGCTTAGTGCTTCCCTCCGAAACGGAAGCAGCATTGACATGGTTACCCTTCTGCATCCACGAAGTAGTTCGGCTGCCAGGATGGCCGGTGATGATAGCTCCGGCCTGTCCCTTCTCAGTGTATACAGAAAGAGCAAGATTGGAAAGAGGCTTGAGCTTAAAGTCGATAGGGTCGGAGTAGATGATTTCTCCAGCAGGGACAGAAACAGATTTCTTGCCCTTGAACTTGAGGCTCTTGAGCGTCTTGGTGTCAATCTCTCCGACACCAGCCTTTCCACCGACGGGAAGGGCAATCGATGCCGCGGTAATGGGCAGAGGGGTTTTGCCGAATATGTTGGAGAAACGGACACGGATCTTGTCTGTGCCGATGGACGTGCGGAATGTCTGACGCAGAGTAGTATTCAAGAATTGAGCAGCAAGATCCGGTCCTCCCTGAACACATGTTAATAACAATGACGATCGAATCGATGAGATAACTTACAAATGGAGCGGGAGCAAGGTTATGAGGCTCAACCTCTTGGGGCATGGAAGCCCATGTTCCAACCCAATGCTTCTTATCCTGAGGAGCAGCACTGGTGGTGAAAGCCAGACAGGCTACGAGAAGCGCTTTGACACCCAACATTTTTGCTATTGATGGATTTGGTATACGAAAATACAAACATGGGACGACGATCTTTTATATATCCGTCCATGGTGTTTAGATGACGGCGGGATGAAGGGCCCATTAGGCTAAATCGTGGAGATCGTCGTCTGAAACCACTTTTGCCGACCTTGATTTTTTCCAATTGATGGACCTTTTGCTTCCGAAAAGCCGAATGGGGTTTGGCCTGGAACCCCTGTATCGTGTTAACAGCCGACCCCACATGAGAACCAGCATCTCGTATTAACGTCATGCAATGGAAGATGCTCATATTATCCAGTGTCTAGGCTGATGTAGCTAGTCTATTCAAGCCAATGCTCATCCAATCCTTCGATAAACTCCAAATCAACATTGACAAAACACTTCCACAAATCAACTTCCCTCAACCAAGGCTTCGTCTGGAGGGCAAACATAACCGCCGTACGAACTTGAACAGATCCTTCTCATCATCACCCATAACCAAAATCAGATCACCACGATTCATAACCTTGTCCCCAAACTTCTTTTTAAGAATATTCAATCGTAGCTCCGTGCTATGATGGATGCTGAACTCACTACCAGGCATGTCCTTCGGCACGAACTTAAATTCCCATGAACGGTTCAAACTGTCGAGGAAACTTGTCATTCCGCGGTTCATGGGGCCAACCATAAGAGGATAGTAGTGAGGTGCTGACCAGAGACGAAGCAATGCAAAGCGAGCGTCAGGGTGTTTGGCAGCGAAAGACTTTGCGCGAGGAAGGACATGCGGCCATGATGAAGGTGGGACATAGGACGGTGGGAACCTTTGATTGAAGTTTCCGTATTGGTCTTCGTAGTTGACAAACAGGTCGAGTTTGTCAGGACGATGAGGTTCCTTGCTGGCTGTCACCATGCCACTAACAACCTCGGAATTAGGTTGAAGATTGGCTGGACCTATAACACCAGCTTTGTACACTATGATCGGTCAGTAAAGCTTTCAAAAAGGTATAGGGCAACATACGTTGAGCGACAATGGGTCTCACGGCGAGACTCCATTCCATGGGATATACTTCAGCCCAGAAACGGTCTGTATCCTTGTCATAAAACCCTTTCCACTCTTTCCAGAATTCCTTCGGGCGGAACTTGTAACTCGTTCTGGTTCGACGATCAGGCCTGACCTTGCTTCGTTCCTTGACGTCGAAAATCCCGCTCTTGCGAAATTCCTCGCACGAGTCTGAGCTGACAAACATCGTGACAAGCTTTGTGACTTCCAAATTGGGGAAGAACATAGCCATCATGGCGAAGGCCTGCACCATGTCTTGCACAATGAAACTATTTGGCCAAGGAGCTTGGGGATCGTGCGAGTAGTCGAAGGGATCGTAGTCGGCGCGAAGTTCCAGCCAGTCAAGGATGGAAGCGATGTGCCAGACCCAAGTGGTTGCTCCAACATGTGTTTGTTGAAGCATTGCGCTAAGACGATCTTGCAACATGGTGCACTTCTCCTTGTATCCTGGTTCCAGATCACCAGCATGTAGAGATTCTTTGAAACCTAATTTTCATCAACAACTATCAGCGTAAAGGACGGAATACTTACTGAAAGATCGATCTCTCTCCATGTTCTCCATCGGGTCAGAAGAGTCCATCCTCTTATCAAAATTCGAGCTCTTGTGCGACCTCGTCAGTCCCGTCTTCTCAAGCAACACCTTCTGCGCAGCATCTGGCTTCTCCTTCCTCGCCGCCACGAGGCCGGTCTGCAAAATATGCGGCACTCCCCAAATGGTGATCTCTTCATGATCCTTCGCCTCACGCAGGGCCTTATACGGATCTTTGCCTGCGTTAATAGCATCAAGGCCCTTGGTCATGTTCCTTGCATTGCTGGGTAAAACACCACTCTCGATATCAGCTACACCATTCCTGATCTCTCGGAAAGCAACGCTCGTCTTGTTGGAAGTGAGTTCATCGGGGAAGAGAATTACTTCTTCGAGTTCATTTGCTTTGTTGTAGAACAGATACGGTGAGGATTCTATTTCGGACTCATCTCTGGTAGTGATCTCCTTGTCACATATGTCGAAGAGTTTGAACGAGGAGGCTTCATGAGAAACAGTATCCCAGAGGCTCCGTACGTTCTCACCAGGCTTGATGTCACGAGTGTAACCTGTATCCACATCGCGGTGGAGGTTGCGAAGTAGTGGTTCCGTGTGTTTATACATGTCCTGGGGCTGTCTGATGCGCAGGACATTGCGAAGTTCCTAGACTGTTAGCCGGAGTGTTGCATATGTAGGTTGGAACTTACAAGGAGGACAGTGTTGCACATATCCACGTGTGATTGTCCCGGCACAAAGTCCCAGATAAAGACATCGTAGTAATCCGTGAATCCAAAACGCCATTCACGGAGCACATCAGTCAATTTCATAAACTCAGGCCCAGCGGACAAAAGATCCTTCCATTCGTTCTTGGCTGCCCTGCCAATACCTTGTTTGCGTCTGAGGGTCCAGAGCTCATCCTTTGGAGGTGCAGTAATGACACGACCAGTCTTACCATCTCTCACCATAACAAGCACTTCACCCGCTCGCATGAGAAGATACTGAATAAAGCGCCTGGTAACAGGATCATTTCTCTTCATGTTTCCCACCATAATATTCCTCGCCTCAAGCAAACTGTGCGCACGACGCTGTGTACCACGGCCACCGACTTGATCATGGTGTGTGCGAGATTCAGCTTCAAAATCGGTGAAGTAAGGGAAGAAGACAAGCTGTTGAAGCTGTTGCATGAAACGATCCATACCCCAAGCAGTCCAATCCGACGCAGGAAAGTAATGCCAGATCGACAGCAAGTTCAGATCAGAGAATTCATTCCAGTTTCTGGAGAGTTGGATTGCATGTTTGATGTCACAGTCCTTGGCCATAATGGAGAACTGAAGCCATCCGTCTCTCGACATGGCATTTTCGCTGGCATGGTCCCAAATACTCTTTCCACAGATCGTGACTTTGGATTTGGACTTTGACTTCCTGTACTTCCTCTTCTTCTTATCGCCGTAGCGTGACACTCGATCCGTAAACCAGTCATCGGTATGAAGATGATGATAGCGTCTGTCTGCTCTCATGATGTCCGCCATAGTCTCGTCATCATCGTCATCATCATCCTCGATAAGAATTTTCTCATCAGGGTTGTCGCCGCGAGCGAAATCAGCACATGCGTCTCTGATGTTCTGAAGAGTAGGTTCCGCGACCTTGAGACAGAGATCTCGCAGGTCTGCCTCAGCGAGGTGGAATCATTGAGGAACTCCTGTACACGGTTTGCACGAAGAGCTGCAGGGAGAAGAGAAGCTTGCGAGAGAACAAGACAACAGAAGAGGAACAGCTTAATCTCTCGAATATCGCGGATAAGAGAATCGATCTCGCCCTTAGGCAGAGGCGCAGTCTTATCCCACGTCTCATGAGGATTTTCAAGGGTACCAACGATTTGCATACCAGAGAGGTTGTCGAGGTTCTTCTTGACACCTTCACTCAAACGCTTACTCATTTCCTCTTCCGTCTCAATGTTGTTCTTGTCCGGCTCTTGCAGTTCCGTTTGTTCGGCTTCCTCGGCTCTGTGTTGCATAGCTAGGAGCTTCAGCTGGCCAACCAGCGAGTCCTCGAAATCGGGAGCCCTGTTGGCATTGCTCTTGGCCTTCCCTTTCTTCTTCTTATTTTTCAGCGTTTTCGCCGAAGCAGCAGGGGCTGGAGCCTTGGGCTCCGAGGAGGTTGCAGAAAAAGATGCTTTCGCGGGTGTCTCCGATGATACCTCGGCAGTCGAAGTTGGTTCCTTGATATCGATCGGCATCCAGAGGAAATGCTTGATGAGATCGATGTACTGGTTCATTTTATCATCCTCCATATCCTCAATAGGATCCCACGCCTCGTCATCATCTTCACTCTGCGCCATCCTCTCCTTGTACGCCTCACCCAGAAACGCATCCTGAATCTTCTGCTCTTCCTTCTTCCTCATGTACTCCAACCTCGCCTCAAGCTGCTTCATGTGTCTCTGGAACAACTGGGCTTCCTGTCTGATCTTCTTCTGCTCCTTGTCGCGATTTTCCTCCTCATCCTGCGCATTCTTGACCCACGAGTACCACTGCTCGTTCTCATAATGGATCGCCATGAATCGCTTCTGCGCACGTTCAAGAGCGCGTAGGACAATGTGTCGTGTGCTGATGAGTTTGTCAAGATAGGCTTGGTGGCCATAATCATAAGATATGGAGTAGAAGCGCATATGGTGTTGTTTGCGGGCTTCAATTACACGGCTGAGGGTCTGATATTTTGTGAGTAGGTGGTTGAGGACTTCCTCAATGTTTTCCTTTTCGGTGATGTTGCCGAAGTCATCGTTGGCAAGAGGGATGTTCTGCTCAGCGAGATAAGCTGGAGGATGGTTATCCAGAAAATCAAGCTGTGCATTACGTCTTTTATATCCAACATACAAGCCGTGAGCTTGTCGTGAATGTAAGTAACAGAAGAGCTGGTTAGCGTGAGTAGCTTCTGCCGTGCAACACGCTGCTTGTCAGGAGCTCTAAGAGCCTATACGAGTTACTGTCAGTCCAATCACTTATTGAAACGTATTTAATTGGTCTTACCTGACATTGCGGCATGATTAGAGCCATCTTTACTCAGTTTTAGCATGTGCAGGTGGAAGTGCCTGAATTGGGACTGTGAATCTCCTCTTTCGCTTAAGTTTCAGCTCGTGCAAGGGATTGCTGACCAAGGTTTCCAATGCCGGGAGTAAGTTAACGCGTGTCGTCATTCACAGAACTTTCCCCTCTTTTTCCCAAACAAACTCGAAATTCTAATTTTGGCACCGCGTTGTACATACCCTGAAGCTTCTGATAAGAAGTCTCATCATCACATCAGAAAAAAGAGATGAACCTTCGTGATTTTAACTTTAATATAGTCAAATGTCTCTCAAGGGTTTTTGTTAGTCAGCTGGTACAAGATAAGATTTATGAACGCCCGATATGATCCTCACAGCTACAATCGCCCAGCCGCTGATGTTCCTCTGGTGTGCTTACACCCATGGTTCTTCTCCGCGTTTGTAACTTTGTACCGAATCAGGCTGTACACATGCATGTCTCGCACCTCTATCAATATTCTAATTGGGTCTTTGCACACCCTCACAGTATCTATCGCAGCTGACGTGGGCAACATGGTCACACAAGGCTCTTTGGAGTTCCAAGGATGCCTAGACCCTACACAGCCCGCCTGTCATCTTTGTACAGTATAAATGATTTTCGTGTCCCGTTCCTTTTGATCCTTAAACATGCAGCCATAAATGATCATGTGGATCATCAATACTCATACCCTAATTCTGGAAGAGTTCATTGGTCTAAATCGACCGCCTTTCGCCATCCTATCACATACATGGGACAAAGATGAAGTGACTTTTCAAGAATTCCGCAGCTCAACGCGAGATTACTCACAAAGGCTCGGAGGCCAGAAGATCCTCAACACTTGTGCCTTAGCTAGGAGCAGAGACTTCAACTACGTCTGGATAGACTCGTGCTGTATCGACAAGACCAACAGCGTTGAGCTTGCAGAAGCTATCAATTCTATGTTTGAGTGGTATGCCACTGCAGAAGAATGCTACGTGTTCATCCAAGACCTTGGTTCGGAGGCGCCCATCGAGAGTCTTAAAAGGTCAAGGTGGTTCTCGCGGGGATGGACATTGCAGGAGCTGTTAGCACCAAATAAGTTGATCTTTTTCGACAGTGATTGGCGACTGCGAGGTACCAAGCACGATCTCTTAGGCTTGGTCAGTGATGCTTCAGGAATCAGTCAAGAGGTTCTTCGAGACAAGAGCCTTCTTTCAGAAATCCCCGTTTCCCACAAGATGTCATGGGCGGCATCACGTCAAACTACCCGACCCGAGGACATCGCGTATTGTCTAATTGGTCTCTTCGACGTCAGAATGGTCTTCATTTATGGAGAAGGTCGCAAGAATGCCTTCTACCGACTACAAGAGAAGATTATCCATCAGACAAACGATATGAGCATATTTTTATGGCATTCGCTGTCTGCTGATAGGAAGTATAGCGGGGTTCTGGCGTCAGGGCCTGAAGAGTTTGTACATGGCTCGCGTTGTCGACAAGCACGCGGTGCGGTTGATACTCCCGAGTATGCAATCACCAACAAGGGTATTCGGATAGAGATCGGCCTGCAGTACACATCAAGCGGAGACACCATCATGCCTCTACATCACTCCTACGGAACTCACGCTATGGTCGGTATCTACTTGAAAGTATATGGGGGTGGGACATATGCCAGAGTGCGGCCTCACGAGCTGGCGCACCTTGACAGGGCGATTCGCGGGCGGCCCGCACAGAGGTATCTCATCCCGAGCATCTCTGCTGGCTCTGAGCCGAAGCTAGATGCGACTCGGGAAAATGCCTTTCTTTTCAAATTCCCACTGGAAACCGAATACTGGCAATACGAATCAACTAATTCACCCACTTGGTGGGATCGCGATACACAGTCATATCTACGAGATGGAAACACGTCATTCACGGCATGTCACTTCTTCCGAAGTGATTGGCATGACGTTACCCCATATCTGGACTTTGTAGTTGCTTTCGGTGTTACTGATAGTGGTGAAGCTTGGGCCATGATCGATGCCGGTTCGCTATACGATGCAGCTGTCAGTGGTCAAATGCATCTGGTCAAGGAACAAGCTGAGAAACATATGCGAGCGAACGAGAGTTCGTGTGTGACTATTCACCGCTATGGTCCACAACAGCTGGACAGAACATGCACTTATGAGGATGGCAATGAGGTATGGAAGGAGACTCCTCGTCAAACCATATCGACAATATATCTCAAAGTGTCGGTTGTGAGTATGGTGATCCGCGGTTATTCCACTTACGTTGTCAATATAACAGCACAATCCCCAGAAGAAAAGTATACATTTTATCCAAAGCTATAGTAATAAACACCGCACTGTTCTGTTCGAAACAATGTTGGCAACGTATTGTTGTCATAAAATCCTTTTTTCTTTTTGACCTAAAAGCTTCATTTCATAATATTGAAGTTATCGTGTTGACAGAGTAAATAGACTGAGGATTTTGGGACATAAAACGCTCGTGGTTCAAGGTGAAAGTCTACCCCACCACTCTGAATAGAGCCCAACAATAATGACGGCATATCAGAACACCAAGCATAAATCTCATTATCATATCAGATGCAACATAATGCTTTACTAATATCTTACCCACGGGCATCTCCACATATTTCATGACTGATAAAATGGTCAGCATAACCATCATCGTCGATCGTGGGTCCCTGGTCTCTTCCCCCTCTCGCGTCCAGCACTCCAACCACTAAAACAGCGCTAAAAAGCCCCATCAATTGCCGACAAAACTTCCTAAGAGCGGGGAAGCTTGGCGGGGAGTCTGGTATATGAGGAGATGATAACCTCAGTGATTGTTTCCTGACTTGCTTTTTCTTATTGCTAGTGTAGTTGATCATGGCGCAGAAAACAGATTACCAAAACATCTTCCACTGGGCAGAGACCCAAAAAGACGGATCCATTCCCTCATTTGCAACGAGGGACAATGATCCGTACGAGTATCTCTCCGGATTCAACAATCATCATGAGTCCGAGGCTGTTCCTGGGACTATTCCCAGAGGTCAGAACAACCCACGGGTTGTGAGATTTGGACTCTACGCGGAGCAGATGTCTGATTCTTTTGGGGCGTCGAGAAATGCAAACAGGAATTCGTGGCTTTATCGCTCGAGACCTGCTGTCGCTCATCAGGGTTTTGTAAGTACATGTGATGAGATTGGGTGGTGGTTATGCTGATGTCAGATAGACGGATATGCCCAAGGTTGAGGGAACGGAGAGCTGCTTTTTGCCTCTGAACCCTGAAGTCAGAATCTCTCCTACACAACTAGCATGGGTAAGTAAACAATTGGCTCTTGTAGTTCATGTCTAATCCTGTAGCTCCCCTTCGACATCTCCGAAGGAACAGACTTCGTCTCAGGCCTCCGCACAGTCGCAGGCTCCGGCGACCCGACCCTCCGCGAAGGCCTAGCAACTCACATCTTCTCCGCCACCAAAAGCATGGAGAAGCGCGCCTTCGTCAACTCAGATGGTGACTTCCTGATCATCGCTCAACAAGGCGCCCTGGATATCCAAACCGAATTCGGAAACCTTTACGTCCAGCCTGGCGAGATCTGTGTCATCCAGCGCGGTCAACGCTTCAAGGTCAATGTCGAAGGACCAACAAGAGGCTACATCCTTGAGATTTGGGGCTCACACTACGAACTCCCTGAACTAGGACCTTTGGGGTCTAACGGCCTTGCTAACGCGAGAGACTTTATGTATCCCAAGGCTCGATACAATGTAACTCGGGATGATCCATGGGAGATCGTGTATAAGCTTGGAGGCAAGTTCTTCAAGAGCACGCAGAACCATTGTCCGTTTGATGTCATCGCTTGGCACGGAAACTACGTTCCTTACAAGTATGATCTTACCAAGTTCGTCAACGTTGGGTCTATCTCTGTTGACCATATTGACCCTTCTATCTTTTGTGTTCTTACTGCCAAGAGCAGAGATGAGAATGCTCCTTTGGCGGACTTTTTGATCTTTTCGCCTAGGTGGGATGTCGCGTCTCACACATACCGTCCACCCTATTATCACCGCAATGCGGCTTCGGAGTTGATGGGATTGATCTATGGAGAGTATGCTGGACGGTCAGACGAGTTCCAGCCTGGAGGTATTTCTTTTGAGTGTGGTTGGGTTCCTCATGGAGTCGCATATGAGGTAAGTTTGAATCTTTATTTACTGATGAGTGTTCTGACATTTTGTAGGAATTCAAGGCTGCTTCAGCTCAGCCCCCACCAGAGATGCAGATCTCCAAGGGCGCCGTGGCTTTCATGTTTGAAAGCTGCAGACAATTGACCATTACGGATTGGGCATGGAACAGCGACAAGAAGCATGAACATGAGCCTAAGATGTGGGATGATTTGGTTGACAACTTCTCATCTCATATGGATGAGGTCAAGGAAATCTTGAGCAAGAGCAAGAAATAGGAAATGAATCATGATAGCATAACATAACATAACATTGATCTTTATCTTATCCTTTATCGATAAGCAGCCCTACCTTACCTCAACGCGCGGACTCCTCGGGTCCGTCGTATTCGTGTCTGGGCGAAATGAGTCTCCACCTGTCGAAAGACACATCCAATCATTACCAACCTATTTCGCGTTCAACAAAGCGCTAAAGGGGCGTGGATACGGGGTAAACAAAAAAACGTCTTTGTCTTCATTCAACTGTGGGCCGGACCAAACTGTTCCGTAGGGATGAGAATGGGTCGATAAGAACATAGACCATCTACCATCGTTAAATATCTTGGTTTCGCTCCCAATTAGGGAATATCACACTTGACTCAGCACTCTCTTTTAATCGTCAACTGGACAGTCATGAAGGGTCCTGACTCTCCCCGCTATGAATTTGGTGGCCCGTAAGACCCTCCCTTTATCATCCCTATTCATCCTCAATGCTAATTATCTTAGTCTCGGCGCTACCGGTATTGTTTTCGGTCTTCCGGTTCTTATGCAAGTCCTTTATCTAGGCTGCAATGACGTATCAGGATGTCCCGCACCTGCTCTTCTCGATCCTAAGACTCTAAGCTGGGCTAAGCTCAAGTCTCAAATTCCATGGCCTGAAGAGGGCCTTGCGGGTTTCATGAGCTGGGAAGTCACTGGCTGGCTTTTCGCTTATTACTTCCTGAGTCTTGTGCTTTATCGCATCATGCCTGCTCAAATTGCTCTTGGTACAAAGTTGCGTGAGTCTGGAAAGCCTCTTGAGTATCGATTTAACGGTAAGCCCTTTTTGATATGCTAAATTGGTGTCATGGCTGATTATTGTGCAGCATTCTCCGCTACCGTCGTCCAGTTGACTGGTTGCGCCATCGGAACATACATGTATGGCGCCGACTTCCCAGTCTGGACATGGATAACCGACCACTACATCCAACTCCTCACAACAAGCACCGTTCTAACCTACATAATTTCTTCCTGGGTCTACATCCGCAGCTTCTCTGTCAAGCCCAACAACCCCGAACTGCGTGAACTTGCAGTCGGTGGCCACACAGGCCGTATCATCTACGATTTCTTCATCGGTCGAGAGCTCAACCCTCGTATCACTCTTCCCATCTTTGGCGAGATTGATATCAAGGCTTGGTTGGAGATGAGACCCGGTCTTACTGGTTGGATCTTGCTCAACTGCTCATTCATCGCGAAACAATATCGCACGTATGGCTTTGTCTCAGACAGTATTCTTGTCATTGCCCTGATCCAGGCATACTATGTTCTTGAGGGTCAGTATTCTGAGGCTGGACTTTTGGGAATGATGGATATTACTACCGATGGACTGGGCTTTATGCTTACCTGGGGTGACATTGTCTGGGTTCCTTTCCTTTACTCTACACAATGTCGCTATCTGTCTGTCTACCCCGTCCACCTGGGTCCTTATGGTGTCGGAGCGATTGGCACCGTCTTCGCTATCGGTCTTTACATCTTCCGCTCGTCGAACAACCAAAAGGCGCTCTTCCGTAAGGATCCCAACAACCCAGCTTTTGCTAACGCAACATTCATCCAAACCAAGCGCGGCACAAAGCTTCTCACCAGCGGCTGGTGGGGCATGGCTCGTCACATCAACTACTTTGGCGACTGGATCCAGTCTCTACCCTTTTGCTTACCTACCAAGGCTGCTGGATATGTGATTCTTCCTGCCGGTACGGCTGTTGTCGGGGCTGAAGTTGCGAAGATGCTTGATGGTCGTTTGGTCACACCTGGTGATGCTGCACCTTGGGGAATGCTGTTTACATATCTGTATTCTGCATGGTTTGGATTCTTACTCATTCATCGTGAGGGACGGGACGATTATGCCTGCTCCGAGAAGTATGGAGAAGATTGGGAGGTGTATAAGAAGACGGTCAGGTGGAGACTAATTCCTGGTATCTACTAAGGAGCTGTCGGAAGTCTGGGGAAAAAGCTGTGACTGAATTTTCCCATAGTCCCAGCAGCGTTTGATATGAGCCTGATGCAGTTTTGTCTATCTGAAGTGAGAGAGGCGGTCGAGTGTCTGTCACTCGCTGCACTATAGCTTGGCTCGTTTTCCACACAAATCCTCAGGCTGCCTCGATTAATTATCCACTCTAGGCGGGTCTTGTCTCACATAATTGAGGCTGAGTTGAGGCGAAGCTCGGCCGCTATTATATATATAGCAAAGACAACAGCCCGATACATAGCAACAATGCCTAAATGTCAACCAAGACCAAAATGTCACTGCCTTATGAAGCGTATACTGCAGATAGTGAATTCATCTTCAAGTCACGGCAAGACATTGATGGACATCGACGAGAACTAGAACTCATATTCGAAGATCCACCAGATCTAGCAACGACCAAAGACCTGATATTGGACCATCACCCATGGATATCTCAGTACTGGTCACCTCAACCCGAGTTATTCGAGTAAGTAGGCCTATAAGTATCAGGCAGGTTAAACTAATAGCTGCAACAAGTCGAGACATCACAGGCTTGCCACCATTAGCCGCTGCCATCAAACTGGGAAACATCGAAGAAGCGCAACGTCTGATCAACGCGGGCGCTCGAGCAGATATTCATGGCCCGACATATGGAAATCTCGCACATTTGGCAGCTGCGCGTTCAGACCATCAAATTCACGAGATATTTCCGTTACTCAAGCTTGTTATCGAAGCAGGTGCGGATCCGAACGCGCCCGGCCCGTATCCGGAGAAAGAGTCTTTGTTGTGTTTTATCATTCGTGATGTTTTCCTCCCTAACTACCGTCATGCGATATGTCGCTATCTTGTAGAGGAGGTTGGAGTCGATGTTAACATGAGAAGTCAGTCTGGGACGTATCCCATTATCATCGCTACCGCACTTGCAGATAGGCTGTTAGTCCACTACCTCATAGAGAAAGGCGCCGACGTCGATGTATCTGATTTCCAAGGTAAACGGCCTGCTCATTATGCAGTTCCCAGCGCTTCGAATCGCTCCATGGGATCTTTGATCAAAGCGGGCGTTGATCTACTCGTGCCGGATTATTACGGCCGAACACCGTTGCATTTTGCTGCAATGATGTGTGGCTGGGAATTCATTGGAATATTCATTGACTTTCTGCCGGAAGGGTATGATGTCAATGTGAGAGACGACGATGGCTGGACGCCGCTTATGTGGGCGTGTAAAAACACTCGGTCGGACGCGTTAAAAATTGAGATTCTGGTGAAAGTGTACGGAGCGGATGTTTGGCCTGTTAGCTATGATGGGCAATGGTCTGCGCTGAAGTTAGCCTACTTTGCTCGTATGGACGCTGAAGCGTTGAAGTGTCTGGAACCGCCCGAGCATGAAAGAGAACGAATACTCGAAGACGGAACCACGGAGCTTTGGGATCCAGATTTTCATCAGACAATACCCGGGGAGCATCACCACTATAACAGTTGCAGTAATTGCCGTGTGGTAAGTCAAACGCAAGATCCATTTCCTGGGCTATTACTGATAAGTTGGTTAAGCTTACGCCAAGGCCACTTTATATCTGCGTGGATTGCATAGAGGAGTTCATGCTATGTTTCAAGTGTATCAAACACAGTAGAAGGATGCATGATCCTGAGCACACGATGGAGGAACATGTTGAACCGGAGATGTCAGAGGATTCTAGCGACGATGAATCTGACATCTGAAACTCCTCCACGTGGCAAGAACACGTATCTAGTTTGGATAAATAACGCGCCGAGAAAAGTAGTCTAGGCGATGACGACTGAAATACGATTTATGTATTCCCGAGTCTCCTCTACATTAAGCGGTCAGATCCTTATTCATGCAAGTCCTCTGTCTAAACGAGTTGCGGAAACCGCTATATTTGAAAGCTAAGCAGAACAGCATAAGCACTAAACAACCCTCAAGCCAATCCCAGATCTGAGCTTTGTCAACGGTCATCCCAAATCCGCGGTCCTGGTGGGAAAACTCTTCATAGGCGGGGAACAAAACCCACATGTTCGCAGGGGTTCATCGGGATATATCCTCGAAGCGTCCATTTAAAGCCGATCCTATGATAAGAACGTTACGACATGTAGACCCTAAAAATGGATCAACTGTCCATTCCCTCGGCGTTATAAGCTGTCCTGTCCGCTCTATCCTAGGGTCGTTTTAGTGCTGTTCATCGTGTATTTTTGCTCATCATGGATTGGGAAACAGTGGACGTTAAGGGCCTTGTCTCTCTCAAGAGCGCGGCTACTCTTGTTGGAATCTGGGCTATCTACCGTATTTTTGTTGCACTGTACAATATCTCGCCTCTTCATCCCCTGTCTCAATTCCCAGGCCCGAAGATCGCTGCTGTGAGTTATGTCTATGAAGCCTACTATGACTGGTGGCGAGTAGGCCGATATGGAAAGGTCATTCGCGAGATGCATGAACAATATGGTACGTCAAATTCTCGTCTTATTATCGATCACTTGACTAACAAACTCAGGCCCCATTGTCAGAATTAACCCGGATGAACTTCATTGCTCGGACCCTTACTTCACCGACGAGATCTACGCTGGTCCCGGCCGCGTCCGCGACAAATGGCAGCATCAACTCAACACAGGCGGCGCAGGCCCCGTCTCAGTAACTGGTTTCTCAACAGTCAGCCACGAAGTCCACCGCATGCGCAAAGGCGCTCTGTCGAAATACTTTTCCCGCGCGCAAATGCTCAAACTCGAGGGTGAAGTACAAGAGTTTGCGCAAATGACCGTCGATAAGATGCTTCGCTCCGCTGGCGGCGAACCTTTCGACATCAAGGAAGCTTTCAATTGTTTCACTGCGGATATTATTTCCCAGTATGCATTTGGTGAGAGTATGGGTTTCATCACACAGGAAGGTTGGGAGCCTAATCTGGCTACTTGGGTCAAATCCTTCTTTCAGAGCGCTTATATGATGAGACATAATGTCTTTGCGAGAAAGATGGCGCAGGTCTTGCCATTTTTGTCTGACTATCTGGGTGAGGATATCAAGGCTGTCATGAATCAGATGAACGTCGTCATTCCGGGGTATATCAAGGCTGCGCTGAAGAATCCTGATGGTGGTAGAGTTTTCGCGCAGGTTGTTGAGTCCAAGACTTTGCCTGAGTCGGAGAAGTCATTGTACAGACTTTCTGGTGAGGGCTTCAACTTTCTTCTTGCCGGTACTGAGACCACTGCTGTAAGTTGAATTCTTTGATTTGGGTCGATGACGCTAACTATGCAGGCTACTCTGACTGTCATCACATACTTCCTCCTCGACAAGCCCGAGATCTACAAGCGCCTCATGACTGATCTTCAAGGCATTGATCCCGAGAATCTCAAATGGACAGACCTCGAGCAGCGTCCCTACCTTTGGGCCGTGATCCACGAATCTCTGCGCGTCATGCCTGGTGTATCTCACCGCTCTGCCCGAATCGCTCGTGAAGAGGATCTTGTATACCGAAGCAAAGACGGCACCACAGAGTGGGTCATTCCCCGCGGTACACCTATTGGTATGACATCCATGATCAACCACTGGAATGAGGAGTTATTCCCCAACCCTGACGAGTTCCTGCCCGAAAGATGGCTGGAGAACGGAAAGCCAAACTATAAGCTGCAGAAGTTCTTGATTTCTTTTGGAAAGGGAAGCCGTGCCTGTATTGGCGAGAAGTAAGTGTCACTCTCCTATCATCTCAAAGCTCTGCTAACAGTTCAACTAGTCTTGCGTACTGTGAAGTCTACATCATGGCAGCTCTACTAGCTTTCCGTGTTATTCCTCGGGCGCGATTGTATGAGACTACTATTGAGGATCTGACGTACGATCATGACTTGATTGTGCTCCAGACCAAGAAGGGAGCTATCTCCGTCCGAATTGCTATCTCATAGGACAATGATATCTCAGATAGTGACCTGAATGATAATTCCCACATTTAATTAGTAGCCACACCTGCTAGATCAAATGAGCTTATGTATTGGCTTTCTGTCTGGCTCAGCTGTAAAGTTCAGACACCTGTGTACCGTGTTGAATCCCGAACAAAACTACCGAGGCGGTTATCAGAACAACCCCTCAGATATCAATTACCGCAGGCCTCTAGTTAATTACAAATGCCGATGCCATTGATCATGTACTAATCAAGCAGCCCACTGCAGAGCCATCTTTCGATTAGCCTATAGCTTAATCATGATAGGATGGCGTCCCTTTGATCAAAAGGATATCTGAGCTGCATCTCAGTTATCAATTGCAATACCAATGGTAGTCATATCAATCATGTCGATACATGGATTCATCGCCCTTATCGGGGCCAGCTCCTGTAGAAGCGTTAAGTGCGAAATGAAGTGGAGCTACAGATCTCGGATAAAAACAGAATGAATTACCAATGCCTGAGCTACTCCCATCATTTGTGCAAAGCCTTGTAAGTATAATCTTGCAACATTCGTTCCATCCCAAGTCTATCATACTACATGACATCACATCTCGTAGTTCATGTAAGCTACCACGCCAAGCAATTGCCGCGACGAAGAACCGAACGGAAGAAGCCTTCCCCCTCGCAGCGTTTCAGCCACCATACCTATTTGAGATACCTATTTAAGCCCAACTCACCAATCGGTGTCTGTACACCGAGATGCATTCAATAATTCAGTCTAGACTCTACCTGCGCTAGGAAGTTTGTGTACCACATTCCCGTGCGATCAGCCTTGTAGCGGCGCGTACAGTATCCCGATCGGGTCTGGATCGATCTTTTACCCCAGACCCGGCAAGCCGGCAAGATTCGAGAACGCTTTGGACTCTGAGATAGTGACCGAGGTTTTGATAGGAATGCGGGGCTGAAGCTTGATCATTGAAGATATAGTTTGCGGGGAGGATGATTAGGGGTTTAATTATCTGGGGTATGTCCCGAATTGCCGATCGTGAGTCGTCGACTTGGTATATAACAAAGCGCATGGCTTTGTGTTGAACTTGACTTTAACAAGGCCATTCGTCTTCATCTGAATCGCACCAGCACCACTGATTACTTGATACCGCTGTACCGACTCCACTTCGCTAACATGGCCTCTCCTCAAGAGGTGCCAACGCTGCCTGCCAGCGAAACAAAGCAGGCTCTCGAAAAGTCTGACTCCCAACCGACACCGTCAATCAACCATGCCGAACATTCCATCTTCGAAGAAGAAGAGCCCAAAGTTGCTTGGTCCACCATTCTCGCCGTCTTCGTAAGACTGAACTACGCTCCATGATACTCACTTCGACTAACACGTCCATCAACAGTTCATGGGCTTGACCTATATCCCCGCCATCGCGACAGCTTTCCTCATGCCAACCCAAATTATCCAACAAATTGGCATGGCCTTGGGCGATACGGAGAATATTGCTTGGATTCCTGGTGGTTGGTCTATCGGTGCTGCTGTTTCGTTCTCGGTGGCTGGAGGGTTGAGTGATGTTTTTGGAAGAAGATGGGTGTTGTTGAGTGGTCAGACTATCATCTTGGTCGGCGCGGCAAGTATCCAGACATTGATTGGAGATGGAGACTTTTGCTAATGCTCGGTGGTAGATCGTTTGTGCTCTTGCTGAGAGTACTCTTCGAATCGTCGCCGGAACTACGCTGGTTGGCTTCGGCGCTGGTGTCATCATGGTATCTTATCCTGGTATCAGTGAGCTTCTTCCCAACAAGTACAGGTATGTAACGTACCGCCTTCTTTTTCCCGTCACAATCTTATACCCTGTCCAGAGGTATCGGCATCGGATGGACCGAATTCTGCATCTGCATCCCCTGGGGCTCCCTCAGCGGTCTTATCGCCACTCAACTCTACCTCAAGGCAACTTGGAGATGGTGCTACTATATCACTATCATTTACGCAACCATCTGTCTCATCGGCACCTTCATATGCTACTTCCCTCCATCCCGTCCACAGCATGACTTTGAGAAGACACGTTGGCAGCAGGTCAAGGAGTTGGACTACGTTGGACTCCTCCTTTTCGCTACTGGTCTTACCATCTTTCTCATTGGAGTCACTTTCCTCGGTGCTGCTCACAGATCTACCGCACTTGTCGCATCGACTATATCCATTGGTGCCTGTGTCTTTATCGGCGCTTTCATCTACGACTTTACTATCCCAAAAAAGCCTCTCTTCCCACGCAAGCTATTCCGCATGTACAGAGAGTTCACGGTCTATCTTGTTATCCTCTTTGTCTGTGGTATGATCTGGCAGGCCATGGTCACGCTGGGCAACCAGGGTACTCTATTCATGTTCACAAATGATCTCGTCGAAATAGGCTACATCTCCATTCCGGCGAACATGTCGGGTGTCATCGGAGGTTGGATCATGCCTACTCTTGTGCACAAGATCAAGCATATTCGGTACCAGTTCCTGTTCGCGCTTCTCCTTCAAACTGTTTTCACGGCATCATACGCCACTGTTATTCCTCACAATAAGACCGGTTGGATGCTTTTGCCCATGTTCGGCCAAGCATGCTTCACTTGGCTTACAGTCTTGTCCTACGTCTCATCTGGTCTGTTGGTCCCACAAGAAGAGCTCGGAGTCTCGGCTGGTCTTATGGGAACTTTCCGCAGCGCTGGAGGATCTCTCGGCAATGCCATGTTCAGCACAATCGTGACATCGATTACTAACCGCAATCTTGCGAAGAATATTGCTGGAGCAGCCATGGGTGCTGGGTACTCAGCGAAGGACTTACCAGCTCTGATCCCAGCGGTGATTCAGAATGCGGTTGGTGTGCCTTTCGCCTTGGCCAAGGTGCCAGGTGTTACTGAACCTGTTCTTCAGGCGACTACTGCCGCGTTCAAGAACACTTATGCAACGGCGTTCAAGACTGTGTTTTTGTCTACCATTCCGCTTGGTGTGGTCGCCATGGTGGCAGCGGCATTCATTCACGACCCGAGTCACTTGCTTAATAACCACGTTGCTGTTCATCAAGAGAAGGAAGTATTGGGGAAGAAGAACGAGGTTGAGATGGTGAGCAAGGTTGTAGATTAATTGTCATCGTGTTTAATTTGGATCCAGCCAGCAGAGAATTGATCTCGTTTCATTTTGGTCAACTAAGCTCTTCACTTCTCAATTTCGAGTCACAGCAGTCAATGCGTACGCATTTACGCTCATATATACATCGAAGCTCATAAAGTTTCTAACTATGTTGAAGTACAAACGAGTGGACTAGAGATCATCGCCAGCGGAAAACAGCCCAGCACACCCATATCAGCCTCGAATCCAGGACCTTGCACGCTCGAATCAGCCATAGAATACATTGCGTCATAGATAAACTAGAGAAAAGCGAAAGATACACCCAGCACTTAGGCGCCGATCTTGGAGATCAGGAACTCGGGAGCAGGGCCAGCAGCATCTCTTTGGTACATGAAATGAGCTGCGGTGATCATAAGAGTTCCAGTGCAGACAGCATCGCCAGTGTTGCAGTAGATAGCAGTTCGGTCAGCAGGGTAGTTGGGAATGCCCTTCTTGTTCTGGGCGTTCTTGGTGTAGCCGAAAAGGACGCAGCCCTTGACCTGGTCCATGACCTCAGCGTCTAGCTTGGAGACAGCGGCGGCAGCCAGAGCAGTTCCTTGACTAATGAAGAGGTTAGTAACATGTCAATGAAAGGAGTGACGTGTTTTCTCACCTGTATCCACCGGTGACGATGGGAGTGTCGGGACACTTCTCGTGAGCCATGTTGTACAGACGGACAGCCTCGTTGATGGCTTCTGAGGTGGAGCCATCGGGACGGAGGTTGCCGCCGACATCCGCCTTGTAGGGGCCGCCAACGCCCTGGACCCAAACTCCGCCCTTGCCGTACTTCGCTTCCAGCTTCTTAGCCACAGCGGGACCGGTAGATGCGCCCTATGCGTGTTAGTGAATTGTCAACTAGATGGAGTCTTGTAAAGACTTACCATGTTACCAGGCTCACCAGTGGCACGAGCAAAGATAAAGATAGCCTTGGGGCATTCACCACTGCTGTTCTCAAGATCATTGCGAGTGCTGGAGCCACCAAGGCCACCGCTGAGGCCACCGCCCAGACCGCTACCGCTTCCAAGGCCGCTACCAAGGCCACTGCCGAGCTGGCGGACCTCGACATCGCCAGCAGGAAGGGCGCTGGCAACACCAGCCATGAGAGAGAAAAGAGAGAACTTCATATTGAGGATGTAAAAAAGAGTTGTGTTGCACCGGGCAGAACGAGAGAATAGATGGTGGAGAAAGAGAGGGTTCGAAAGAAAGAATGTCTGAGCTGTGTCCGAGATGGCTTGGGATGAAGAACAAACCCCTCTCTTCCTCTGGGACCTGAAAGGCTCTTATAGATTTACAAAGGAAGGCTTCAGAGACAATGTGACTGTTTTCTTGGCTTCTACTGGGGTCATCACTGTTTCATCCCAACGCCAAGTAAGTTACCTGTCAGAACTTGATTCTCAGTCTGCACATTCTAGAAACAGACCAATGCAGAGTTTAAAGTGCTTAGCGATTAGATGAGACAAAGGTCATGGCGAAAACGATAAGATGTCGTGGCTGGAAAAACAGGGTTGGGAAATAAGATTCTGGGCGTTAGCAAGACCCATCGAGGTTAATCTGTTTAGAGGTCATGGCGAGACAGACTGAGTCAGTAAAACGGCTGTGCATGGCTTTACCGAAATTGATGCACAGACAGCTACGAGTAGTGTTTTGGGTCCTAGCTGTACAAATAGTGGACCTCGGGATTAGTTGCTCTTCTTAGTCTGATGAAACCAGCGGAGGATTCTGTGTGTTTCTTTTCCTTTTTTTCATCTTGACTTTTTTACTTTTTCGATTTGTATAATTTCGCAAGTATTCTCAAAGTAGGATAAACTGAAGGATTCTGAGGTTACTTCGCTTGATCTATTGTCGTATTGCAGTTGATATTTTTGTTGGTCATTTGTGATAAAACAGTGTCAATGGGTGTTTGCTGATGAGGATCCACAACGAGACTGCCATCAGATTGGATAGAATACGAGGCATTGAAACAACCACTCTAACACTAAACAGCCGAGGCATTCAATCATCGACCAATTCAGGTATTGACCTTGTTGAGAATCATCAGATAGAGTAAGATGATGTAGATGCCAAGGATTAATCTTTTATATCAGACGGGCTCGAGTAGCGTGGCGTTATGGGGAGCACCTTAGTGGTCTCTGATCTGTGCTCTCTGCCGCTGGCAGTCGCTTTGTTACACCTTTAATGCTAGGGGCGGATCGACAGGTCAGCTGTGCGTGCACGGATATCTCAACGGTCAAGTCTTCACGGCTTGCTCCGAGCTGAAAGACTGTGACCGAATATTTCCTTTGTCAGTGGTGCGATGACGACTATGCCTTTGGGCTTGGTGTTTCGAGAAGAGAAAGTTTGTTTCCCTCGGAGAATTGCGATTGGATCACAATCCCGAGCATACTGACGATATCTGACTTGTCATTAACTTTGAGGAAACAGTTTCAGACTTCTGCAAGTGCTCTGGTAAGATGCAATTGATGTTTACCCACCTATCATGAAAAATAGCACTATCGGTCGCTATGACTAGCCAAGAGACTGCCTAAATAGTGGCTTACCGGATCGTCTCGCTTGTGCAAACCGAAGGCCTACTGTCACATACGGCGATACGTGCTGTGCAAAGTCTTCTGCCAATTGTTCTGTACGTCTTTCGGTTACGTTGCGATATGAGTACTCTTAGGCCAAGTCCAAGCTACACCAATTTAAGTCATCAAACGGAGGAGCAGTTTTCATCTTTCGGACGCCATCAGCGAAATTTAACTGTGCATCAGAAGCAGAAGAGCACGTTCAATGCCATATACATAAGTCATATTGAGAAATAGAAATTGGCTGTGACATATACGGGAAGCCAGCCCTCTAGATACAGCGTGCAACCTTTCCTCATCCAAAAGCCATGATCATTCCATAACAGCCCCCTTGATCCCGTTGGAGACTCATCTCCGTTCTGGTGCTGTCCCTTTACTGATGGATTGGACGGCCGTACTCATCACTGGACAGGTCGCGACGGCTAACACCAGCAGCCTCCATCAGCTTACGGCTGAACGCCATACGCTCGCTACCGCGCATGGTCACGGTACGTCGCTGCCATCCGATCTCAGTAGGCATGCGTTCGTTCTCTGTAGAAGTCCCTGTTAGCCTCATCCTCATGACACTTGAAAAGATCGGCGCAACTCACTGAACCAGTACTCAATGTAGTCCTTCTTTACCGTGCCGGTAGTTCCATCAGCCATGATCTCGAAAAAGGAAGCCATCTCGCCCCAAGAGAAACCGCTAGCCAGTGCAGACAGCGAGTGCTCAGGGTTGGTCTTCTTGGAAGTCTCCAGACGACCCATTCGGGCCTTGGCAACTTGCTCGACGGTGATCATCTCGTCGGGGAAGTAGGTGAGAGTCTCCTCCCAGACTGTCTGGTTGAAGGGGTTGGGATCGGCGAAGTAAGCATCAGAGCGACTGAATTCAAGGTTAGCACTTGGTCAAAGGAAGCGATGATTGTGGATGACGGACCTGATCGAGATGTCATGTTCGAGGATGCCGTGACGACCGAGGTCTTCAAGATCAAAGGAACGAGCCGCGGGGTACTTGGGGCTAGTCCTGATAGCTTGTGTAAACAGAAGGACCGCATCGCCCTTCTCGATGTTGAAGCCGTTAAGCATACCATCAGCGAGTTTCTTGAGGTCAATGTTCCTACCATCGCGGGGAAGGTAGCCGTGGTTGGCTAGTGTGTTAAGGCCGGGACAGGGACCACGAGCTTGAGCAAAAGGTTAGTAAGAGTTGGTAGACTTCAATTGCGAAGGCTTACAATCAGTTGAGCCCGGGGCAATCCACTCCTGAGGAGTCCAGTTGCCATTGGTGTTGCTGCCACCACTGAGGTCACTTCCGCCGGTAAGAGAGCCGCCACCAAGGCCGGGGAGGAACTGGGGGAGTGCAAAGGCGGGTGCAGCTGCGGAAGACGCAGCGATGAGAGTAGAGAACTTCATAATGAATGAGAATAGAAGGTGTCAATCGAAGAAAAAGAAGCGAGTGAGGCTAGAGCAAAGAATGTGGTATCTGATGAGAAGTAAAGACTGTCGAACCTGTCGATGCGGTGATGGTCTGGTAGCAGAGTCGCGTACCATCGATACTTTATATCCTCTTGGCTACCATTAACGTCATTTCTCCATTCAACATACAGCATACCCTCACCTCGCAACTCCGTCTTATCTACGTAAAACCTTAATAAAAATACAAGACTCCAGAAATCCGAAACATCAAGGCACCTTCCGAGCGCTCAGATCCTCCTCGCGTATACAAGATTAGATATGACGGAAACGTTATTGGTCGATCACCCTTCACTTTTCTTCGGTGAGCCTCCTTCGCGAGAATTTCCAGAAGTAGTAAGGGTCTTTGCTTTTGTTTGTGACTCCACTATCTCCCGTGGCCACTTGTTTCAGCCTGTGCTGTTTCGAGACTCGCATCCATGACTCTAATCAGCAGATCCAGCTAGCCATCGAACGCCAAGAAAAGGAACTTCTAGAATCCTGCCGAGGCTCAGGGGAAACTACCGAGGCTGTCTCTGCACAGACATTTCTGATATCACAATGTTTGGGCGCGTTACCTGCCACACGAAACCGTAGAAGTATGAGATCTTGAGCATGAAGATGTTTATTGTCTCTCGGAGAATTTTGCTTGGTGGACTTGACATTCTGCATGCAGGTCTCTTTCAGCTCTGGTGCCTTGATGTCGGGAACGACGCCCGATGAAGATCTTTTGTTTTCCTCATTGTCGGGTGTATCTGCAACCCCATTTGTTTCATCAGGGATATTTCCCTCTTGTGGGTGTTGTTAGTCCCTGTACCAGGTCAAAATCAGTCTTTGAAGAGGACTCTGAGATTTCGGAGAATTCTGGAGTCGCATGCATCAGGCTGTACTTCCGATAGGGGACCTGATGGTAGATAGACATGAATCATTCGAATGCTCACGTGACGTTGATCATGACCCGAGCTCGGTACTTCGTCCAACCCCACCAGCCAATTAAGAAGCCGAATCGGTAGGCTAAGAGCATTAACATTCATTGAGTACCTACCTATTACATCCAAGTCATTCAGAAGTAGAAGGTATCATGACATTGGATTGATTAGGAGTACTGATGCATGGTGTATGTCAAGATTGAATCACTTGCTAAGAGCCTGTAAGCAACCGTTTCAGTACGTGCCAGAGCACATTGACATGATAAGCCGAGCTAGATTTGTCGTGCAACAATTACAAATTTAACTCTGTTGGTGAATACCCGCAAGCAAGTGTCAGAATCTTGACAAAATTGTAGCTGTCTCCTTTTTATATAGTCCTTCACTGACAAGACTATATCACAGTTGTAAACGACTGTACGATTGTCCCAGTCTATGTCGTTGATGATTGTTACCCTGAAGCTTCGGATGCTGTTTTCCGGCAGCCCTACAAGGGCCAGACGACACGTTACTGGCCCGTCATTTTTCCGATTCCTGCTTAGCAGTCCTCCGCCGTCGGACTCAGCGATGCGAGCTGACCTATCAAATGCATCGGGATAAAATGACAACTCCACCATGAAACGCTCCGGCGGTTATCCCAGTCTTGCTAAGATAGGAAGGTACTTGTAGTTGTATGGCAATAATCCGAACGAACAGGTATTGCACTATCACAAAAGGCAATCTCCAGAATAAGATGCTTGATCAGACGGGGCGGTCTAAATCCTTCGATCCAGGGTCTACGATCAAAATGTCTAGTTTTCTTCTCACGCTCCGCCCTCATGCTCTAGTTCTGACTGTTATCATCTCGACCAGCACATCATCATGGCTGGCTACTCGCCCGTCCACAACCCCGACGCGCTAGCTTCACCTTCGAAAGGCGTCGAAGCAGGAAGGATTGGACTATCGGAAAAGTCAGGACAATGGAATCTGGACGTCAATCAACAGCCTGTCAGATCTGCCACAACCTTCGTCATCCCACCGAGACAACCACGATTTCGACAATGGTGGCGTAGAATCGGTCTTCTCGGCACGCTCATCCTCACCGTTGGCACCGGCGCCATTCTACTTTCCGTCGCTCTCCTTATCTTTCTGTACCAAGGAGCTGATAAAGCAAGGAATCGGTATCCCAGATCTGAATTCTGGGATCAGATCGTATTCAATGAGTGGGCTACGCGACTTGTTACCATTTGCTCAGCCGTCATTCGAGTTTCCATGGGCTTTCAGATCGGCTTTGCTGCTGCGGCTATGGCGGCGGTGATATTGGAGACTTCGGGGAGTCATTTTGTTGATACGGCCATGCTATCCATCCAACGAGCTGCAAGTTCTAGTGCTGGCCCTGGAAGTATGATCCCTACAGCCTGGCAACACATCAAGGCAGGACGAGGTTCTGGAATGCTGTACTTTGTCCTTCTTGCTTCATCCTTCATCATCGCGTTAATATCGACATTAACTTCCACTATCATTCTTTTCGACTTTGGTCAAGACCAAATATCCGCACCGGTTGCCACGAGTGTCACGGCAGTTGGATTCGACACACAGGAGATCTTTCCCTTCAATGGCATCTCATACTGGAAATCGCGACCACTTGCGCATTGGCGTTTTGCAGAGACGCGACCGGCCAAGACGGAGACTGAGCTTCGGACGGAGAATGCGATTGATACAGGAGATGTTTACAGAGCTATGCTCCCGTTTGATAGCGCTGAGGATAGAACAAGTCTTGAGTTCTATGAAGGGCCTGCTGTGGTTGTCAATCAGCGAACGGCCTGTTTCGGTCCGACATTTAACAGTACGGTACTCAAGTATCAGCAGAGTGACAGTGAGGTCACTAGTGGATTGTATCTCAACGCTAGCTTTGCGGTGGAAAACCAGACGGACTTCCTCGGATCGTCGTCGAACATCCCTCAAAACACCATTTGCAGAGTCCACAACGAGTGGAACACCACACACCACAATATTATGCCCATAGCCTTATGCAGCAGCCAAGCAAATGCTGTCTCCATACACAATGGGACCAAGAATCCTCTCTCTGGCTGGGCGTACAGCTTTAACTCAGTGGTACTCATCAGCTCAGGTTCAGCATTGAACGGACTTGAACCGAAGACTGGTCCCAAGACTGGAAAACCTTCCAAGGTTGAAATACCAGATAAGCTCCAGAATCTGACATTTAGTCACTATGGGCCCTGGACGATGGCTCACACAGCTGATGGTATGGAAGCCTTCAACGCTACCATATGCTACATCAGTCAAAATCTGCCTCATCGATACAACGTTACCATGTCTGGACGGGCTATCGACGCTGAGCCGGAGTCTTTGTACGAGTGGTCTGACATCACAACTGAGGGGAATGGCACTAGCATTCTGGAACAGCTAGGCGCTGGTCTCTCCTCTGAAAACAAGAAGAACCGAGGAATTTTGGATCTTGAAGTTCATTCGGACCCAGAGCCGTGGGCTGATCCTAGCGAGGCGGGTAAGATCCAGAGTGGGTATGCTCTGCTGTGGACCACGCTCGTGGAATATTCCCTCCTGGGAAGTTGGAGCTTTGCAGGCAGAATCATGACCAACAGTATCCTGTCACAATTCATATGGCCAACTCACCCCGAGCACGCTGCTGTAGTCCAGAACATCATCCAACAAAAAGGCGACCCCGCACAAGCAATGCAATCACTCGTTTTCCGCTTCTACCAGATGCTGTACTACGACTGGCTCCCCAACTACAAGGCAACTCACGAGGTCACGACCATCAATGCCAAAAGTGTACTCATTCCTGAGAAATGGACTGGTCTTGTCGTCGTCTTGGCTATCATCGTTTTGCACTTTATTGTGACAGCTGCGACCATGTATCTTTTTGCTCAGAGGACTACATCTTCGCTTTTAGGTAACGCTTGGCAAGCTGTTTCGCAGATGGTGTCGCCTGAGACGCAGGATGTTATTCGGGCTGCCGGTGGTGAGGGTATGAAGGATAAGGAAGTTGCACAATTGGTCAAGGCGGTGGGAAGGGACAATGAGGCCTATATCGTTTCAAGTGGTGTGGACAATGGAAGGACAGAGTTACGAGCTCGTTAGATAAACATATTCCCTTTAATTTGACATAGTCAATGGACTTTGGTCCATCACCGCAGATGCAGGATATGCAAAGAGTACTGGACTGGAGTGAGAAAAAAGACACGGAACAGCCACAATGACCATTCGTGTGCACGCATATTGGGAAGAGGTTATAGGTACCGTGCTGAGAGACTTTAGCCGTGAAGTGGTTGAGTCTATGTATCGGGACGGTGAGAACCGGTTGTTGAAGATGAGGCATTCGGTTGGTCTGTAAACATTCCTGAAGATATTGACATGCTCACTGACGTGTTTGGACCCCATCACAAATAATTCATTCAGTCAACTGTTAGAACACGAAGTATGGACAGCTGAGACCAGTCCTTACCATTCGCCCAGGCTGTATAGTGGGGAAACGTAAGCCTTTCTCCAATTGCCAGCCAGCATATGAGTATGCAGAGACTCCATGCTCTCTCCCCACTCTTCAATAAAAAAACGCTCAACCGTCGGTTGCGCCAAGTCCTTGTTCAGATCATATCAGCTCGCCTCATACTAATCATGAGACAACTTCATTATAGCCCCTTGAATGATGCACAAGGATCCATACGTCTCTTGCAAATCAGTAAAGGATGGGGCAGGGAAGAAATATCATGTTCACTATTTCAAACAGTCCTTGTCCTCGACGAAAACCAGGCCCCGGACAGAACCCTTATAATCCCGTATATAGCGCTATCCTACGTCTGGGGTCGCGAAGGGTTCGATCACCAGATTCTTATAGATAACCAGCCGTTTATGGTAAAACCAAATCTGTTCTCAGCACTCCAGCATATCCGCCGTACCGATCAAGACGTGATTCTATGGGTCGACGCGATCTGCATAAATCAACGAGACAAAAAAGAGAGAGGTCATCAAGTAGCGCAGATGCGCTATGTCTATGAGGCGGCGGAAGAAGTGGTTATTTGGTTAGGCAAAGGCGACGAGGAAACATCGAATCTGATCAAGGCAGTTCACAGCATCGACGAGAAAGCCAAAAAGGCTGGGCCCAGGGCAAACTACAAAGACTGGATCAAGCGGTGTGAAGAGCTCATGCCGAAAGAGCTAGGAAGCGCTGGGTCGCCACTACGTTTAGAAAGAAGCAGCGCTCTTTGCAAACTTCTCAAGAACAAGTGGTTCGAAAGAGTCTGGATCCTCCAAGAGATCGCAAGGGCTAAAACAGCTAAAATCGTATGCGGCAACAGTTCATGTCCTGCACGAACCTTCAGCTTCATACCACACCTTATGGACATGAAAGTCGATAATCATGTTCAGGCCGTGCTCGATATCATGCCACGAATCCGCGAAGGCACATGGTGGTCCTCAAATCGAAACCTGCATCACCTCATTCAAGAATTCTCCGGAAGTCAGGCTTCCATGAACAGAGACAAAGTCTATGCTTTACTATCTATGTCAGAAGATGCCCACGACTCTAGACGATTCTTTCCATGCTATGAAAAGGATGACAGAACTGTATGGATAGACACTGTATCATTTCTGCTATTTCGCAAGATTCTCAGCCAAGATTACTCGTTTCCCGACTTTGGATTTTCAGATCTACGACGTCCGATAATTGAACTTGTTAGAGAAACGCTCGAATGGGCTATTACTGAACAGGGGTTCTTCCAAGTCTCTGCTCAAAAAACGGCACGGATCCTCTGTCAGCGTCTAAACGAGGGCGATTTGGATAAACATGCGGTGCTAGAGTCAGTGGCAAGAAAATATGGACAGGAGAAAAGCATGCGTGAGCTCTTATCCAAGAGCAATTATCACATCGGCATCGAATTCTCAGAGGCGCAAGCGATCTTGAGTGCCACATCTGATGAACAAGGCGTGGCCAGTATTGGGATGGCATTTTACTTTCTAAGTTTGGACGATGTCGATTCAGCTTCTGACAGCCACCGTTTATCTCTCAAGTACCGCCTACTCGTCCAAAAGGCAGTCTTGCAACAGCCTACTCTACAAAACGGCCCATTGGTAATGGTTTTCAAACAACGTGATCTGTCACCTTTCCCATTACCAAAGATCATGAAATTCCCGTCTTTCCGCTTCGAACATGATGAGAACATGTTTGAAACGATAGACAGACTGGTTCAAGACAAGGCTCCACTGCATGAGTTACTTTGGGCACATACATGGGCAGGAAATGAGGGTGCCGTTGATGATCTACTAGAAAGAGGGGTCATCCCGGGTGAATCTGATGTCAGAGGATTCGGAGCGGTTCATCTTGCTGCAGTCAAGGGACACATGAAAGTTATGGTGGTGCTGATCAAGGCCGGCGCATGTTTAGATAAACGCAGCGTTGAGGGAAACACGGCACTCCATTTTGCAGCGGCTCAGGGACTGTTCCACGTGGTAGGGCTACTACTGTTGTATTGTGCTGATGTCGACATAGCGGATCGTGAAGGCAAAACGGCGCTTCATTTTGCCGTGACTCAGTCATACTTACATGTCGTGAGACTTCTACTGTTGTATGGTGCTGATATATACCAAGTTGATAGTGAAGGCAGAACGGCGTTTAGCCTCGCCAGGGAACGCGGCGATGCAGAAATGGAAAACATGTTACTCCGACGGCGGCTGAACGATGTAGAATAAGTTTGAACGCCTTTACTTCAAAGTTGTGCTCTGAGGGAAGATGTGTTGAACAGACAATAGTTGTCGTGATTGTTGTAATAGTTGTGTATATAAGTCGCCCTCGGCAAACAAGAGATAAGGTCAGAGTCATAAGAAGCTAAACTCGGGAGTAACCACCGACGTAGGTATTGATCTTGTAAGAAACAATTGCTTCATCCAGCCAGTACGGAGCCTCTAAAAGTAGCTGCGGGTTATCATCTTCCGTGTTGTTACCGTCTATGGTCCCCAACCAATGAAACTGTGAAGGCGGGGCTATCCTGGACATTGATCTTGTTGATGCGCAAGTTTAAGCAAGTTTCAGAATAAACTATCACGCCAAGACCCTCGCTTAGGACAGTCAAGCCAGTCGGAGAAAATTGATTGTTACTTATTCGGTGCAAATTCTCGCAAGAACCTGTTGGTCATCGAACCAGGACAAGCGGTATGTCTTGGCAAGAGCCCTGGCTCGACTGATTGAGTTGTTCGTTGCCCGTTACCCACCAACATGGAAGAGAGACCATGACATCCATGGTCATGGATCGAATTCTCCGCTTGACGCCACTTTTCTCCCACCGATATGTTGCTCAATTTCCCTCAGAATATTTAATATATCCCCCCTCACTTCACAGACTGAGAGTGACATTCTGCTTGCATCTGAACCTTGGACCTCTGTCATACACTAGATAGGTATTCTTAATGATATACGTTCGGAAGGTCACGATAACAAACCCTCTTCAGTGGTATTTCGGTATCCCTTCTTCACATCACTATGCGATTATCCGTCCAGGGGCTCGCCTTAGCTGCCCTCTTCCCACTTGAACTATGGGCCCACGTAACGACAGGAAGAGAGCGACAAGGAGTCATCGGATACGGCATTACCATGTACGATCCTCCCTGCGCGTACGGATGCATCGACACGGTTAAGTCATGGCCTCTCCAATGTGGTGGCGATCACGGAATGGACCATGACATGAGCTCAATGCACATGGCAGCTGCGACGCCTGAGTGCAAAGCCACCAATGATGCCTTCCTCACAACCCTGGCGTGGTGTTTTCACACCCATTGTCCAGACACCAAGAACTCAACACTCGAGAGTGTTTGGGAAATGGATATTGTGGGAAGAATGAAGGTCCAGCCTTCTCCCAAGTACTCGTATCAGGTCGCGCTGGCTCTTGCTTATGAGTCGCCTCCAACTGAGATTGTCAATTCAGAAGCGGTGCTCAACAAGACTTCTCTGGTCGATGAGGCAGCTTGGAAAAGTAACTTCAACGCTGATTACATCTTTGAGAAGATGGAGGCGGTGACCGAGAAATATGGGTAAGTATCAATCCTGCCATTATATGTACCTCTCCTCGACTTCAGGCTGACTAGAACTCAGTATCATTCTAATGGTAATTTGTGTCGCTATCCCCATCATTTTCTCCTGGATCGAATGCCTCCCACTTCCACAGTCCGCCGTCTCCAAGTTCTATGCTACATTCATCGACCCTCCCCTCTTCGGAAGCTACCACTCCATCCCAGTTCTAGGTCTAGGCTTCGTTCCCACGCGCGGACAAGCAATCTTTATCGCATTCATATGGGTCATCAATATCATTCTTTGCGCCGTTGGATACGAACTCAAAGACCCAATGTCATGGTACAATTCCTTGGACCAGCAACTGGTTTCTTACATCAGTAACCGTGTTGGGCTCTTGAGCTTTGTGAATCTAGCCCTCGCTGTCCTCTTCTCTAGCCGGAACAACGTACTTCTTTGGGTCACCAACTGGTCTTACTCAACTTATGTCCTTGTTCATCGGTGGGTCGCTGTCATTTGCATGTTGCAGGCATGTCTGCACTCAGCTATCTACTTGCAGGTTTACCTTGACCCTGCTGCAATGGGCGAAGGCGCGCATGACAAGGAAGCGAAGGAGGATTATTGGATCTGGGGCATAGTTGCTACCCTGTCTCTGGTCCTGCTGATACCATTCTCCATACTCCCGCTTCGCCAAAAGCTCTATGAGGCTTTCTTGGCTTCTCACGTTGTGCTTGCCCTTTTGTCTATGATTGGGTGCATGTTGCACATTTTCTACCGATATGAGTGGCAGTGGGGATACCAGACATGGGTTTGGATTGCCTTTGCCTTTTGGATTTTCGATCGCTTCCTAGCTAGGCCCCTCCGGGTGATGCGAAACGGTGTCAAGCGAGCACATATTACTTTGATTGACGATGACTATCTAAGAATCATGATTCCCAAAGCAGAGGGAGATGGTCATGTCTACGTTTACTTTCCTTCCCTTACCTGGCGTATCTGGGAGAACCACCCCTTCTCAGTGGCAGGTATCTCTTCCAGACCTTACCCGCCCCATCGAGCAGAGTTGGCTCATTATAGCGACAACGGCAAGGAAGCTAAGAATGACTCAACAGTTACGGACTTGGAGCTACATACAAGGGACGCTGAGGTCTCGGGCCTTGTTATATTCGTTCGTCGTCATGGCGGATTGACATCTCTCCTGGCATCAGCTTCAAACTTGAATCGTGGTATTCCCGTTCTGGTTGAGGGTTCATACGGACCTCAAGCATCCATCGTTCCGCACTCACCGACCATCGAGCATCCGAACATTATCTGTGTTGCAGGTGGAGTTGGTATCACTGGAGTGCTGCCATACGTCGATAGTCGACCCAGTATGACAGGGTTGAAAGGCAAAAAGAAGCTATTCTGGGGTGTTAGGACTGAGCCGCTGGTAGAGGCAGTTCGATCTGTTATTCCCAGAGTCACGAATGATACGAACAGCCAGGAGCTTTGGAATGACTTCGGGGTAGCTATTTCTGTTGACAAGCGTTTCGACGTCGATTCTGCCCTCAAAGAGGAACTGGATGGCGTTACTGGGGGTACTATAGTAGTTGTTTGCGGCCCAGCGGGAATGGCTGACGATGTTAGGGTTGCTGTTACGAAGTTAGGGCAACAGGGTTTGGTAGTGAAGCTGGTTGAGGAAAGCTTTGCTTGGTAGTCGGTTAGAACACCCCTCTCTTTTACAGCCGAGGTACCAAGCAAGCAATTTTAATTAGGACGCAGCCCGTTATAATACGACATATCGGGGATAAATGTTTCTTGAGGCGCCATACAAACCCACTTAGACAATCCTAACGGTGCCGTACTCCGTGTGGATCATTACCCCGCGAAATGTTTCCCCAGGTTTCTCCGCGTATTACTAGGCCGAACTTCAACAATCCTTGATCATGGTTGATAAAGATTTATCCAGACGGAAGAGAATGCCGGCAGTTCCATCGAAGTGAATCGTAGATATAAATTGGTCCATCCTAGATAATTATCGAACACAAATAGACTCAGCCGCAATCATGAAGGTTCCTGCGTCCTGTCTCTTAGCCTTGTTGGCTGGTAGCCCAGCTCTGAGTGTCCCTTCTCACCATGACGCTTTTCTAACCATCGACACAACATCGGGCAAACTAACAGGCTTCATCAATTCCACTGCTCCTTCTGTTCGCCAATTCCTCGGTGTTCCTTATGCTGAGCCACCACTCAAGTCTCTGCGCTTCCAGCCTCCCCGTCGTAAGCATAGCAAGGCTTCCCTTCCCGTCACCAAGTATGCACCATCATGCAAGCAAGCACTCAGCAAAGCGCCGACAGTGTATACCGAGCACATGCCTGAGTTTCTTATTAATGGCGGCGACTCTGAAGACTGTCTGTACCTCAACGTCTACGCTCCGTTGAAGCCGATTAGAAAGCGCTTGCCTGTGTTCATCTATATTCCCGGTGGCGGCTTCACCGGTGGCGGCGCAGACTCGCTTTACAAAATCCCCGACAAGTGGATCCAGCGGACTCAATCTCACGTTGTAGTCATCATGAACTACCGTGTCAATGTATTCGGCTTCCCCAATGCAAAAGGCGCGCATCAGAACGTCGGTTTGCTGGACCAACGCATGGTCGTTGAGTGGGCACGCGATAATGTTGCAGCCTTTGGAGGCGATCCGGATCGAATGACACTATGGGGCCAATCTGCCGGTGCAGGATCAGTGGGGATGTACGGATATGCTTATCCCAAGGATCTCATCGTCAAGGGCCTGATTTCTGACTCCGGATCTCCGAATATGCTAGTCAAGACATTGGGCAACTACACTGACTTCGACACCATTGCTACCAAGATCGGGTGCAAGGGAGGCAAGCAGCTGGAGTGTATGCAGAAGGTTGATGCTTCTACTTTGCAAAAGGTTTACTCAGAAACTACGGGTGTTTCTTTTACTCCTGTTGGAGATAACGTGACGGCGTTTTCCAACACGACCGATCGCCTGGCGAGAGGACTGGTTACTAGAGTAGTAAGTTTCACTTATTATCGACGCAGAACAACAGTACTGACATAATGGTAGCCTTGGATCTTTGGTAATAATGCCAATGAAGGCGCTGGCTTTGGCGCTTATAACGAAAGTGGCCAGTCCGCTGCACAGACTGCCATAGGTCTAAACGCGATTGTCTGTCCCGTTGCCGCGGAAGTCAGGTAGGTTTCTTTAACTGAAATCAATTGCATCCACTGCTAAGATATTACTGCAGTGCTCGTGCTAAGTATGGTTATCCAACTTATCGGTACTACTACACCGGAAACTTCTCCAATATCTCACCACTTCCATGGATTGGAGCCACCCACAGCGGTATACATTATGCCCCACAAGCAAGAACATTCCGTACTGACCACTCCCACAGCCGAACTACCCTTGCTGTTTGGAACCCACTATGAGTATCGTGGCAACTCTACCGAGTACGAGTGGCAGGTCGCCGCGGGAATGCAAAGTAAGTTTAGGGATATATCTTGTCAAAACTTAGCTGACGATACGATAGATCTCTGGCTCTCATTTGCCCAAAATCCTCACAAGAGCCCGGCTAACGGAAAGGGCATTACCTGGCCCTTGTATGAGCCCGACCAGAAGAGGATGGCCGTTTTTGCGGAGACAGGCAAGGAGTGGTTCCAATTGGGTGCTGAGAGTCTCACTGAGAGGCAGTGTACTAAGCCTTGAGAATACGGGCTGTGCCCCGTCGCCTCTGTATCACTTATTCAATGCTTTGACAACAGTAGCGTAATGTGTTGAAAGCGGTAAACCATACATGAAGATAAGCATCGCGTCTCAGCTTGAGGGGACAAGAGATCTACGCCTCACGCGGTTCGGGTGACACGAAATGAGAAATTTGTTGGCAAGGGGGGAACCCGGCTTTGTTTTCTTTTATCTACGTTGACTAAACCGTAATGTTTATGAGTCTCTTCATTACCCGATTTCTCAGCCTCTTCTCCGTGGTACTGAAAATGGCGGCATTCTGACAATTATTCATGTGGCTGTCGATCTAGGCACCCTCTTGACATCCTGAGGATCTCACAACAGTGATATGAAGCGTGTGGGCATTAGAGCGTATAAGAGGACTCCATACCGCCCATCGTTGCCACTTTTGTGCCATGGCTGAGGCTGAGTGAGTGGCTTGCAGGCCAAGTCACTAGTTTGAGCAACTATCGACTGCGGGATGGAGGGGGGCGGAGCCTGATTTCGTTTCCAGGCGCTGAAAGGTATTCGGAGTATCCTGATAATAGTAGATATCTGGAGGTAGATTTGAGTAACATCAGATAGTTTCAGCTTTAACTATCGTGCTTTGTCCTACAGTTAGAGATAATTTATTATTCTCCATTTTTGTAATTCCTATAATGATGTCGTTGTTGGTCGGCGACTTGGCTTTTGGCTGGCCGAATGGGAAATCAGGCTCGCGGTAGGCTTTATGACCTCAGGTGCTTGAATTGTACTTGTCATATCACCTCATAACTGCATGACCTTGTTTCGGATTACTCAAGCCACCCAGCCTACTTTTGGGCGAAGGCACAACCCATTTCCAAGCCATGGATCTGGCTTGATTCTCCTGCCGCAACCACCTCTAAGCAACACAGTGTTGTGAGTGAACACGATTCTCTCTCTGGAGTCTGTGGCTCTTGGTTGTTTTCACCAGGAGAGTTTTCTAATTGTATCATGGAGCCATTCCAACAGTACTCCACCTTACCAGAGGTGGTCTCACCAAGAGATGCCGAATTCCAGGGCGAGTATCGACCGCCGGTGCCTCCAAAGACTTCGTATTCCGAGTCGACCCCAACGATCTCTTCTGCCGACCCAATAAGCCAAACGTCGTCTTTTTCACGACACCACTCCTTGCCGCCGATGTTATGCTGCGTTTGCAATGGCCCCTCTAAAGCCTGGAAATGTGTACAATGCGACGACTTCTTTTGCGGCGAGTGCTGGCCTAAAGAGAGACCTCATCGTGTAAGTAATAAGAAACATTGTCTACACTTTTCCTGTTCTTAATAAATCTCGGGTCCGATTGTTTGTGATCAGCTACTTACCGATTTCGTACCAGCCAGGAAAAGTCGGCATCGATGGTCGACAGCACGAAATGGTCGACGAAGACATCGTTCGCCGGCTACAGCAAATCTTTGGCCAACCAACTGCCGCAGAACAACATCGACGACACACGAACGATATCAATACTACCTGGTTTGGGGTCACCAAGGAGCAAGACCAACCATATCTTCACTATTCAAATAGACTAGTTGACATCCTACGTGAGAGCCAGATGGGAGCGTTTACAGAGCGGTTCCCCCAACTGGTTTCTTTTGTTGGGCAAACAGGTATGTTCTCCGTGCCTATTTCCCGTCATATGACTGACCAGGCATGATGCAAAGGTGCTGGAAAGAGTACGGTCATTAAGATGCTGATTGATCGCCAACAAGCACAAACAGACAGATTTACCAACATACATGCTCCCGTTCCCGGTCTCGTGGGTGATAATATTCCTACCACTGGCGATGTCCATTTGTATGAGGATCCTGGCACATACCACAGTCAAAGTCCTGTGTTATATGCCGATTGCGAGGGCATGACGGGCGGCGAGAATGCACCTCGCGGTCTCGCCTGTCGTGATAAGGTTGAAAGCGCCAAGAGGTCGGGGAAGCTGGTCAAAAATGTCCTTCGGAAGAGAATCACATGGGCAGACAACCCCAGGATGCAATCGCGTGAGTATGCAGTTACAAGCCTGTTTCCAAGGATACTCTACACTTTCTCTGATGTAGTAGTGTTCGTACTTCGCGAGGTCAGGTAAGCAATATCTCACGTATCAGAGAGTGTGACGGTTGTTAACTCTGAACTCACCCAGGACATTCCAGACAGAGGTTTTGACACAGCTGGTTGATTGGGCTGCCATGTCGATTGACAAGTCTCTCAACCAGCCAACACTTCCACACGTCGTCATAGTTGCAAACTATACCGACACCAGTATCGATGATCAACAGTGGAATCCCGATGTGGCTACAAAGGGTTTGCTTGATGATTACCAAGATTCAGTCCATCAAGTCCCAGCTCTAAGAGAGAAGTTGGAGAGACTAGCAAGTTTGGGCAAAGACATAAAGACAACCAAGGGGCTGCTCGAATACTATTATTCCTCCGTGACACTGGTGAGAATGCCGGCCAAAGGTCGTTATATGAGGATGGACGAGCAAATTGGGCAGCTGTATGGCGCAATTCTCGGCAAATGCGCGCAGTCTCATGCTCGAAAGAAGAAGGTTCGCATGCTACTTAATGCTGAAGTGTTACCACAGTATGTGAACGCTGCCTACGACCACTTCTCGGTAAGTCTTGACGAGCCCTTCGACTTCATAGAGGAAGCGCGCCGACATACACCTCTACCCCGAACCCTAGGGGGACACATCCTTAACCTCATCGTCACTATGTATAACCACGCCGGTCGACGTCGCACGCGGGTCAAGGACTTGTTTACGAGTCTAAGCCTTCCCCTCGCCTCTTGCATCATGCTGGCTGCTACAAGAGAAAAGATACAAGGTAAAACCAACGTTCAAATGAATCTTAGATGTCGAGATGCACTTACACAAACTAGGTTCCTATTCACACTTGCTACGCAACACTTATCGTCATTCACTAGATGAAGCCATACAAGTGTTTTGTGACCAATGGCTTCGCTGCTCATTTATTCATCAGGGAGAAGCATGCCAGAATGCCAGGAATTCGCATCAGAAAGGCCACCAAGCTATGTCTGGAAGGATCATTACTCGTGGGCCTTACGAGTCAACCTTTGTCGCAGACGAGTTCTTTCCAGATTGGATCAATCAAATTGACAAGCACATAAGAGAGCTGGACGAGCGTTTACAGCGATTCGATTCAGAGAAGAACGCAATCCCTAGATACCTTGCCAACGTTATGGCCAAGTTCTATGGTACTGCTGATAGCTCAGCTTCGAAGATCAGAAGCAATTTGACTTGCCTGTGTTGCGTTCGGAGGATTCCCGAAAACATTCTTCCCTGTGGGCATGTACTCTGCAAAGCATGTGTTCAAGCCCATGGTGTGAGCATTGGGCAGGGTTTGTATCATATGAACTTTTGCCCATTACATAAGAAGGAAACGCTGTGGCCGAAGCCTGCACGTATCAGGTTCAAACCAGACGAGGCTGGTGTACGAGTTCTCTGCTTGGATGGGTAAGGTGACCCCACGCATCTCCGGGACAATTAAATCTGACAAACAACTAGGGGTGGCGTGCGATCCATTGTCGAGATCGTCATACTCCAAGCGATTGAAAACACACTAGGCGGTCACATTCCGATACAGAACTTCTTCGACCTCATCGTTGGCTCAAGGTTAGTTTTACCGTTTCGTCCTTTGCTGCTGGAAGCTGATAACTGCAGTACTGGTGGAATTATTGCTCTAGGTCTTGGTGTCAAGCGTTGGACTGTCGCTAACTGTAGAGAACAATTCAAAAGCCTTTGCAAGCAGGCCTTCACTTCCAGATTATCGAAGGCCTTTGCAGCTGTTAGCAGGAAGAGCCAGTACAAGACGAAGCCCCTGGAAAAAGGCTTGAAGTCCGCCTTTGACCAGCATTCATTCCTGTACGGTGGTTCGAGACCCGATCACTCAACGTCAATACGAGTTGCTGTTACTACAACCTTGGCTAGCGAGAACAGACCAGCGGTACTATCCAATTATAATACCGAGAGCGAGCATGAATCTTGTAAGTCTTGAGCGTTGATGCCTAGTGGTTTCTCTTGACTGACTGTTCAGCTCCATACAAATTTATCCGTCCACAGGAATCTGCTAGGGAAGTAAAAGTTTGGGAGGCTGCAAGGGCGACGGCTGCTGCACCACCGTATTTTAAACCATTCTTGCAGGAGACGACGGGAACACAGTATACAGATGGCGCCATACATAATCCATGTCCAGCCTATGTTGCAGACCACGAGCGAAGGCTCCTTTGGGGGGAGGTCAGTCATTGGGCACCAGACATTCTCCTATCACTCGGAACTGGTTACACACAGTCTCGCACAACTCATAAGTCCAAACGCACATTCTCGCAGGACATTCCAGGTGCCACCAAGCTCACCAGGGTTATCTCTCCCTCGCAACAGTGGGCTTCTGCTAGCCTGACCACTATGTGGAGAACCAATAATCCACTGGTCGACGATCAGAGCACCAGCCAAGACATGTGGAACAGCTATGTTGAGAAGGCCACTGCCACCGAGAACCTACTAACAATATCGGATGAAAACCGTAACATGCGGATCAACGTCAGGTGGTCCGATAAAAGGCCCAGTTTTGATGATGCGGAAGAGATAGAGAATATTGAGCGACATGCTATGAACGAAATAAGCGAGAACCATGAAATCAAGATGGTTGCACACAAGCTTGTCGCTAGTTGTTTTTATTTTGAGAGGACAGGTACTGATCCTCAGAATAAAGAAAAAGGGCTGTACAAATGCTCCGGTAGGTTGCCACTTATCCACTGATATTTCTGTTACTGAACTTAACTAGGTAGTATCATCTGCCGTTTCGATGAAGGGAGTCGAGATTTGAGAGGCCTTGGCCTTGTTCTTAGAGACCACATCCGTGGCAGTGATTTCGCACCTTTCTTCATCTTAGAGGAGGACTACGGTACTTCTCTCCAGAGGCAGCACGATGTAACTGTTCCGGTTGATACCATCTACGCGATGTGCCATTCTGGTACGTTCCGTTTGCCAACAAACATTGTCATTGATGGCGCTCACGAATCGAGTTTAACACGTCTGTCCCTGTGTCTGCAACCGGGAGGATACAGCTATTCCCAAGTCTCTGATCCATCCCACAGATCCGTCAATCCCTCTTTCTCTATCAGTGGATTCCCAAGAGAGCTCTTTGCCCAGGATACACCCTTGTCTCCTCGCACAACCGTTGCGGATATGGACGACGATGAAGGGCCTTGTGAATTACCAGTGCCTGAAGATATACCACTTACCAAGGAAACCTCGAAGGTTTCAGCAAGGCTCGCATTGTTCAGGAACAGACAGTTGCACCATTCCATTTCCCAGATGTCGTTTACCAACAGACCCAGCAGTTCAGAGGATAAAGGCACTGAATCATGTGAAAGTCGAGATGGAGATTCTGAGTCAGCAAGGCTATTTTTCGGTGCGAGGAAGAAGAACAGTGAAGGGTCTGAAGCAGTGGATAAACAGTTTGAAAGCGGGTTCGAGGCAAAACCGCAACCTTTTAGAGGTTATTATTAGGCTACATGATCTTTTGTACTGGCCCCGAACTGAGGTGCCGGTTTTAACTATTGAGAGATACTAGCACGCTGGAGAGGCTTGTAGCGCAGCTAAACAGTAGCCGATGGGTAATAGCAGAATTTAGGGAACCAATTACTGATTGTATCTAGAACCCTATCTCCCCAATGGTCGTGAAATACATCCCAGAATAGCTGTAAGAGGGACCAGGCTGATGCCAGATCTAACCGTCTAGAACCCTGTTCAAACTTTGGTATCGCCACAAATCCATCTTGCTAGTCCTTCGGCATGTGCGGCTGCTGGTTCAATCACAGGAACATTCCCAAGGTCTTCCTGCTTTAAAACAAAGCCAAGATCCGTGCTCCCCAGAATGATGACCTGGGCCCCTCTAGTAACGAGCTTCTTTGCCTGGTTGATGAACATGGCTTTTGTTGATGTTGTAACAAACGAGACTCCCTTGGCAACTTCTTCCAGCATACCTCTGTTCACTTCCTCAATATCCTGCTCTGTCTCAGGAACGATGACCTGAAATCCACAGCTAGTGCTTTGCAAACGGCCGACGAAAAAGTCCGGGTCCTGAGAGTCCAACATAGAGATTTTGGGACCGAGTAAACCAAGCCTCCTCACTCCGGGATGGGTCGTTGTGATGTAGGTGGCGAGGAAGTCTGTGATGTGGAGAAGAGGGATGCTGGAAGCTGCTGCAACATCCGATAAGCGCGCAGCGACCTTGTGTGCCAAAATCGCGCAGATGGCGACCCCGTCAACTTTTTCTCCCAGCAGATTGATGGGCTCTTCGTATGTTGACGCGAAAGATGACCAGTCGCCTTTCATGGCATATTGGATCATGTCTTCCAGGTTCGCACTATACATGTATAGCGGGGCTGCTGTGCGTTTTCCGAGTTGGGCTCTCACAGATGTGTTGATCTTGTTGTAGTAAAGGGCTGTGACATCAGGCGTCATGCCTCCGAGTAACAAGATTGTCTTCATAGTTCCTGGCGGTATTTCGATTGACTTGAAGAATGGAAGTGGAAGAATAGAGTCTTACTTCTGACTTTGATCCTATGGCGACTTGTCAGTTGCAGGGCGTGATGTGGGGTGAGATTCTTAGTGCAGTAAGCAGCTGGACTTTCCTAGCCTTACTTGGTACTGTGAATTGCGATGGTGGACTGCTGCTATTCAACCAAAGAATCAAACGGTCATTCTTCTGGAAAAGACTGAAACGGTGATATAATAAAAGGATTGAAATGTTTTTCGCCCGGAAATCTCTGCGAAGAGAACCAGCGAGATAAGTCTGATTCAAGATAAGTGTATGAGTCGAATTGAAGACCATGTACAGTAGTTGTAAAGCTCGAGACGGTTTATCGATACTGGTGTAATCTCTACTTTCCTCCAGCCTTGTCAGGGTTGGTGCCTCGACCAGAGATCTTAGCATCACATCCACCGCCAATGGAAGCACATTGGTAAGGGTCCCAGTGGAATTCAGTCTTCTTGCAGCCTTCAACAAAGTACTGGTAGTACTTTCCAGTCTCATCGTTCTCGACAGTAATGAACTTCCCTCCATCCACGGCGCCTCCCTCCCAAAAGACAGACCAACCGTCACAGCCACCAGTGGTGAAGCTTTGCCTATCACCGGCCTTAGTCTTCCCGTCAAAGACATCCATGCAATTTCCGGCCCATTCCTTGGTGGCTCCATCGGGACAGTCTCCGCTGTCCATCTCGAAGCTTGCCTTACAGAAGGGAGTGCAGCAGGTGTTTGTACCGCAAGGAGCGCTCCAGGAGCCGTCCATGATGTTGATGGTATCACCTCGCTTGTTCAAGCGGTTACTTTCGTCACGGGGCTAGATTGATGGTCGGTTAGTGTATGCTGGCAGACTGCAGTGAAAGATGGGTATGCGTACAGCAGCGGAGGAGAAGGGAGCAGAGCTCAAAGCCATAGCGGCAGCGAAAACAACGGATCGGAGGGAGAAAGTCATTCTGGTTGTGTATAAGTGATTGAAAGTTATGTTATAGACTTAAAGCTGAGCGTCGAGCGATTGTTTAGGTGGCAGAAGTACTGATGAGTTGAAGCTGATGAAGAATTTGAAAAGCGGTATCAAGAGGGTCTTTTATATACAAGTCGTTCAGACCCAAACTTCACTGCCTCCGTTGGTCTTTGGGTTGGCATGCTCCGATTGAGAATCTGAATGTACAACGTAGCTTGCTGTTGTGGCTTTGATCGCGATCGTCGAATGTGGAGTCTGGAGTTGGATGTCTGAGCCCATGGGGTTGTTCGCAAATGACCCGCTCTTACATCACCTTCAATCCTTTTCCAAGCACTAAGCGAGAACTTTTGAAGTTGTTCAGCTTTAAAGCTTGGCTAAATAATGATCAACTGATTTAATACAGTAGAGTAGCATGCATAAACGTGACTTTTCCTTCTGGTAACGTCTTGGCAATTCGTAGGCTCCCTTCAGCCTCCCCATCAGTAGTTCTACAGAAGCATGGTACCGATTGCATAGAGTTTAATTAATATGTAACTCTTGGGTTGGTAGTCATAGATGGTCATTAATATGCCGGTCTCTTCTGTGATCTCATCGTTCATCCTCTTTTCTCTCCATGGTAGTAATTTCTGTTTGATAGAAACATTTTTAAGCTTAAGTCCTTCTAGAACCATCGACGATGGGTTTCCCTGGCTCAACCCGTTTGACTGGCCGAAGCGTGACACGTTCTTCTTAGCTGATGCTATCCATTTGCCGAATGTAACAAGAAAGTAAGTGTCTGGGGTCTGATCCGGATTTACTGTCGGAAGGATCGTGCACGGGTGATCCTATAAGGCTTGGCCGAGTTAAAATCTCCTCAGCTGTGCCTGCCTGACAGACCACATCAGCTCGAATGGCTAGCCTCATTAAGTTAGAAAGCCTCTCGATAGCAGGTATCCCTGGGCTGGGTCTGAGGGGATGTTTTCATGGTTGTAGTGACTGTGGGTGCCATAGTTGCGGTGATATACAAGCAATATCTTAACACTGCCTACGCTGGAATCGCGCCCTCAGCTACCTGCCATTTCAGTGTGCCCGCCTTGTTAAAGTCTCAAAAGACGTCCTCTGTAGGATCAGTAAGGGATTTACCTGTCAACTCATTCTGATATCGTTTTGAGGTACAACTATTTCTTGGTTCGTTCGATCATCCGGACCAAGACCGAGGTGGCACTGTAATCCAAAAGGATTCGACTTGCATACAAAAAGACCAATAGAAGGCAAGGCATCGGCGATGAGACATGGGGCTATTCTTGCATGTGAAAGACCAAGTTCAACCATCACACATGATTCAATCATGTTCTGTCATTGGCTATCATTCTCAGCCAAGAGAAAAAGATTGCTGAACCACATGGGATCGAATCCTGAGTTGCATGGTGGTTCCTCGAATGGAACTACCTCGAATATGCTAGGTAGTGAACACGTAGTGCGACCGACATGCCGTTGTTGATTCTTCAAGACTTAGATATGACTTTTAGCAACTGGTTTCTTTGCTTTGGGGATAGGTCATGGGCTGAGTTGAGGCAGTTATGCTGTATATCATAATGAACGGTAGTTATCTGGTACGTACTCATATCTAACATCGGGCGCCTCCTGCAAACGACGACCAGGGGAATTTTGGCTTATACTAAAGACTTAGAGATTAGCTATCTAAAGTAAGAACCTCGCAAGTCAGTCTTTACTCTAAATAATAGATAACTTTGTGCTTGTAGCTAGGCCAGCCTTCTCAGCGTTGCTTACGTTATCAAAGTATTTCTGGAAGAAGTAGAAGACAATTATACTGGCTCAGGTACCTTCCAAGTCTTGTTCCCAGCACTGGGATCTGAAGTTGATGCAGCGAGGTGTGTTAACCCTAACTGTCGTCCTTAGCCCTGACAAAAAAAAGCCAGCTCAGAAATATCTTGCATACCCATCCTAATTTATGTTATCATTCTAACTTGACCTAAGAATATATGTATTTATGAGATTATTGCACCAATGCCGTCATAACCTGTGATTATCATTGTGTTGTTTTTATCTGTATACCTCGGGACTTGCGTTTCGGAAAAGCTCAAATAGCTTCAATGCGGTGCATCAGGTCTTTTCTTCTTACTTCTAAAGACGCAACTCTAAGTGATATTGCATTGTTACCAGAATTCTTCATCTACAGACAGGTGAGTTCATAGTGATATTAGTCAAGTTATGAAAGCCAAGGATATCTCAGATAGGAACAGTTCCAAATGACAGAGTAATTATTAAAAAGTAGTAGTCCTAGATTACAAACGCCATCTTACTATCAAGTTTCCACCACTTTCTTCTGGTCTGCTATACAGACCGGATTCGTACATAGAGCCAATGCTTTCTCAGGATTTGGTTGCGATCGACACGTACATATCCTGTCGAGAGACATCAAACGCGAAGAACGCCAATCAAACGCCTGACGCCAGAAAAGCCCCTCTGGCGTCTCTTTATCTTCTTCTTCGTTCCAGCACTTTACTTCAGCGGGGCCCGAAACGCTCAAAACATCGACAATATCCATGTGATTCGACATGATCAGCTCCTTTTCCCCGTGGTACGGTTGACGGCCTTGGATCTTCTTGCCACCGTCCAACGTGCCTGGCGGGAGTTCTTCGGGTCTATACATCCAGTGTACGCGTGCATAGACGTGATTCGCGTCAGAGGCTCTGACCTCGAGAACACGCGCTACCCATTCCTCATCCTCTTGTGGTGTTTGGTCCTCATCCACCTTCCTGCGCTTTATAGTTTGCTCGTTTGCAAGAAAGATAAAGTCGCCCAGTTTATGTTTAACACCACTCAGGACAAAGCTCTTATAGCTTGTCATGTTGTACCAGGTATCTGTAGGCTTGACAGAGTGGAGAAGGTCTAGGCTATGTGTCCCGGAACATGTGAAGGGAAAACTTTGCATCCTGACACGTCTGCGTACTGGACGACCGTCTTTGACTGTGGGTTTAGGAATAGTTTTGGGGTATATGATTTGAAATGGATGATCTTGAACTTGTCTCTGGCTCTCAGATCGAGATCGTTTGCGGACGCCCATGGTTGCAGTTGGTTGAGTTGACGAAGGGAGTTATAACGATCACTAATAAGCGGCGACGACGCGTCGTGATGAGGGTCCGGTATGAACGGAAAACACGTGCCTGACCTTATGAGAGTTAGATGAAAGGTTTGAGCAGGGGTTGAGGGAGTACAACGAGTTCCTCGGGTTGAAAAGATGATGATAAGACGCGTAGAGTGAAAATAGGGATACAAGATCAAAACAAATTTGTCAGACGTCATTTTAAGCCGAAGCTTATTTCCACAAAGTGGGCTTACTTAGTAGAGTATTATTCAGCCAATGGTATTTTTATAATCGCGAGATAGTGGGGTATGGTCTCTGCCACGTCACGTCCACTACCCTGAACTCGCTTCTCAACTCTATGAGTTCTGGGTTTATATAAACCACAGGCGAAATTAACTATCCAAAACTATCAGGACTATTCTCCCGAAGAACTAGGTATTTAATGAATGTGACTTTTACTTTTTATTACGTCGAGGTGTTGAGATAGACCGTGAAACTCGCCAAGATAAACTTCGCCGCAATCACCGCGTACTGAGACGAGAACCTTCCTCACACATGAGTCACGAGACTATGACCAATAGTAACTAGGCAACATAGGTCACATGGGTTGTATCCGACTCTATGGAGGGATGGAAAAGTACGGCAAAACTAAGTTTCAAAAAGAGTCTAGTCTGACTAGTTGTGTTGCCACACTAGATAATCTTTGATGTAACAAAATGAGTAACATGTTTGTAATCGGTATTCATTATTCATTTATTCAGTTCTATAGATATTAATTCCATCTAGACACCAGAACTGGTTGACTCCATCATTAGGGTATCTATGAGAGCAGCAGTTGTTGTTATGTTATGATCTGCTCGGCTGAGTTCGTTCAGCCGATGCGATTTGACGGATACATCCGTTCTCCCCCAACCAAATGGTTGTAACTCGATATCAGATGTCGTTGGAAATGACAGTTGATTCTGTAGATCTTGTAGATCCTGGAAATTGGGAGGCTCGGCGGCTGTGTCCTGACTCCACGAGCGTGACAGATCATCGCGAGTCTCCGCGTTATTGGCTTCGACCTGGACAGTGACTTCTTGGAACACTACGATGCCGCCGCCTAAAAATGATTGTTGATGTGCTGTGTAGTGACGCTCGGGAGGAGGGTATATGTCCCCTGATTCTGCCGGCGGAGAAATCTCGTTACCCTCACCGTCTCCTGGTGGACAGAGATTAACGGTCGAGGACGAACGGGTAGAGTTTTTTGAGGATGCTCGTCTCATAGTTGCAAGGCTAGACTTCTTACCCTTTGACTCTGCCGACGCAACGACACCTCTAAGTCTGCGAAGTGTTGAAGCTGGCCCCGAAGTGAGCTCATTGTTAGCCCGACTGGCGGGCATCTTCAAGGGATCAAAGTCCTGGTGCAGAACGCGAATGAAGTCTTGTCGCGACTGTTCCATCACTTGTCGCATCCTGAAGAAGCTGAGTGGTACCCATTGACAGTGGGGGCCAGAAGAGAGCACAGGATGAGTAATCTTAAGACGCAGTGCCATCATGACGGTTTCGTTTGCCTGATCGCCGTCGACGCCGAAAGGAAGGCGGACAATGGACGGGGTCAATACAGCATCGTGAAACAGAGGTTCTTGGACCCAGCCTCGAAGAGTGTGAATTGCATTGAATAGATGCGTGGCGAACTCCTCTTCGTGAGGAGATCTTGATGAGGCGCCTGGCGTCCTCAACCTCTGAAGAACCTCGGTCACCGGTAATCCGCCGACCCTTTGCAAGAGTCTAAGATGACACGTGTCTAGTTCTTTAATAGGCAGCGGCACTGAAGGAAGCAGGCGTCGAGCGTCCTTTCGGACAAGAACTTGGGGTTTACTGAGACAGGAATCCTGAACTGCGAAGAAACCCAAATGCAGACCAGCCTTTATTTGGACTTGCTGTTCGATGAAGCTTCGCATGTCCCGGAGCTTTGATTGAAACTCAACGGACTGGATCTCCTGGTTGTTGTTGACCCGGGAAGACTCGACGAATTTGTATCCAGCGGACACAAGCTTTTGAGCCTCGTCATCCGAGTTAAGTCGACGGACAAGGAACATGAGCGCACCTCTTCCGTCAATCTCATTCTCAAGACCTAGTCCCTTCTCCAGGTGATGGGTATCAGCCGAGCCTTTGCTGCTCATCTCATCAACATCGATGGACTGGTCGTTCCGGTACTTCTCAAGGGCTTGGATATAAGCTTGGTTCGACGCCGTTCTTTTGGGAAGGATCTCGTCCCATAGAACGCCAACGTTGATAAGTGGTTCATTGAGGCGTTCCGAGAGTTCAGAAGCGGCGACGCAGAATAGCTCGCGAAAAACAAAGTCGTATCCGTCGATGGGTTTTCCGTCGTCGGTTATAAGCTGGATGCCTTTCTTGACATCCTTGTGATGGCTCTTATGTGGTAGTTGTGTCAGGTGTCGTTTCATGCCATTAATCAATCCTGAGATACCGATCCAGTTCCTTGACGCTTGGAACATCCATTGAAATTGTTCATTAGATGTATTGAACTTTTCCTTCGAGCTCTGAACAAAAAGATTCTGTTAGTGACATATTCCAGATGATAACGGAGAAGTGGGTGGTGTCTTACTCCTCTTGCACCTCCAATGAAGAAATCAGTAACAACAGTACAAGGAAATCCTCCGCTTGAATCGATTAGAAGGCGTCCATTCTTATCGAAAACAATGGCGCCAAGTTCGATCTGCTGAGCACGACGAGCAGCTTGCTTCAGAGTTCGGGCTCGAAGAATAGCTGATCCCGCGATAATGATACACGCACCGAAAGACTTTCAAAACCAGTTAGTCTGTAGAGCATCAAAGAATGTCGATAGGGACTTACCAAGCAAATAACTGCAATCACTGTTGCAGTACGCGATCCTTCCTGTATCCTCCTCAATCGAACTAACCGATATTCTGTGCCAACAGAAGCACACCAGTGCATACTGGACACAGCCGCGGCTAGGAAAATAGCAGATATTGTCCTTATCCACCAACTACCGCGAGAAAGGGATTGAAAGATGAAGAATACAGCCAACGCTGCTGTGCTGGCTGTAACCGAAATGATAGCAGCCCCCACGATGTATTGTATTTTGTAAATGCACTGATAGTTTCGGATTGACGCATTTCCTAGGTAATGCATCCCACAGATAGCAGCGCCGCAGAGAACACCAGCTGTTATCACCCTCCACCAAGCGACTCGATTCGATATGCCGATTGCGTAAAAGGCGGCGAGGAGAAATACAACCGGCAGGCAGAAGGAGAGTATCGTCACACCAACGGAGTAGTCGACTTGCATCTCTGGTTCGCCATGAGCAAGTGTGAGCGCCTGGTTTCCGATAAAATGCTACGCCAGGTCAGTATTCCAGACACCTACGGAAGATGAAGCAGAACACAACAGTTAACTTACCATAGACCAGATGGCTATGCCACCCATAGTAATGGAAGAGCACACGAGTACTAGACTAACATGCTTGTCAGCAAACTGTCGTTTGATTGCGCACTTCGCCTCGAACGTACTGATTCGAGATACCGTCAAACCATGATCTCTGATTGATCAATTCAAGAGTCGACGCAGCCCCTACCAGGCTAATGAGATAGCTGAGGGCAACGTAGCCCCCATTGTAGGCCTTCGGGACAATATGGCCCTGGTATACTTCGAGAAGGCCCTCGATAGGCATCTTGGGTAGTCAGTCATGAACGTAAACCTAGCAATGTCCGATGCAGAAAACCAAGGGTATTTAATCGCCTTTCAAGAAACCGACACTGGAATGAAGATCGACAGCTGGGCGGATAGACTAGGCGACTTTGGATGTGAAATGGCCATCTGGGCCCCGGATGCGTTAGTGGCGGAAGACCAGCCCTGTATCCCCGGCAGGCACAGCGCATGAATGGCAATTTGGTTCCCCGAAACGCTGGCAATTAAGCTTCGGCATGGAATGAAGTGTGAAAACTAGAACAGACCAGGTCCCTGGCTTTTACGACAGTTTCCTCGATAACCACGTACTCAAGCCAATTGAATGCGCAGGGCGAGGCCGCATCGAGTTTCATTTGTCAGTTCTTAAAGTTCCTTAGCAGTGAGCCTTGTGCCACCATCACGCTCGCCCAGTCGGCACCGATTGCAGTAACGATTTGTACACTAGATGCAGTTAGTCTTGCAATGCTTACAACAAAAAGCAAGTTCAAGGAGACCGAACATCTTCAGTAAGCGCTAGTTTAAACATAAGACAGGAACAAGGGTCGGGAATACGATGCGCGTTTCACTGTAAAACAAAATCTACTCGCTTTCTTTTCTACTTTCAGGTACATAAAAACGCACAGAGCCCTTCTAAAAGCAAAACCTTTCCTCGCCACCTACTCCCGTTGGCATATCTCCATTCAACAATGACTCGTAATAGTCCAGCTATCGAGTGATCGAAAAGAGCGATGCCTCCTAGTAGCAATCGTACTCTCCAATTTCTTTGTTGACCTTGTCGTACTTTGCAAGGAGGTTGTGACGCTCAGTCTCACTTCGTCTGTATCGATGCAGGAGCTCTGTCAATTGACCATCTACCGAGCCAGCTACAGTATCTTGGCCCCGACGCTTCTCCTCCATCTCCTTAAGAAGGTCATTAGTTCTGACACTGGCTTCGGTGACACTGCGCTCGAGTCTGGCCAGCCTGGTGCGCTTTGCTTTTTCAGCTCGAATAAGATCGCGCTGCTCCATTGCCTCGTCACGCTTTGTGTTTTGGTGCTGGGAAATCGTGCTGAAGGAACCAGTCTGTCGGCTTGAGCTGCTTGTTTCGGAACCACGCAATGCGCTGCAGCGGCTGGAGAAGCTGGAGTTGCTGTAAACCTTTGACGGAAAGAATCTACCCGAACGGTATGGCTCGTAGGCACTTTCCGTTATAGATACCTTTCCACTGACACTCTCGTTGCCGTCATGGGCAGCTGAATCTTCATCCCCGTCATCGTTCTCCTCAAAATCAAAATTTAAACTTTCGAGTCGCTGAGCAAACTTGTTCACTTCGCGTTCAAATCCCTTTCGGAGCTGAGCCTTCGACCCATCGGTGAAGTTAGAAGAATCCATGGTTACTGTGTAGCAGTTAGTCTGAAAACTGATGTGCGAGGACTTACCTTGAGGCTATGAAAAGATGGTGGTTGTAGTAGAGGAGATAGATGTGTTTGCTGTAGATGGAAGAAAGCTACTGTGTCGGCAAACGATGTCTTTTATAAAGGTCACTGGACCGAACAAAGAAATTGTCCTTCACAGAACAACTCTATTTGTTCGCGACATTTGTGATGTATGTGGGTGTAGAGACACCAAAGGATTCACTTGGTGTTCAAAGATGGGGATAACAGACTGAAGAATAGAGCTTGGTATTTTGAGGAACACAAGCTTGACCAGAACGCTTTGTTGTGAATACATCGAACAGCAGAAGGCTGGTTGACTTTGGGTACTAGCCGGATATGTCGGGACCACGGCACTATTCCAGGGTCCAGCTCATCAGTCGACGGGATTTGCAAATTCTGTAATTCGAGAGGGAGGCAATGAGATAGATCGGGATCTGTTGCAATGACCAAGTGCGACAGCAACCTCATCAAGGTCGATAGTTGTGTCATTTGCTGGTCGTGCAGCGCGCTTGTCGCCTGTGTCTATTACTGAGATGCCTCTGATCACTCTCGATTCATGCATGTCATACTTCGATACCATTCATATAGGAATAGAAGAAATATTGTCCAAGGCATAATGTCACCATATTATTTCGTTTCTTACACTCACGCAGCGGTATGGGATATCTGCTGGAATCAACGCTTTATTCTAGCCACAAACAACACGAGCTGCTAACTCGTGGAAAATGTCTTCTTTTATCTTCTTCGCAAAGTCTTCGTCATCTTTCCCACGCTCAATATAATCCGTTCGGTCGCCCAGGGCCTTGATATCGTCCTGCATAGCTATTATTGTTGTATCCTCTTGTTCATTCGCATTATTCTGTGTCTCTTGTAATACTAGCATGTCTCGCTCCAGGCTTTCATGCTCCTTCTCTAAACTTTCATGTTTCTTCTCCAAGCTTTCGTACTTCTCTTCCAATGCTAACATTTTATTCTCCAGCCGCCTGACCTGATCCCGAAGCTGCGCGTTCTCAGCGCTGAGCTTCTGGGTTAAGTCTGCCTGGTGCATGGGCGGCGCCTTCTCAACTTGGTCTGGAAGCTCCAGTTGGGGCTTCTCAATTTCAGTTGGCTCTTGAGCCCCGGCCATCATCGACTCCAGCTTCCGTAGCTTGTTCCATATTACACTCAAGTTATTTGGAGGCGGGTCGCTGTCCTGTCGAGACCGCTTACGTTCGTATGGAGGAGGGACTGGCGGTGCGAGGCTTGCAGCTTTCTCATATGAAGGCGGTACAGGCGGAGCAAGAACTGTAGCTTTCGCGCCGCCGCCACTGTACATACGGGAGATGTCATAGTCGGGACCGGAGAAGGGTTCGAGCTTGTGTTGTGATATGCAATCGCGTATGGAAACGAGCTGATCGAGAGACAATAGAGCGTCGCGGATGTAGATGCGCAGAGCCTTGACCTGGGATAGCTCACGCAAAGAGTCGAGAATCTTGCCTGAGCGCACCCGGGCTGCAGTGACAGGTTCCGTAACATAGTTAGGGACGAGCACAGCGATTGGCTTATCGAGTTGGAAGCTGAGGCATGTTGTCGAGCAGTTGAACGTCTTTTTCAGGGCGTCCGAAGGGTTTGTTTGGGTCGAGAAGTCGAAGGAAGAGATGAATAACGGGCTAATGCGGAGGTAGATGGCCGAAGCGCTGCCTTGATCTTTGAACTTGATGGGGACCATGACTTCGAATACGGCGCGATTGCTGGTTTCGGTATCAAGTCGTGTTGTGAACCGTATCGCAGTGTTGCTCGGGTCCGGGACAGCAAGGGAACGCTCCGAGCCCTCCCACTGCCACTCAAGAGCAGCTGTCGTTTGTTCGAGATCGATGCATGATGTCGGCATATTGTATCGACCTGCAGCTGCGGTAAAGTGTCAGAAAGATTGGCTGTCAAGCATGAGAGACGAAATAATAAAATTACCATACGATAACTTGGACTAGCACTCAGGCCACTTTTTTCGGCAGCCTAAGCCTCGAGAACAGTTCTTCCGTTACTCACCTGCTAGTCAGTACCAAACCAGAGGACTTACTCACATGTAGACCCTACGCAAACGAAGAGAGAGCCGGCCTCGCTGCCAGGCAACCTGTTGACCTCCGGATGAACCGCAAGGTCGCCTCAGAACTCCAGATGAACTGCAAGATCCGAGCAGGTCCCTTCTACAAGCCCCGGTTATTCCAAAGAAGGAGGCGCGCTCATTCAGTGGGTATAAGACGGAATTTTATGATGGCTGTAGCGCGATTCACGGGCGTCTCTTCGAGGGCGTGTTGTGTCGGGTCGCGTCGGATTGAGGGAGGGCGGTCGGGCGCAGTTTTATCGAGAGAAAATGAAGAAGAACGAGATTAAACGATAGAAAGATAATGCGACATGACGGTGGGCGGGAAGTGCATCGCGCGCGAGGAATCACGAGAGGGGGTTGATTGATCGTGAGGAGGCTGGTAAATTGAAATGAGTGATGATTCAATCAGGCACGCCGCGCTAGGAGTCGGACAAACTCTAGTTCCGATTCAACATTCGCACGGCCACAGCTACCCACCAGTCACAACTGAGTTCCGCCACACATGCTCAGATGTGGCGCCTAAAAATAGAGCTACTACTCTGTGGTCCACACTCTGGATCATTTTCCTGGGTGGGTGATCCTGTGACACAGAGAGCCAAAATAAATTCGTCTCTTATTCTTTCGCTGGTCGAAAAGTCCGATCGGTGCACAATCATCCATACCGCTTTTTACTGCAATGGCGACAACGGATGAATTTTCTTATTAATTCTGTCTTGTCATATAACCCTTCTGCTGCTAACTATTCTTGTGTTATTCCTTTCTGCAACGCTTCATTATCACGGGTCGTTCCCATCTTCTCATGTCCTACTCATCAACTTGTAGATTTCAGATATCAAGTTAAACTCAGGATATATAGCGTTATTAGACTATCGCATACGTCAAAACCTTTGCCATCTCATTTTGCCCTTACCCAACCCTCTTGTGAAGTCGAACCTTCAGTCCTTCCTGCCGAGGAAACCAGCTATTAATCACCTTCCACTCCTTCTGAGGATCCGCCAACTCAATCTCATACAAAGTTATCAACCTAGCAAGGACCTTGTAAGTTTGGAAAAGACCCATATTCTTTCCGATACAGATACGGCTACCTCCTCCGAACGACAAGTCTGCTTCGTTCATCATGAGCAAACGCTTCTGGTAATCTTGTTTGTCCTCTTCATCACTTTGTAGCCAGCGCTCAGGACGGAACACTGCAGCATCCTCGCCATAGACTGATTTGTTACGGGCCAAGATATACGGATTCATTCCCAGGATTGTACCTCCGGGGATAAAGTCGCCGTTGGGCAGAGTAAAGCCTTCCTTGGGGACATAACGTTCCATCGTCATTGCAACGCCGGGCAGCATCCGGAGAGCTTCTCGAATGAGAGCATCTGTGTACGGCAAAGGCTTGACATGTTTGTAAGCGGGTACTTTATCTCCAAAACCGGCCGCCAGGATCTCGTCAGTGAGACGCTGCCAGCATTGTGGGTGCTTGAGCCCAAAGTAGAGAGCACTGCGGATGGTGATGGCCGTTGTATCGGCTCCAGCGATCATGTTGACCATCAGCCATGAGATAATTTGGGCATCATCCGCCTCTTCAGGGTTCGCAATCTTGACCTCGATGAATTTATCCAAAAAGTCGGGTTGTTCCGGGTCGTGGTAGTCCTTGTCGTTCCTTTGGTACCTGTCCACCAAATGCTTGACTGAGATACCGGTAATTGTATTGAAACCGGGAGGCCCAATATGACAAATTGGGTTCTTGTCTAGAATTCGATCCAGGAATGGCATTGTACCCACAACAGAGAAGTAGTCCAATGCCTTGTCAGCATTGTGAAGAGAACCATCAAAGTCATATCCATTCTCGAGATAGCCAATAGGTTGAGAGAAAGTTACGGCGCCAACAACGTCCCATGTATCTGACGTCGGGGATCAACCAGTCAGCATTCGACAGATCAGGCGGTACAGCATATGAGGCCTTACAGAATAAAATCCATTGACCGATGTCGCAGACTTTTCCGAAGTTGTTCCCATCCATGAATCTCTGCTCCAACTGCCGGCAAAGCTGGTCGATGACCTTGTCGATGTGAGGTTCAAGGGTGGTTACACCAGCAGTGGAATAGAACTTCGCGATGGGCTTTCGTTCCTTTCTGTGCTTGACAGGATCGGTTTGGCTGAAGAGGTTGAGCACTATCTGACCATTCACGAGAGCGCTACTGCCATGGTAGAAAGGTGTCTGGATACGGCTTGATTAGCATTCAGTTGTCGGAATCTTCATTTCGAACTAACCTTCAACCAGTCATCCTTGGTATTGAAGATGGACTTGATAATCTCGGGGATATCAACGTCAATAATGCTGGGAGTGATGCGCACGATTGGTCCATATTTTTTGTGCAATTTTTCAAGGACGAGATGTGAGTCGCCTGTGGAAACTTGATACATGTACCAGAGCCTAGTGAATCCTTCGCCGCAGTCAATAGAGTTTCAATTGGCGGGATCCGATGTATCAAGAGAGGAAAGACAGTGTACTCTCGACATCAAAAACATATGTCTCACTTACTTGCAAGAAACGGCCCAGGGTACTTCCTCAATGGCGAGAACACATATGATGCGATAGACCACAGCCAAAACGTGACGATGGGTACAATGACAAGTAACACAAGAGAGGGGGTAGTGTTTTGGAAGATGGCTTTCGCACCCAGTATGGGAGTTTCATCATAGGTAGTGCTGTTCGCTTCCATAGTCAATCGTGGAGTGGAACAGAGGAAAACAGTACTTGGAAGAGAAAAGAGATATCCCGCTTTGACTCCAAGCTGGGACAGTCGCGCAATTAAACCCCGATGATTTGCTTAAGATGCGGACCGGACTGTATCTTCCGTCCATGTCGCTTTGGGGTGTGACACAACAGCGTAATGGTCACCTCGCCTCGGGGAATACTGCATCCAAGACTCCGCTCTGCCAGATTTTCATGCTATTATAATTCCCGAAGCCTTACTCCCCAGTCTCGCTGCTGTAAAGAGACACCATGCCACTAAGGCGAGCCGGGACGAGCCAAGGGTCAGTGATATGTTGGTGATATTTCGCAGGCCTGCGCATAAGTGGTTCTCCAGTGGGGCTCCACGCGGGGACTAAATCCTTTTTAGCAAACATAATCCTTGTAGGTATGTTGACTTGTCCAATTGTTATAACTCATTCTGGCATGTTTGTGTAGTATTCATGCACTACCAACCAACAAGACTGTCAGGGTTCGGTTACAGAGTCAACGAGAGAGGATGGATCTACAATTGTTGTCTACTCATTGGTTCCTGAGCAATGCGCCCCCGAGCTGTTGGCTGCAACATGTAATGTTTGCTCTCAATCATTTCCACTATCAAACTGCAGGGGAACTTCGCTTGCGCCTGTGGGTCAGTATCGACTCTTGGCAGCAGTCCCATGCGACTGCATCCTTCGTACGACTGGAATATTGGAAGAGTAACCATTCCGCACATATGCACACAGGAGGTACATCACTTCTCATTATTTAGCCTCGGAACAAAAGGATTATATGTCTCGTCGATTTTCGAACATGGCTGCTTTCTGGATGGCCTCGACCTATGATCCGATGATGCGAGCATGTTAGATACTCTGTGCTCCCCTTGTGGTGAAGTTTCACGTGGTTCCATTTTATTGACTGCTCACTTCGAACGCAGATCCTTGCGGAAGGAATCTCCTAAGAATTATTAATCCCTGGGTCATGCAGTTTCCATCCCTGGGCCGCAAAGCCAACGAACATTCTTCATTGCCCTAGGCCTTAATGAATGAACATTCCATTGCTATTTATACCCAGATAGTCATCCTCTTTTAAGTTATGGCTGAACGAGCACACATTGAATCAGTCCAAGATGATAGGTGGTGAAGCCCCGATGGCCTTGGCCATTATGTGGTCTTTGGTGGCCATCGCCTGGGTTTTCGTGATTTTTCGACTATACACAAGAATCTTCATCATTCAGTCTGTTGGTCCGGATGACCATACATACTGGTTGAGTGGGGTACGCGTCTGTTGTATCGGTATCGTATATCATCGACTAACAACGCTTTGTGCAGGTATTAATCCTACTATATACCGTCTTTGTACACATAGCGAGCCTGCATGGCTTTGGACGCCCCATGCCGAGCATCGACGCCACCCCTTCCGAATTCGACGAGGCCGCGCTTGCGATCAAAACCGAGATGATTGGGCAAACCTTCGCAGTAGTCGGAATGGCAGTTGCAAAACTTTCTCTTGGTTTTTTCCTGCTCCGTATTGTGGTGGATAAATGGCAAAGGATATTGATTTGGTTCACGATGGTTTCGCTATCTGCGATGTCAACGCTATGCGCTGTCCTGTTCTGGACACAGTGCACGCCAGTACAAAAGATCTTCGACCCGATACGCACCGAAGGAGTCTGCAACTTTAACATAACGCCTTTTGCAACTACACTTGGCGGTAAGTTCGGCGTGTTATGACTGTGGGCTAGACTAATACAGTGGCCTAGTTTGGTGCGTCCTCGCAGATTTCTTCTTTGCCATCTTCCCATGGGTTTTCATCTGGAAGTTGAACATGAAGCAGAAGGAGAAGATCATGATCGCGGGCAGTATGAGCTTTGGCTTTGTGTAAGTCCTTTTATATCAACACGCCATCCCGGCTTGACATCACATCACTGACATAAAGTACCTTAGTGCTGGTGCTTGTGGAATTGTTCGAACATACGAGGTCGCGAACGGCTTTACTGCGAACTATACACGTAAGTAAACTCGACACCAAGCATCAACAACTGAAAAGAGTATGCTAACATGATGACTGAGTAGTGGATACTGTACCCTTGATTATCTGGTCCGCTGCCGAGATGGCTGTCACTTTAATTTGCATCGGCATTCCCGTCTTACGCCCGTTCTGGCGTCGCGTCGTTCACAACTCAAACCTCTCATCCGAACGCTATTACCGAAAGCAAGAAGAAGTCAACAATGACCAAGCCTACGATATGGACAATATGCCTCAAAGCAATAGCAATCGGCGCGGCTTCAACATATCACATGCCAAATTGGGGATCCGAGGGCCAGGTACTATAACACGAATTGCTGGCGATAACGAAAGCGACGAGTCAATATTGGGTCTTGTCCATGTCCTGCACCAAGATGTATACATGTTAAGCAAGATGTTCATGTAGATTATTCTACAGGTTTGGAACCACCGGACTGTAGAAGTTAGAAAAGAAATGATTATTTACTTACCCTGCACCGTGTCATGAATTGCGAGTTGGTAAGGAGTACAATGTGGGTACTGTGGATATTTGATGACGATCGGCCATACAGATCGACATGTGTTGGCATGAACGGACGCGCACAATTGGAGTAAAACGCGTTTCGCGTCAGCCTCCTCTTAGAAATGACATACTCTCCAGAATCCCATCCCGGGGAATGACTCATTTCAATGACATGTCTTCAAGATCGACGGCTAAATATGGTCCCAGAAACCGGTAACAAAAGTACAAAAGTACGGATCGAGAGGATTCCGTCATTTTGGACATTGAAGCGGGTCTTTTTGCGACCTTGACCATAGGGAGCCTCTCGTGTATACGGGAAAGCCTTCCCAGTATCTTTCAATAGTGGGATATGGCATAAAAGACTTAATTAAAGTTTTTACGGTAGGGATTGCCGTACCTTAAACGCGGTAACCAGTCAGAGACGAAATTCAGGAGCTGCCAAGATGCGTCGAAAGATCTGCCAAGGAGGTCTGGAAGTTTCTGAAAATGCCAAAGCCTCAAAGCTATCCACGCTTTGTCTTCTCAATACGGGCGGACCAATCATACTCTAGAACTGCCAGGCTAGCGGACATAGCGGGGAACGCTAAACCATCATAGGAAGTATAGGCGAGAACTTAGACACAAGGCAGTTAAGACCATCTTGAGAGGTGACAGTGCGTCCGGGATTGGATATTTATAATGACGGAGAGATTCCAATTGACTTCCAGTTGAATTGACTGCTCAATTCTACCTCACATCTTATCATCATGACAGGTCAATACCACGCCGTTGAGCCAAATGGCCAACATAATATCGAACTCCAGTTTCAGAACTCGCCGTCAAGAACATCAAGTCCACCACCCAGACGATTTCAAGGACTTCCAGCCCGTCGCCGACCAAAAGTAAGAGTCTGGCTGGGCCTTTGTGGAAAATGGCTGATTACCATTATGTTTATTATTGTTGTCTATATCATCCTGATTGGTTATGCTCTCTACGATGTCATGTCATCGAAACATAAGAAATATTTCAACGCGCTTATCACGGGATTCCTCATTGCTCTTGGAATGTCGACTATGAGCCAGTTGACGCATGCAGTTGGAGACATGAGATGGTGGATTTTGAGCAAGCGGCCCAGATCACGACAGAAGGTCAAGGCGATTTTACATGTCAACAGTATGAGCCAAGTAATAGTCTTGGCTTTCAAATCGAAGCGATGGAGGATTCACCTCGGTGTTCTAGCCTGGGTAGCATTATTTCTTGTAAGTTCCCATGTTGTTTCTCTCGCAACTTTGCTAAATGAGTCAGGCAACTCAAGTTGGCTACGCCTCCCTGGGCTTGTGTTACTCTGTCGAAAAAACAGAGGACACAGCCCTTTTAGTCGCCGGAAACGTGTCTGTTGCAGACCTAAGCACTGTCTCAACTATAAGCGTTGTTAATGGATCTGCCTCAACCTTTGGTGAAGAATACGCGGTTAATAGCTACGGCATCATATCACAGGGTCTTAACCAAGGCACTCTTGTTGATATTCCTTGGCCGAACACTCTGTTCTTCGGCGATGATAAGTACTTTTTTTGTGATGAATACTGTTCTTATGTTTTTCGCGAAACGAACACAGCTACCCAGAATAACCCGAATGCGGCTCCTGTCTCAGCGTACACAGACAGGAAAGTCGACATAAAGACGCAATGTAAGGCATTCAAGGTCCGCGAGGGAGGAAATGGGACCACGCAAAATATTGTTATTGAAGACGGGCGGAAGACGAGAAACATAACGTTTCCGAGCAAGGAAGGTCCGAACTTCAAGGTTTACATGACATCCGGATCTCAGGACTGTGGCAGCGACTGTAGTCATCTCTCGGTGTTTGAACCATCTCCGACCGACCCATGGTTCTACAACTGTACGATCAAGATGGGCCCCGTGGAAAATGCGAAACGATCGGAGCACCAAGTTGGCGATAGACTGGCACACTTGGTCACAGCGGCAATAGCCCTCGGAGGCCTCGACCACGCAAACAACACCAGAACAAACAGCTACCCAGCCGCATCGCTCTTCGGAGTACCACTCAACGGCTCGACCGGCATGGCAGAGTACCTCCTGTCGCGTTTCTCAACGGGCGCGCTAGCAGCCACGATTGAAGCCAATACGGATGTCGTACTACCCGGCCAAGCGCCTACGGTCGGGCAGAAACTTTCTGTCTCTCACTGGGGTGTCATGACTCTTATCTTGTTCATAACAGCGATCCTCCAGTTGGCTGTGGCAATTGTGGCAGCTAAGGTGTCAGGAAGGGTTGTCGTGCCCCCGTCGGACACGCTCTCCGAGGCCAAGGTTTTGAGAGCTATGGTTGAAGAGGATGCTCTAGACGAAGAACCGAAAGATCCTGCGGCGACAGGGAAGGGGAGGAGTTTGTGGATCTATCGGAGTACCCATGTAGGGGATGGAGTATATGATCTCTACATGGAAGAGGTCAAGACATAGCGCTTGATCACTTGATCTTAGAACTTAGAAGCATATTGAGCGTATTTTGAAATTTATATAGCATACCTATTCTGCAACCGACAGTTGACTTTCTTTTTTTTTTTCTTTGAGGTAACAGCATCAGGAACTCCAATCGCTCTAGTGATAGTTATCATCCACATTGAAATCCTTCAGCGCCAGAGCAGGGGAGGATAGATAACACGGATATGCGGCACCTGCAGGCACCCAAATTCGGGATCAACATCCACGATAAGGCAGGTCCTTTTGCTATTCCATCGACAATTCAGTCTAATAATTCGACATATCAGGCAGCTAAGTGACTTACGTATCAACTTGCGCGTACTTTTTAGGCAACTGGAATAGCAGATTAACATATTAACTTGACAATATATCTATAGTGAGCGATCATTCTGACTCTCAATTGAGGACATCTTTTTCATTGCACTTACATATCAAACATGAGCACTCCTATCGAATCCGACATGAAAACATCTCACGGGCTCAGTCCCAGTGCGTTGGCTGCAAGAGGGGAAGAAATTACTGGTCTTACCATCTATCAAGATACAAGCGACGATATAACAATGAAAAGAGTTCAAGAGCTCATGTCGGAGATGAACAATGACTTGCCTGATGGAGGCGCAGATTTTATCTTTGGGAAGAAGGAAACTCAACGTCTACGTCTGTGGAAGCCCACATCGACAACCTCCAACTCACCAATCATCGTATTCGTCCATGGCGGAAGCTGGACGATTGGGACATATCTCGACTCCATTGGTTCAGCAAAAGTCAAGTACCTGAATGATCTAGGCTATGCTTTTGCATCGATCGACTACACATTGATTCCCACCGTTACTGTCCAAGAACAAGTGCAGGAGGTTGCCGACGCAGTGGCATATCTCGCCAACAATGGCGTGAATCTTGGAATCGATGGCACGCGTGTGATCTTGATGGGTCACAGTTCTGGTGCTCATGTCGTCAGCTTAATCGGCACTGATCCAAGTTACGCACGCAACGCTGGGTTCGAAATGGATATCCTGAAAGGCGTCATTGCACTAGATGGATCAAACTACAACGCAGCTGCTTCCATCGCGGACAATACAGGCTCGATAGTCAGCAACATGCTCTCGGGTCTTGGCAGCGACCCACAACACCTGGATACCATGTCGCCCACACTTCATTCATCTTTGCCAAACGCCCGGGCATTTCTGCTGCTTCATGTTCAGCGAAAAGGTGATATTAGACAGGCGGTTGAGCTTTCGGCTGTGCTCAAGGCGGCGGGTACCAGGGTTGATCTGCATGTTTTCGAGGGAGAGGGATTTGAAGGACATGTTGCGATGCTTTTGAGACTTGGGGAAGAACAATATCCCGCGACGAAAGTTTTGCAGAGGTGGCTGAAGAGGCATATCCCTGTTTAATAGATAGTCCAAAGTATGCGAGTTAACAACTACCAGCATGTAATTCACCGTCATCCCTGATACGGGAATTCAGTGTCCTAATGTCCTTGGGCATAGACGATTGTGATTGGCTGCTTCGGCCCCCCGGTAGTCTCGGGGGCCGCAAAGTCGCAACCGCTATGGAGCAGTAATGAGTTGACCAAGCTTGAGAGATCGTACTACACGGAAAAGAACCAGCCGTTAGACATTTACATCAAATGTTTCCCCTAGCTTTTGATTACGATGTATCTCGATTGTCTTTAAAAGAAGGCCTCAGCTCTCTAGCAGGCCTCAACAATCTTGACCGCTCTGGATCTCGGGCGGAACACTGCTTGAAGCGAGAAGTCCACAACAGCACTTCTTCTTTAACTTCCTCGTGATAAATGATATCATGAATGTTCTCTTACTTGGAGCCATAGTGACTTTGTCGCTATGGGTCACCTCTCAACTCCGAACCCTCATCCGAAATTATCGTGCAGCATCTGCCACTGGTCTTCCCATTGTCATATGTCCATATGATCCCGATAGCGTGAGTTCTTATCCTTCCTTTCATACGGCCTCGAGATTTGAGAAAGTTAATGAGAACTCAGTTCGCCTTCGCTGTCGTGTCTGAGCCTCTCCGACCTATCCTAAAAGCTGTCTTCCCTGCTACCATGATAACGATGTTTGAGGTGACGTGCTGGGGCTGGGAGTTCCACGACAAAGGTGCTGCACATGAGCGCCTGGGACAAGCCTTCATGGTCGTTACAACAGGACATAACCGCCTCGTCTGTGCTGATCCTGGCATGGCGCACTCGATCTTAGCTAGGCGTAAAGACTTCCTTCATCCAGACATCTCGTTGAAGACCATGGGCTTGCTCGGCCCAAACCTAGTAACAGTAAGTCCAGGGTTACCGCACTAGCGGGCGTTGTTATATCAATCACTGACAAGATGCTATCACGTAGAGCAAAGACGAGTCATGGTCTCGCCAGCGCCGCATTATCGGCCCTGCTTTCAACGAGCGCATCAGTGATGCGGTTTGGAAAGAGGGTGTCCACCAAGCCTCTTCCCTTATCGAACACATGTGTCTTCTGTTTCGGCTCCTCATAGTACGGCAGCCACTGCACCTTCTACTGACAACACTTCCTCAGATTCCCTTCCCGGCCTCCGCGCCATTGCCATCAACGTCCTCACTCAAGTCGCATACGGCCGACACACAGCATTTTCTATCTCTTCGTCGTACCGTGATTCAAAAAAGAGCCTTTCCTATGTGGATGCTATCGCTTTGGTTACCGATCTCCTCCTTGCAGCCGCTTTCGTTCCCTCCAGTATCCTGAGACTACCCTTCATGCCACGTCTTTCGAAAAGGCTCGGTCAAGCTCTGGTACAACTACCGAGCTTGACGACAGACATGCTCTACCAAGAGCGTTCAAGGCTCTCTGAAGATGGACAGAATAATATCATGACGACATTACTCCGACTTTCAGACCAAGCCAAGGTAGACGACCGAAATCATGTGACAATATCTACTAGAACCGAGAAGAAACAGTATCTCACAGAGAATGAGATTGCCGGCAATCTCTTCATTTTAACCGCGGCTGGATTTGACACCACATCAAACACAATGTCATACGCGTTGGTCCTCTTGGCCGCCTATCCGCAGTGGCAGGCTTGGATTCAAGCCGAGATTGACGCTGTACTACGCGACCACGACAGGCACTTGGCACAAGAAGAATATGCGACAATCTTCCCAAGACTAACGCGATGCCTAGCTATTATGGTCAGTCCGTTTCATATCGACTCAACGACTGGATGAACTAATGTTGTACTGCAGTTCGAGACTCTCCGCCTTTATCCCGCAGTGAGTATGTTGATACGCACCATCGACACAGACCAGACTATCTCCACCTCAGAATCTTCATCTTTCCCACTACAAGCTCCATGCGCGGTCCATGTCAACACAATGGCTTTACATACGTCTCATTCGGAGTGGGGGTCTGACAGGTTGGTGTTCAACCCCTCACGCTGGCTTCAATCTGGTGCAGGTTTCCACGTTCCACATCGGGGTACCTACATGCCCTGGTCCAGCGGTCCCCGCGCATGTCCAGGTCAAAAAATGTCACAAGTAGAGTTTGTGTCCGTTATCATGACAATATTTAGGAGTTGCAGTGTCGAGCCTGTTCTTGTAGATGGAGAGACAATGGAACGGGGACGCGAGAGGTTGTTGGACCTTTTGCAGGATAGCCAGCCTGTGTTAACACTGCAGATAAACAGGCCCAAGGAAGTGAGATTGAGATGGGTGCGGCGTTGAAGAGATATAGGATTATTCTAGCAGGGGTTTGTGATTTTGATTGACGTTGTGTGAATTGGCATCTGCCTGTCAATGAATCACGGGATTGACCATGTGATAGCCTGGAATGTCAAAACTACTTTCTACTGGTTCCATGGTGAGATAACTAGAGTCATGACTCTGTGGTTGTGTAAATTGCAGTATGTTAAACCTTGATAACATTATCCTGGGTGTATAGTGGTTCAGCTTTGAGCTGAGTTCAACCTTATCCCAGATGGCTTTCTGGAGGGATGCTGAGCTCGTTGGTTGGTCTGGAGGAGCCGAGTGATGATCATTTCAAATCGCAATTATGCCAATAATAAACATGCCTGTGCAGCCAACATTCGACTGTTCGGAGCAGCCTTTCTATCTTACTGGCGAACGTGGCATTGGCTGAGTATCAACATCAATATGGCTTTTCTCTTACGCAGTCTAAGCATCATGACCCCAACACTTGTGTATGGCCTTACTTCACCGTGCCGTGGTACGCCCTTCTCAAAAGGCTCGGACCTCCCTCACCCGCTACCTTGCTCCTATATTCTCTTTCTTCTACCAGCTCCAGCCCCCTCTAACCATTGTGAACTGAGCACGTCTTTACAAATATCCTTCATGGATCTGTTATCGACGAAACTCAAAGAGATAACTGAGGTCAGTCGAACTCTTCAACACAGCATCATCAATACATGTGTATTGACATTTCCGCTACAGTGAGCAGCGTGGTTGCCCTACCAGGCGAGATGAAGAATGGATACGAATGGAGAAAGCCACTGGACTGGGCTGCATGGCTCGCTACCATTGCCAGTTTAGTCATTGCAGCAGGTGCCGCGAGGCTCACCATTAACCAGATCAACGACGATGCCGCGGCCAACCGAAATGCCCACTCTTGCTCTTTGGCCTGGAGTACCGTGGGAGATACCACGACCTTTCAGGGCTTTGCTTATCATGCCTCAGGGACCAAACTGGATTGCAAAACCCTGCCTGGAAAAGGTGCCATACTGTCTGAGGTCGAAAGATGTGCCGAGCGACTCGGGAACAACGGTGTTGTCCATGGTTGCTGCAAGCTTGATCGCGGTGGCCCTTGGACTCTTCGTCTTAGCTCTGTACCGGATATACATGTTACACACTTGGTTAATTGCGGGGACGACTAGCTGTGCCGGCTATCTCTATTTTGGTAGCACTGTCAATGGCTTTTTGGTTTGAGGAATCGTGTTTTAGCTATGAACCCCAAGTGTATCCTGTACCTGATGTCAATCTTCGAGGTGGCGGACGACTAAATCCCCAGTGCCCAAGAGATGAAGAAGAAGGGAGCCGGAGTACTGGTGACGGGGCCTGTTGAGACAGAAAAACACCTCAAGCACTTTCAATTCCTAAGAATGCCGACCTTCGGGCCGCGCATTGTTTAAAGCGTTTCTGACTCTTTCCTTACTCATGATTGGGCTTTTGGAGGAATGATTATTATAACTAGAATAACGAAACAAAGAAACCATACTCGTTTTACCTACCTCTCTGTGCTGTCAAACGCCGGTCATCTGCTCGTCCCATCACCAACCTACCCCGAATTCCATGTATACAATAGGGCCACATGTGCAGATTGCCGAGTCCTCCTCACCTCAACCTTCCAGGAACATAGTGTCCACAATGTGTATCAAAAGATCGTTTAGCGTCGAGCGCGAGGGCGACGACCACCGCTAGACGGCTTGTAGTGAGACTTTGCAGCCTTCATGTTCTTCTTGACCCAGAAGTATCCGACGGCAGCAGAAATGATCCACAAGGCGACAGAGATGATGGCAAAGACATAAAGGGCTTTCCACTTGGTACACCACGTGGCACCGACATCGTCAAAGTCCAGCACTGCCTTTGCGTCGTGCCTGTTGATCTCCCCACAGAGCTTCTCTGATGACTGGTACATGATTAGCGTTCGTTACCAGCCGAGGAAGATTGTACATGTCAACTTACATAGACCAGCCAGCCGGCCATGGCAGCGGAAAAGACACCAAGCAGAGCATCGATGTACCAGTTCATGTAGTTGCTCGAGAAGGGGATGAGCCAGATCACAGCAAAGAAGGTAGATATGACGGCGACAACATCTGCGAATATGAAGCGACTGAGATGGCCGAGACTTCGGGACTTGTGGGTTGCGATGTAATTGCTAGCGATGCCGATGATACTGATTGCGCAGATGATTTGTACGATGTGCAACACCACGGTTATGATCTTGGATACAGCTGCCATGTTGAAAGAAGAAATAATTGAATAAAAGATTGTATGTTGTGTTGGGATGCAGGTTGTCGAGTTGAGTTTCTTTTTGAGATGGAAGCCAAGAACTGAGACTTCTGGGCTCTTTATACACGTCCAACGTACATTGTGTTTGTACCTAGACTCAGGCTTTGAACAGGTTGAAACAGGGGCCGTTTCCATAACCGCCATGATAGTCCTAGACGCTACCAGTCTAGATTCCTCGAAACTTGAGTTATATCCAGAGCCTCGTTTTGCCCTCCACGACAGTCTGAGTGCAGTTCAGCTTTGCCGCTTATGCTGACCACAACTGACCTCCGCCCGACCCAGCCACAGCCGCAATGACAACAACAGCAAGCGTCTCAATGTTATAAATACACTGAAATTATTAAGGCTGGCGGCAAAGTGCGCTTACTTGCATCTACTGTTGCTTGTAACGGCCGTGACCCATTGATGGTACCTAAAGCAACTGGAAGCTGCCAACGAATTGGCGCTTCACTTTGCACGTCTGGGAGTGTACAAGACTTCAGCCAGTCAGGATGTTGCTTGATGGAGGGTTGCAATGGGGGCCAAAATGATCCAATCGCTTTTATTAGGTATTGATGTGATCTCTGATGGCTGCTAGTATTGGGGGCCAAAATGTTGAACTGAAGGTTGACCCAGGCACCAAAACCGCAATGGAATTCAACGTCTCATTGTAACAACTTGCCGGGGTGAAGAATACAAACTTCTTACGCAATTAATTTGAGAACACCGTAATTATTCATGTGCTGTTGGAGCCATCGACAGGCAAACATCCGCCGTCATGCTCTCGACCCCACTCATCTTCACCATGTCATATTAAGTACTCGCTAACGACTTCAAGGTGCAAATGTCTGCCCACTGGGGGTAGACCTGTATGTGCAGCCCTCCCAGTCACATGTGTTCTGCAAAATGATTAGCTGACAAATTCCACCAAGAATGGACAAATGCTTACTTTGTAAACGTTGGTACCCCACCACTTAAAGTTCTTCGCGGCACCTGTGTAGAAAATGGAGAAGAAGATGACGATACCAGCGATGGCTACTGAACAGTCAAGAGCTGAACTGAAGACAAAGTTGAATCGTCGCCACCAGTCCGCCTTACGCTTCTTGATGACAACTCCGAACAAAAGGCCAAAGAGAGCCCAACTGCCGTAGTTGACACCAGAAGCGGGGGGGATGTAGTTCAGACCACCGAGCCACAAGGGCACGTGGATCTTCTTCAGCCAACTGACGTGAGGGAAGACCTTTTTTCGAAGTAGGTAGACTACTACGGGAAGAGTGGCGCCGACAAAGAAGAACCAGAGCAATGGTCTGTATAGAGCACCCTCCTCGAAGAAGCGACGAGGTCCAAGAGCACCCCAGACCATACTTGTGTTGAAGTGCGTTCGTGAGAAGGGGCAGGTGAAACCGTTAGGTGCAAGCTTGGGGTCACACACGTTAGGAATATGTCCAAGCGCCCAGTTCAACACCGAGACTTGACCCAAGGTACCCATGACAAGGCCCACAAGTTGAACAGCGAATAGGCTTCTTGGGGGGATCTATCATTTGTGAGAGGAAGTCGCAACAGTTGAAAGGCATATGTACTTACGCCACAGTAGATGCCGAGCTTCAGATCCTGAGCAAAGGCAAGTCCCTTGATGCCGGAGATATAACCAACATTGAAGAACCAAATGTTGGCCAGAACCTTACCTTCCCAGACATAGCCAGCGATGATTCGACAGAAGATGTCAATCTGGATCTTGATGTTACTGGTGGCGTACACCCAGGCAAGCTTGGAGTAATTAGCAACTAATGGTTTCCTGCAGAAGTTGATTCACTTACAGGGACGAAAAAGACAGAGGATACCACCATGGCAAAGATGACACCGTACCAGCGAAGCTGGACAGGATAGAACTCGTAGGTGAAAATACCAATGCCCAATGCTACGAGAGCTGCGGCCATGTACCACCATTGTGGCACAGCTTCATACTGCGGCTGGAGCTTGTCGCGAGTAGGGCCCTGCGCTCGTGATTTGAATGATTGGATAGCACCACGGAAGGTTTCCATTAGCTCCTGTCGCTTCTCGAGGAAAAGCCATACGAAGAGTGATGAGATTGTGGCGAAGGACAAACCGAAGGTGTTGAGGGCGTAGGTGACGGGCAGGTAGATCTTTCCACGATTGTTAGAGCCTGGAAAGGCCAATAAGAGAGAGGTCAAGTGAGCTTACTTGGGAATAGTCCGCATACTTCTGGGGATCAAAAGTAAAGTCATCCTTTTTGTTGATGACCTTGGAAACATTGAAGACGGCACCGGTGTTGTCGTAGATGGAGTTGCTCTGAAGAGGTAGATGGGCCGAGAACCAGGTGTTGGAGTAGTACAGTGCCGGACTAATGATGTAGATCCAAAAGACGAGGGAGGCGAGGACGTTGAGGATAGCCCAAACAGGCACGACGAGAGGCGATCCGATGTAAGCAATCTGGCTCCCTGGTAATTATGTCAGTAACAGGAACAATGAGCCTTGCGCTGGGTATACGTACAGTCAAAGGTAAAAGGCAGAAGCCCAAGTCCACTCTTCATACCGAAGACCTGATTGACGACAGTGTTCTTGGGAGCAACCCAGCAGATCCAGGTGAAGTAGCCCAGAGCAGGGAAAATGAAATCCGGGAACCAGTACCAACAGAAAGAAGCACAGAAGGCAAGGAGGAAGAAACGGTAACGCGACATCGTGCCAACCTTGACTTCCTGCTTTGGCGCGTGCAGAGCAGCATTGAGAGCAGTGTTTCCAAGAACTCCAGGCCAAACAAGGCCCTTGGGCTCAACAACCAAGGAACGAGCGAGACCCGCCAATGCGAATCCGAAGAGGATTGACTGGAGTGTTGCGAGCAGCTCGAAGCCCCATCCTGCTTTCAGACCGTAGAAGACACGCTGCTCGGTAAGGACATCAGCGCTTAGCCTTGTCAGAAAACTGAGGTTGGCCAAGATGTAAATGAGCATGTTCTCCTTGTGGTTGAACGGTCCTGGATTGAGGCTATGTCGCTTGCCGAACAAGGTGAAGCCCCAGTCAGGAACGACATACTCCCAAGCTTTGCCGACGGGATATGCCAGGAATTGAATGGCGGACTGCGATAGACTGATGGAAGGGAATCGAAGGGTGTAGAGGGTATTCACGCCGCTACCGACGAGACAGAAGCCGATGCCAATGAACCACATGCGGAGGGTAAGACATGGTAGCGTGGGATCATCAGGCTTGAAGCCTACACCAGCAGCCGAAAGGACCTCTTCAACAGAGTCGCCTAAGAACCAGTTAGTAAATACTTTCCATAGTGATGTCCACAGCATACCAGAAGATGTCTGAGCCCTCGCAAGATCCGATTCAGACGCTGAGGCCTTGGGAGAAGTCACCTCAGGCATAGGCTGACCCTTCTCTGTAGTGGCACTCATGTTTATGGTCACGTTACACAGTTAAGCTTAACATGGATCAGAAAAGAAGGATCAGATAAGATGAATCTGATTAGGATTGATTATCATGATATAAGATCTGCCAAGCCATCAAGACGGTTGGAACGGAACATGGTACTTGGCAGGAACTCCACGGTGCATGTATCTTGGCTCTATATTTGTGGTCGTTTTTGTGCCGTCTTGCCGACCTATCCCACTACGGAATGAGTCGCCTAAGAGAAGCTCGGATCAGGGTGGGATGTTGGCGATGTGATGAATCTGCTGCGAACTGATAGAGGCTCTGTAAACTTCCACCAGAACATCACTCTGTATTTACCTACATCTCAGTCTAAACTTCTTCTCAACATTCATCGCAATTGTATGATTCTGTAAACCTTTCTTGCAATCAAGTAGCAATACGTTAGTTAGGCAGACGGCGCCGTTAGAATTCGCCAAGATCCACTAACGCGTGTCTCCGGCACTTTTGCCGATTGCCGAGCCTCACCAAGACCCTTCAAAGCATCACTGGCCCCATCGAACAGACTACCTGGATGCGTAATCGCCTCTCTTGGCGTAAGAGAATTTTCATGTTTTGAACCCCGAAATTGATAACAGCTCAGCTGAGATCCAGGTGACGTTATAATGCTCACACTAGTGATATTGTATCAACTCATGACAGCCGGCGAGTACCATTTCAAGACTGATGGAAGTCTGGAATATCTCTCACTGGCTAGGGTTGTGCGTTTATCAGCTATTACATATTCACTATATCCGGCTTCTATCCTGGCGACCCATAGAGATGCGGAACGCTTGCATCCGTTGGATGTCAAATCCACCCTTTTTACTCAATTTCGCATTTGGCAGTATACGAGTGGATCAGATGATAACCGGGACGACTTTGCCTGCGCTCCCGTGCTTTAAGCATAATCCAAATTTCCTTTAACCCACCCGGTACGGTACAGCAAATGAAAGTCTTGGAGATTCCTCCCCATTTTATCCATAGCAGGCGAGATTGTCTAGGTACACGAGTAAGTAACGTCGATAGCAAGATTTGCCGCATTAACAAAACGCTCATCATGGAACCTGTATCAGTCATCAACTGCGTGCGTATCATGCAAAGCGTTAACTTTGCATCATCTTTCAACAATCCTTAGGGCTTTCCCACCTTGAACAGGGCAATGAGGATTTTGTTATTCACAGTAACTATTACAGCTCACCCGTGAATAGGTCAAATCCGCAGTAACTGCTGACAATACACCATAGCGTGGGCCGAAGAGAGGTGCAGTCAAGTTCACTGATTCTTAACTCCCTTCAAGACAAGAACAAAGATAAACTTGGTCATGCAAACGGTCTGGTTGGTGCGATTTTCGACAATCGTATAACTATTCTTCAAATCTCTTTACCGGACACAGCGATCGTTACCACTGCCGACGAAGCTGTTGAAAACTCCGACCGTCATCGGAACCACGACGACGTAGGAGTCCACGTCTATCACAGCTCGAGACGCTGCCAGCGATGCGATCATCGAAACATTAACGGAGTCCAGCACGCACCGCAGTTGTATCTTCCCAAGAACTGCCCGGTGCCGCCACTACAACTCCTGCGACAAGAGATACGACTACAGAGTACTCCGTGACTGCGACTGAATCGAGGTACGATGCCCACGCCGATGATACGACTACCGTTCCAATCAATATTGAGGTACCATCAATCAGCTCGATGGTCTCACTCACTGCCCAACATGCCGAGACCTCGACAGCTCTAGTCATTCCTTCTTTCTTCAAAATAAACTTTAATCACATAGCATGGTTACGACGGTTTACGAAATATCCTATATGTAAGTGTAGTCAGCTACACTTTTAGTCTTATCCGGACTTGTAACCGTAAGAAAACGTCGAACATCACTGGTTTACAAATTTGAATGATTTTTCGTTAACAGCTCCACGTAGTGAATAGTGGATAATGAGCGAATTTATATGGGGCCTCAGATAAGGCTCGCTATCGATATTATCACTATTTCCGTCATAAAGCCTGACGGGCTCATGAACAAAAAAAGTTGAATCCATCGATGCTTTACAGCAGTTCTTCGTTTGCATGGGTTTCATGGTGAATGATGATTGGCCAGCAGATACATGCGATTGATTTTCACAGTATCTGATCTGTTAATGCTCTGAATTGTAAAGGCTATCAGAAGTGTGAATTCCACTTCTTCAGTCAGAGCGTGAGTTGTTGTCTAATTGAGCTACACGCTTCGAAGACATGTTCATGAACCTTGCACCTGAACATCGTTATCATATTGACTTTAATGACTGTTTCCTTGAATTTGTAAGACAGTACAGCGACGAATACTGTCTTGTTGATTCGTATATACGTTGCTGTGTTTTATTCGTTAATCTACCCTAAACTGGTTTGCGGCACGCACGGAGTAACTGGTCCTCAAAGCCTCACTTTACCCCTGCGTACTCGCATAGCGCGGCTAACCGTATTTATTTGCCACCACTGAATCCTACGGTTTCGACAGGGATGACATGTAATCCTTCATCTTTGATTCGATAACCTGCACAGGGGAAACACCCGGCACATGCATAGGGCTCGGGCAGATCCCTTGAAGCGGCCAAGCCCGTATCGAATTGATGCGAAATAACCGGGGCGCGAGGATTTATTTATATCATGGTAATATTTCTTCTCTGCTTACTTTTTTGATTCCCGTCATGTAACCATTATGGTCGAATCTTGGACGCTTCTTGTCAGTATCTGTATTGGCCTTGTTGCCTATATCGGCCTTCGGCTGGTTTCCAATGGCTCGAAACGACCGCCTCTGCCTCCTGGGCCGAAAGGTCTTCCTCTAGTAGGAAATCTCAACGATCTTCCCCCGCCTGGTGTGGTTGAGGCATTTCACTGGCTGAAGCATAAGGACCTTTATGGTGCGATCTTGGAACCAAAGCTGATACTAGGCAAACTTCGACTAATTCTTGATGACCAGGCCCGATTAGCTCCGTCACAGTAATGGGCCAGACCATTGTTATCATCAATGACGCAAGGCTCGCCTTCGACCTCCTAGACAAACGATCGGTCAAGCATTCGTCAAGACCTACACAAGTCTTTGCCGGTGAAATGTAGGACCACCCACTTTGAGCCATGATATTGAAGCCCGACTGACTGTAGACTCAGGATCGGCTGGGATAAATCACTCGCGCTCTCGGGATATAATGACCGCTTCCGAACTCACCGAAAGAATATGGCACGCATTATTGGATCAAAGACCGCTGCAGCTCAATATGATGCTCTACAAGAGGCTGAAGTTAGCCACTTTCTGCTTCATGTGCTAGATCACCCGGAACGTTTGACAGACCATATTAGAAAGTATGTTTTCTGTTTCCCTATTCCAATCTAGGGCTAATGCAACTTAGAGAGGCTGGGGCCGTCATCTTGAAGATTGCTTATGGATACACAGCAGAACCATTTAAGGAAGATCCACTCATTTCAATGGCTGGCAAGGCCATGGATGATTTTGGCGTCGCTGCGGTACCTGGCGCATTCTTAGTTGATATACTGCCTTTCTGTAAGGAATTCCCGTCTTAAACTGTCGCTCAGCACATAAGGAAACTAACAATATTAGTGAGGCATGTGCCCGACTGGGTCCCTGTTGCAGGCTTCAAAAGGCTTGCCCGCCAGTGGGCATCAGAACTTCATGACGTGACGGAAAAGCCTTATGCTTTTGTTCAACATCAAATCGCACATGGCAAGCAAGACAATTCATTTCTGGCCCAGCTTCTTGAAGCAGGTGACGATTCCGCTGAAGAGAAACTTACCAATAAGTGGTCAGCTGCGTCTTTATATGTAGCGGGGGCTGATACGGTAAGCTGGGAACCTTTGGACCGTTGCATCAGCACTCACTAACACCCAACAGACTGTGTCTTCAATCGCATGTTTCTTTCTTGCTATGTCGCTATCTCCAGACGTTGTTAGAAAAGCGCAAGAAGAGATTGATGGGGTCATTGGTAATAATAGGCTCCCAACCTCGATGGATCGTCCAAACCTGCCATATGTCGAGGCTGTGGTCAAAGAAGTCTTGAGATGGCATCCAGTTGCGCCTATGGGCTTGCCTCACACAAGCACTACAGAGGATGTGTTCGAGGGATATCTTATTCCCAAGGGCTCTATGGTGATTGCCAACATCTGGTGAGTACCCACGCTAGCAAAAATGTGGAACTGATTCTAAACATTTACAGGCACTTTGCGCATGACCCTGAGGTGTATAGCGAGCCGATGAGCTTTAAACCAGAAAGGTTCCTACCAACTGACGGCACCGAACCCGAACAAGACCCACACGCATTCGTGTTTGGATTTGGACGTCGTGTCTGTCCCGGACGCGTACTAGCCGACAATGCCTTGTTTCTCAACATCGCTCAGACTCTTGCAGTTTTTAATATCACCAGCGAGAAGGGAGACACTAAAGAGGTCCTATTCACGCCTGGTATTGTTAGCCACCCTAGCCCGTTCAAGGCTAGCATCACCCCGAGGTCTGCCCATCATGAAAAGATGATTAGATCTTTGGAGCAAAAGCATCCATGGGAGACTAGTGATAGCCACATTCTGGACAGCATGAAGAGTTAGAACTACGACTAGGCGGCTTGTGTCTCCGGGAGCTGTCAAGATATTTGTCATTACAAGACTTTGTGTCAGCTGTGACTGTGCAAGTTTCTATATTATGTATCCTAAGGAGGTAGTCTGAGCTTAGTTTGCAGCGAAAACAAGGAATACTGCATTTACAGACGTTAGACTCCCGGTTTTCATATTGCATAGTTCGTACATGTTATCGCCAACCAGAGTTTCCGGGGTTATTTGTACTAAATGTTGATAAGAAGAGAGTTGGTAAAATTGTCAAAGCTGAAGGCCCAGACCTCGTAGACTTGGACGTTATCCTGTGCCTGTCAACGGAATGTAGTCTTAGCTAAAGCCATAAGACGGATAGATCATTCTGCATGAACTTTTTGGGCAATTGGACGTTGAACGACCCGATCACCTGGGTCCGTTAAAGGGTCGAGACTCGGTGAACCCAAGGGCTGGGTACTTGGCGTATCTCAGTGCCTGAAATCTAGATCCAGGCTCAGGGGTCTAGCCAGAAGCGTTTAGTAGCTGAAGCCACCACTGCAGGAACAGCATACCTGTCGTCATTAGCCTCCTGATCCAGACCACCCATTCATTCTTTAACAGCGCCACGTAAAATTGTGATCATTGGCCCTCCACAGAGAGTCGCAAGGTATTTGTCATTCGACGAAGGGTTGTCAACCCGACTCAAGTCGGGGAAGATCGTCTACGGATGATGAAAATGGCTGTCTTAAAATAAGGTGTCACGTGGAAGTGAGACTTTTGTTGAAGGTGGAGCAGTCAATGTTATTATACATTTCTTTTGGTATCATGATTCATAAGCTCTAGAATATGCTTATCGCTAAAGTAAATCAAAATAGAAAGAGTGACATATAAAACGTAACGATTGTAGGTTATAGTAGCCAAATAACAACGATGCTGGCAACACTGGTCAAGGTGCATGCGAAGACGTTGACCTTATGAGAGCCTGCAGCGCTAACAGTTTGAGGAACGCTGTATCGGTCTGCATCAGTCTCACCACTCGAGGATTGGGGACTTGAGTTGTCATCAGAAGGAGTGCCGTTTTGTGGTGATGGAGGGCTTACAACACCAGAGTTCGAAACATCGCCAGATGATCCATCGGTGTCATCAGAGGATGTAGTGTCAGCTGGGTTGTTTGGTTTGTTCTTGCTCTTGGGCTCTCCATCAGCAGATAGAGCATCCGAAGAAGAGGAACCGCCTTCTGAAGCATTTGTCGGGGGATTAGCTGGTGCGCTATCTGCACCACCAGGAATGTTTGATCCTTGACCATTGGATTCAGTCCACTTGTTTGTAGAAGATGGGGATGAAGGACCATGTTGGGGGATGGTTCCAGCACCCGAACCTTCGAATCCTGAGCTATTGGCAGTATCACCAGATCCCGATCCTTGTGCGCTTGAAGAACCACCTACGTGGTCGATAATCTGATCGTTGGAAGCGCCATTTCCATCTACAGAGCCGGTGTACCCAGTGGCGGCGAGGTCTGAGCCTGTGTTTCCAAAGCTTCCGTTGTATTGTTGATCTTGATGTGTATCCTCGGGACTTGGCACTTGAGGCTGAGAACCATTCTGTTCTGGAGAGTCTGGAGTGGGAGAACCAGTGCTAGTGTTGGAGCCTTGGTCAGAGTTGACCTGTACTGTCTCGATGGCACCGGGTACGTTGACTTGGTCAACCCAAGCCTTTGTAGCCTGTGCAGCATCGAGAGGCTCAACGATATATCCAGAAGATGAGTATGCCTCAATAGACTCAGTAGGAAAGGTCAGAGTCGCAACTTGAGTACCTTGGCCACCACAAGCGTTGCATTTGACCACAGCATGGGTAAATCCAGGTGGAGGAGCAGTCTCGATAGGTGCACCATGGCAGTCGATACTTGAACATGTTTCTGTGATGGTATATGTCTTCTTCGTCAACCCCGAAGGGTAGAACTCTTGATATGTGCGTGTGTATTCACTTTGATAGCCGTCTGGACCACTGACTACAGTGATAAGAGGTAGGGCAGTGGTGGTGAGACAGGGCTGGTAGGCTACTAGAGCATAGGTGGGAAGTATAAAGCCGAGCAGGGCGTATGACCTCATGTTGGAGGTGATAAAGAGTGACAAAGAAAGGAACGTGAGGGTACAAACGTAAAGGAGCGTTGATGAGCATTCGATAATGTGCGAGAGGACAATTAATTAAATATGCTGCATATCATGGTAGCTATTGATGGTGACCATCTAGATATGGCTGAACTAGTGTTAAGGATTAGAGGAACAACGTCGGCGCTCTAGAATGCGCCTCGAACGAACGGACCTACCGATTACATGGTGGCTATTACCGGAGGGTATATGTCCAGAAAGTCCGTTAGTGTTCGCTAGCTCTCTGGAATGCGTCTTCATCAGTGGCCGGTCATTCAACACCATGATCAGAACGTTGTAACTATTGTTTTAATGTTTGCCAGAAGATCTCCATTTTATTCCAACACTGACAATAGCTACCTTGGAATGAGTTCCTGGCCTTGGCAGTATCTTGTCTTCAAGATCTTGATAAGATCACGACTGAGACAACGTGTGAAGAGTTCTGCTTCCGGTAACACGGAGACTACCGTGGCGATCAAGACCGAAACCTTAATGCAGATCCCATGGCGCAATCTCTCTGACGCTTTCGTATTAGCGCAAGGGCAAAGGGTCTGTGAGAGCTTTTATGCAGGAACGCGACTCGAGATCTAGAACGTCAGAGGCTCTTGTCATGAGGACTTCTCACGGATCGAGCTCCATGACTCGGATTTCTGGGGAGAGTAGAGATTAAAGATAATTGTTCAACCTTTGACCAAATGATTGTTAAGCGGACCTTGCGTCTTTGCGGGTAGCTCTGAGACACTGTAAAGACTGGTATGTAAGTGGCTCTCTCCGATGCTTCTCATTGGATCAAAGCTCGATCAGCACGCATTCACCTCGATGTCTCAGTCTAGAGCCATCTAACTCTACTCCCCAAGCTCGACAGTTCCGTGCTGCAGGAATGTCCAAGCCGTATGTAGTCCTTTTGCAGCATGGAAGCTCTCTGTTTTGGGATGAAGCAAACGTCTGTATATACCAACGTCTCTCTTTAAGAAAGTTCACGTAACTTTGTTCTTTCTCCCTTTTTCGAGATTCCTTTCTTCTAGTGACCGTTCATTCATTTCGCGGTTTATCATCCCATCGAGGGAGCTTTATTAGCCATGTGGCTACATGACATCACCCGCTACGGGGCTTTCCTTACTTTCCTTACTAACGCAGCAGCTAGGGCACCGGAGTTTGAGTGCAGTGCTGGTGAGAGGATCATCCAGCTGCAGCCCATCAGAGTGGTCAACGGGACGAGAACTTCGGACGCGACAATTACGCGGTTGGTGAAGCGGTTCAATTATTTTGAAAAGCTCTAACGGGATTCAGTACATTTTATGTCCCTCCCAATGCCTCGTATATTACAACCGCCGTCTTTGGTGATGGACCCCCGACTACGTACACAATCCCTCCACAGGGAACACCACCAGTGGGAACAGTTATCGTGAAGGAACCTGTAATGACGATTACTTCTTTCATTCCCTCATTGACAGCCGTGCGAACGCGCACTCTTATTCCTACACGATCTGGTGATCCGACTACTGTTATCATCGAGCGACCGGATGATCCGAATACCCTTCACGATCCTCTCACGAGAGTCGCAAGCCCGAGAATTACCACAGTCGACCATACACAAAATGTCGAAGTTTCTATTACCAGAACTGTGCAGCGCGAAGACACAAAAACGGTCATTATCGACCATACAGATGAGCATGGCACTGTCACGGTCCGACGAGAGAGTTACACAACAATTACTCGCGTCAATAGTGTTGGAGTTCCAACTACACGAACCCTTCAGCCTGATCGCCCTGGTGATGTCAGCACGGTTATCGTTGAGGTACCTCAGACCAAGGGTCACTTCACCACAATTGTGCGCACAGGCACTGGCACTGGAACCATTACGTCGACCCAATATCCCAGCGACCCAGATGACACTGGTACTGTAGTTATTATGATCCCCTCGGGGCCTGATCAATACGCGACAGTTACTCGCACAGGCACTGGAACAGCTACAGTCACGTCAACTCAACCACCTGGTGGACCTGAAGAGCCTGGAATCGTCTTTATTGACGTGCCTCCGAATACGCGACCACACCAGACCATCACTCGAGTCGGAACTGGCACAGTACCTATCACATATACTCTCCAGCCAGACGGACCCAGCGGAACAGTCACTGTTGTGCATGAGCTTCCATCAAGCAGTGTACCTTACGCAACTATTTCTCGAATTGGAACTGGAACCGCACCTGTTACAAGCACGATTCCTCCCAATCATCCCGGCGAAACCGGTACCGTCGTGGTCATTCTGCCTCCCATCAATACTCGCATCATTTCCACTACGCACTGGGGAAGTGTAACAGCGCCTCAAACAGTTACTACGTTTCCAGATGGTCCCGACGGGCCGGGAGTAGTTGTTGTTGACCTACCGAATCCACGTACAACTCTAACTCGTGGAGGCGATGTACCTGCTCCCACAACAAGCACGCCAGAGAACGTGCCGGCAGGAGAGACGGGTACGGTTATTGTCATCACACCCATTAAGTATGCAACTACCACGAGGACTGTGGCGACGGGGTCTGAGACGAAGACCTTTACTCAGAGGCCATCTGATCCGGATGGAACCGGTACAGTCATCGTGGAGCTCCCTCCCAATGCGACGCCTTTCACCACCATAACTAGCCTCTGGACTGGTTCGACCACTCGCGTTGTAACTGAGCCTCCTTCGGCACCTGGTGAGACCGGAACCATTCGGGTGGATGTTCCGGAGGAGTATACTACTGTCACTAGCTTCTGGACAGGATCGACTACTCGAACCAACACACAGCGTCCTTCCGTGCCTGGTGATACTGGCACTATCCGATTGGATGTACCGGACAATGGCGATGACTACACTACCATCACTGGTGTCTGGACAGGATCAACTACTCGCACATCGACCCAGCGTCCTTCTCAACCCGGCCAAACAGGCACAGTCCGAATCGACTACCCTGATAAGCCAGATTATGTCACTGTGTCAAGTTTCTGGACTGGTTTGACTACACGTAGAAGCACCGAAACAGCTGCAGGTCCAGGTCAAACAGGGACTGTGCGCGTTGACGTCCCCGCTGATGGCGCGAACTACGTGGCAGTCAGCGAATATTGGACCGGTTCAACTACTCGAACAGTCATTGTACCTCCCACTGGACCTGGCGATACAGGTACTATTCGTGTTGACTTCCCTACTGCTGGTATCCGCTATGTCAATGTTAGTGAGCAGTGGACTGGAACGACAGCTCGTACGGTTACCCTTCCTCCTGAGCGACCGGGCGAGGACGGTACGGTCCGTATTGAAGTGCCCGCTATGCGTTATGTCACTGTGACGAATTTCGGATCGGGTTCTGACACCAGGATCTTCACTCAGACTCATAGTGGAGATGGCTTTACTGATACAGTTGTCGTTGAGGTTCCTCTCATCACATCGTATCGTACCGTCACGAGTACTGGTACAGACTCCACAACAAAGACGTTCACTCGAGAGCCTTCTGGCACAGGACGAATCGGAACCGTCGTTATTGAAGTTCCACCTGCTTATGTCACGACAACGATTACGGGTACTGGAAGTGCCACTAGGACCTTCACTCAGACACCTTCTAGCGTTGGGGAGACTGGCACAATTGTTATTGAGCTGCCCCCGGGTGCTACGCCTTATACCACAGTCACTCGCACTGGGACTGAGTCATTCACTACAACTATTACGCAGACTCCAACGTCACCAGGACAGACAGGGACTGTTATCATTCAAGTCCCGTCTTCCACAATTCCTTTTGTCACAACAACCTCTTACGCCACAATCACATCAGCCTACACGACTACTGTGACCCCTACAGTTGCAGGTCAGACCGGCACAGTCATCGTATTCAGGCCTCAGTCATGGGTGACTACTACCCGATATGGAAGCGTGTCAGCTGCTTCTACCACGACTCAAAGCGCACAGGGTCCCGAGGGTACCGGCATTGTCATTGTGGATCTCCCGCAGCCTTACACTACCATCACCCGCTATGGCAGCGTATCAGCGTCCTCGATAACAACCCAGACTGCCACAAGTCCGGGAGGAACAGGCACTGTCATTATCTATCTACCCCAGCCTTTCATCACAACGACTCGTCATGGCAGTGTCACGGCCTCCACAAGGACAACCCAGGCACCTCAGAAGCCCGGGGAGACGGGCACTGTGCTGGTCGATCTGCCTCAGCCTTATGTCACATACACTAGCTACGGGTCTGTCACTGCAGCTGGCACCAGGACCCTCACTGGATTTAGTCAAGGAGGAACCGGTACTGTTGTCGTTGATCTTCCCCAGCCTTGGACCACAATCATCAGATATGGAAGTGTCAGTGCTCCAGCGACTCGAACTCAAACTCCCGCGTCTCCGGGGCAGACTGGCACGGTCTTTGTTGACCTTCCCAATCCTTTCACGACCATTACTAGCTATGGTACTGGATCTCTATCAGGCACTAGCATCTTCATGCCAGCTACTCCAGGTCAGACTGGTACTGTCGTCATTCATCTTCCTCGGCCTTATACAACAACCACAAGGTTCGGCAGCGTTAGTGTTCCAACAACTGCCACGTTGACTGCAGCTACCCCGGGTCAAACTGGGACCGTGTTAGTAGATTTGCCACAGCCTATGGCCACATACACTAGATTCGGTAGTGTCACTGCGCTGAGCACAAGTACCATGATGCCCACCAGCGCGGGCCAGACTGGAACTGTCATCATCGATGCGCCACAACCATTTACAACTATCATTCGCTATGGAAGTGTTACTGCTAGTACCATGACCACGCGCTCTCCAGCCGTACCTGGACAGACAGGAATCGTACTGATTGACCTTCCTGAGCCATACGTAACCACCACACGGTATGGAAGCGTAACTGCTAGTACCATTAGCACCAAGACTCCTGTGTCGCCCGGTCAAACTGGCACAGTCTTCATTGACCTACCAGACCTCTATGTTACTACAACACGCTTTGGAAGCGTGTCAGTTATTAGCACTAGTACCAAAATACCTACAGCACCTGGTCAGACAGGAACTGTCTTCATTGACCTTCCTGATTCTTATCTCATCACCACGCGATACGGATCTGTGTCTGTTGCCACGAGGAGCACCAAGGCTCCTGTCTCACCGGGTCAAACCGGTACGATCTTCGTCGATTTACCAGATCCTTATGTGACTACAACCCGATTAGGCAGCGTGTCTGTCAGTACCACGAGCACGAAGGTACCTACAGCACCGGGCCAAACAGGTACAGTGTTTGTCGACCTACCCGGCCTTTACGTAACTACGACTCGCTTTGGAAGCGTTTCTGTCAGTACGACAAGTACCAAGCTTCCTGCCTCTCCGGGTCAGATAGGCACTGTATTTGTTGACCTACCGGATCCCTACGTGACCACCACACGTTTCGGAAGAGTCTCTGTTAGTACGCTCACTACTAGGACCGCGACTGTTCCCGGACAAACTGGCACCGTCATCGTCGATCTACCGAACTCGTATCTCACTACGACACGGTATGGACTTATCCCAGATGGTAGCAGTACCACCACCAATGAGCCAGCTGTCGGCGACCATACAGGAACGGTCGTCGTTGATCTTCCCGACCCATATTTGACCAGTATCCGATACGGAATTATCACTTCTGGTGCTAGTACAACTACCAGGGCGCCTGCTGGTCCAGGCCAAACTGGCACAGTTCTTGTGGATCTTCCTGCTCCGTACAGAACTACCACCCGATACGGAGTCATTACTGAGGGCAGCAGCATGACAATTCAGACAGCTGATGTTGCTGGTCAGACGGGAACAGTCTTGATCGACCTGCCTCAACCTTACGTCACAACAACTCGATTTGGAGGCATCACGAGTGGTAGCAGCACAACAACTCAGGTACCAGGAGCGCCAGGAGAGACTGGCACTATTATTGTCGACCTTCCTGATTCTTACCTTACGACTACCAGGTTCGGCAGAGTTCCGATAGGCACTAATAGCGTTACTACTATTACTCCAGCGACACCAGGTCAGACTGGAACCGTTATTGTTGACTTGCCTCAGCCATTCACGACGATTGCCCGGTATGGACGGGTCACAGCTAGCACTGCAACCACTGAAGAACCTACTGTCCCCGGAGAAACTGGTACAGTTATTGTGGATCTTCCTCAGCTGTTTACAACAACAACTAGGTTCGGTATTGTTTCTGTTCCTGAAACAGTTACACAAAGCTTCGAGCCAGATGAAACAGCGACCGTCCTCGTCGATCTTCCCCAACCGTACACCACTATCACCCGATTCGGTGTTATCTCAGACGCCGATCCAAACGGTGTTACTCAAACCGAAACCCCTGCTGTTCCCGGGCAAACTGGAACAGTCATCGTTGACCTACCTCAGCCGTACACAACTGTGACTCGGTATGGCCTGGTTGATGTTGATCATGAAACAACTACCACTGAGCCGCCAGCTATCCCGGGTGAGACAGGCACTGTTATTGCTGATCTTGCTCAGCGATACATAACTACTACTCGCTACGGATTGGTCGATCTCGCCCACCAAACGACTCAAACTCAGGCACCGGGTGTACCGGGTGAGAGTGGCACCGTTGTTGTTGACCTCCATCAACCCTACACAACAGTCACTAGATATGGTCTAGTTGATGCTGGCCATGAAACCACTACGACCGACCAAGTTGCTGTGCCAGGAGAAACAGGTACCGTTATCGCCGACCTCGCTCAGCGATACATAACCACAACCCGCTATGGACTCGTTGATTTGGGACAAGAGACAACAGTAACTCAGGCTCCTAACGTTCCAGGCGAGACTGGCACTGTTGTTGTGGACCTTGCCCAGCCATATATGTCAACAACGAGATACGGCTTGGTTGATGTCGGTAGTGAGACCACCCAGACACAAGCACCCTCTGTACCGGGAGAAACAGGTACCGTCATTGTGGATCTTGCTCAGCCTTACACAACCGTAACTCGTTATGGATTAGTTGACATTGGCCAAGATTCAACCCAGACCGGGACGCCTGCCAGTCCGGGTGAGACTGCCACTATTCTCGTTGACCTTCCCCAGCCTTTTACAACAATTACTCGTTATGGCTTGGTTGAGGTTGGTCAGGAAGCTACTCAGACGCAATCTGGTCCTAGCCCAGGTGACACTGCCACCGTAATCGTTGATCTAGCGCAACCTTATGTAACAACGACTAGGTACGGGTTAGTTGATGTAGGTGGTGAGACAACACAAACGGAAGCACCTGCTACTCCCGGTGAGACAGGCACTGTTCTGGTTGATCTACCTCAGCCTTATACCACGATCATGCGATACGGGAAGGTTACAGCCAGCCAGATGATAACCGAGGCGCCTGGTACACCTGGCGAGACAGGAACTGTCATCATCGACTTGCCAGAGTCTTATGTCACTGTCACCGAACTTTACACTGGTGCCGATGTCATCACTGAGCCAGTTGCTCTTACCACGGTCCCTGCTGATGGGTCTATTCCTGGTACAGTCGTTATCGCAACACCACCTGCACACCCAGTTACTGTTACCAGGTTCTACACTGGAACGTCTATTCTGACAGGACCGACTACCGTGTCTACAGTACCTGCTTCGGGAACTCACCCTGCTACGATCTTCGTGGAGACCCCACCAGTTACTAGTACCCGATTCTACACTGGAACTTCAATCCTGGCTGGCCCAATAACGGTGACAACCATCACGCCTACTGACACCGAGGCTGGAGTCGTCATTATCGAAACGCCGCCAGTGACAAGTACTCGCCGATACACCGGTACTTCGGTATTGGCCGGGCCGATTACTGCAACTACCATCACACCAACTGGAACTGAAGCCGGAACAATCATCATCGAAACGCCTCCGCCTCCTCCTGTCACTAGCACGAGATCATACACCGGTACAAACGTCCTGGGCGGTCCCACAACAGTCACCACAATCTCGCCTACAGGTACTGAGGCTGCTACGGTTGTCGTCGAGACTCAACCGCCACAATACGTCACAAGCACAAGACAATACACTGGTTCCACTACTCTGGCGAGCGCAAAGACAGTTCAGACCATTGCACCCTCAGGTACTGTTGCCGGAACCTACATCGTCGAGACTCCTACGCCTCCTCCATCTTTCAGCTGTGATGAGGGAGGATACTTGATCCAGCTTCAGACTCTTTACAGGCTGAACCTAGTTACCGGAGTGAATCAGCAAGTCGCTACTGGTATCGGTCCTGGTGGAATCATCAATCCTATCACTTACAACATCATCGATGATTTGATCTACGGTATCGTTCAGATTCCGAACAGTAAGAGTCAAGTCATCCGTATCGGAAGCACTGGATCGTACACTCTCATGGACACAATTATCGATGGTACCTGGAACAGTGGAGATATCGACGACCAGGGTAACTTCTGGATCGCGCAGTCCGGTAAAGCATGGGCCAAAATCGACGTCGATCCAAGACGTTCCACCTACGGCACTATTCTCCAACGAGGAACCGCAACACCAGACAACGGTATCGCTGATTGGGCCTTCGTCAAAGAAGGTGGGCGATACCTTTACGGTCTCCAATCTTCCACAGCCAAGACGTTCCTCGGAAGATTCAGTCTCGACACACAGAAGTGGGAGACTCTCCGAGATCTTGGAAATATCTCTGGTAATAACCTTTGGGGTGCCGTTTATGCTGTTGGTCCCAATCTTATTTATGCGTCTGAGAACAACTCGGGTGTTATCTATCGTTTCAATGTTGCGACAGGAGAGAAGGCGTTTATTATCCAGGGTCCTAAGACGTCACAGAATGATGGTGCTCGTTGTATCAATGCTTCACCACCAGGATCAGGGACCTAATGGATGATTGAATAGGACAGGGAAATAGGTTCTAGGAGCCATAGGAGTCTTTACTTTTATTCATTGCATGTATTCATTTCCATTATCTTATCTTCGATAGTCCAATACAGGATAGGAATCTTTATAGATCTTTATGATCCCGTACCATGTCTCAATTGACTGTTTATCCCACCAACAAGTATGAGAATATGAACATGGGTATGCCTTTGATTCCAGGTCAAATGGAGTTTCAGTCCGACGCAGAATTCGGGGGTGCTAGTATCTGGGCAGCCTTTTCCCTTACTTCTTTCTTCTGTTTTGTCGACTTCTGTTTCTTGGTTTTGGCCAACTTCTCCTCGGGAGGGTATCCAAGCCTGTCAGCCTGTTGCCAATTCTCCGACTTCCCAAAGTCTTCTCGAATCGGCGTCAGTAATTCTTTCAAAGCCTTGACCAGTGCTGGCTTGATCGTCTGTGGGGTCAAGATATCTTGCTTGTAGTCGTCCTTGAGTCTGGTGATGTCTTTATAAACAAGAGGCTCTCCATCCCTCTGATCCACCGTGAACCTTACCTGTCCCTTTAGAGAAAGGACGCGGAAGATTACATGCTCGATGAAAGCAATGACACCATTGCCCTCCACCTCTTTTGGGACACACATAGCTTTCTTGAGCTTCTTAGCGACTTCCTCGGGTGTATCCAGCAGCCCAATCTTGGAGGTCGGTTCGCTCGAGCTCATCTTCTGTGCCTGCCCAAGGCCCGGCACTAGAGCGTTCATTAGATGTGCCCTTTTCTTGTATCCGACTTTGTGAAGGTTGTCGAGGGCGAAGGTGAAAATCTTGCGCTGGTCGACACCGCCGAGCTCCGCATCCACGTCGAGGTACTCTTCATCCAGTGCTTGCATGACCGGATAATCCAATCCGCCTGACAAGGGATCATCATCCAATTTGACTACCTCTGCGGCGGCCTTGCGTAAGGTCGACAGTCTGGTATCACGTTTGATCAATCGACAGTCCTTATTCTATGCTTCACTCCACTGGAAGGAACTCCCAATAACAAATTCGAGTTGATCGATGCTGACGCCGATGGAACGAAGCAAACTTTTTATGACAAATTGGTAATATTCCGTCCGCGGGGCGATACGCTCGAATGGCACGTCCAGGCTGTCGAGGAAGCCGTGGACATCTGCGATCAGGATCTTAACGTGACATCCTGCGTGAAGAAGCTCAGCGACCTTCACCATGGGCACGAAGTAACCGCAGTGGGGTTTGCCGGTCGTGGCGGTGCCCCAGTAGACCTTGAGGGCTCGGTTCTGGTTGATAATAACATCGTCGATGATTTCGGGATTGAGAATCTCGGCTAGGTTGGCCTTGACGAGGGCAAGCGATTCATCGGGCGTCATGTGTGCGTATTTCCGGAGTTGCAATAGTGGGTTTGGTTCCCAATGGTATTGATGGAAATGAAAGAATGATCCGGCTTCCTTTTACAAAAAAGCAATACAGGTGGTTTGTGTAGGTTTGAAATTACAGGAGAGTCATGCCGAAGCCGGAGAGAAATCTGTCAATAAGGTGTACCTTGAACGTTGATCACATAAAGTTCAGGATAAACAATCTTTGTTGGTTGAACGCATGCATAACTCAATCATGTGACTAAAAACATAAATTACTGCTTACAATAGCAAGCTCCTTCACTCTTTTGTCAAGATATCAGAAGGCATTACACGATCGCACAACATCTACTTTGTAGCAGCTATCAGTTTCACGTTGGTAGCAAAGGTAGCCGGACAATCACTAGACTAATTGGGATGTAGCCGAATCTTACATTTTTCCAAGGTTTCTTTTATATGTATTTGGCAATATGCTTCATCTTAGTTTAATCGTCATCATCGGAGTCATCTCCTGAGTCGCTGTCAACATCATTGGCGCCGCCCGGTCCACCAGGTCCTGACTCATCTCCGCTGTCTTCATCACCACTATCCTCATCTCCACTATCGCCGTCCAAGAAAGCATTAGGGACCGTCGCGACAGCCTTTGGTGAGACTCCCACGGGATCAAGAGCCTTGGCAGCTACAGCATCAAATCCGGCGCTCTTGGCCTCAGCTAGTCGAGCAGTGAAAGGTCCAAAACCTCTCTCATGGAAGCCAAGGAACGCAGCAGGGTCTGAGGCGTCTCCTCTCGGTGGCTTTGCGGACAGGGCCCAGCCCATAACTGCGTTGCCTACGGCTGCCTCCGGGCCCAGTCCAAGAGTGCCGTCGAGGCAGTTCTCGCACAGGAATGTGTATAGCAATGAAGTCTCGTTAACGGAGACTCCATCAGGCAGCGGTCTGACCTTGAAGTTTCCCTTGACCACAGCAGGGTTATCTTCATCTATGGCCTGTCGGAAGGATGCCATGACTCCTCCTTTTCCATCGGGCCAAGCTGCCAGGATGAAGTTACCTTCCATATCTCCTGTCAAACCAGCTGCACCCCATCCTTCGCCGTTAGAAAGTGGAAATTGTAGTTGACCGATGAAAGAACCCGCCGCACTGCTGTTTGTAGCGGGCTGTGAGTCTGGTAGAGCGAATGCGAAAGCGAATGAGGTTCGAGTACCGATGAAGCGCTCCATTGTGAGGCCTGTGACTTGGTCGACGAAGGGCTCGCTGACTTGCTTTTCTGAGGAGGTCGCATCGTCGGCGAGGGCGAAGGCGGGAAGAAGAAGACTTGTAAGCAGGATGCGCTGGGGGTTGATATGTCTTTGGACGGTGCGCCTATTCTGGATATTGCGAATAAGAGGCATCTTGGGGTATCTTGGTGTTATATTGCGTAAAGGATAAAGAATGGCGCTTGATGAGCAAAGTGAAGGACTTTGAAGTAAAGTAGAAGGCTGCTGAAGTGCTTGAAGCTACTGAGTGCTGATAATTATTCCATATCGCAGAACACAGTCAAATACTTATATCACTCACCGGGCCGAAGCCAAGAAACATGAAGATAGCTTCAAACCAAAGGTCTCCCTTTTCGCCCTTGCAGTATTCTAATTTCAGCAAGCGACCGTTACAAACTTCAATTGAGGGTGCCGCTTTACCGCATACGGAGTTCCATCTTGTCCGAAAAGATTGAAATGTCACTCCGTTTGGCCGTCCTATTGCCGCTGACTGTTTGGTCTCTACTGCCTATGAATAGTATGTGTTTGAAGCTAAGGCCATGCATTTCAATTGGACTTATTGCTATTGGTGGGAAGTTGGGATCGAAACGGTTCGAAACAATGGCAGATCCTGTTTATGGGATATAACAGACGAAGTTAAGCCTGGGTGTCATATTTAGATGTGCAGGTAATGCATCTATTCAAGGTGGACTTTGATGGGACATTTGTGTCAGTCAAAGTTGAGTGGAGACGAAACACTGACGGGAGTGTCGCGTTTTGCCAAAGGTTTCATACTTGACAGGTAGATGGCGCATCATCTGGCTCTCCTATTGGCTGTATTTGGGCAAGCTGTCTGTCAGCTTATAAAGTGTTGACGGATACCATGTACTAGTGTATGCGGCGCTGCTACCAAACTGCTAAGCGAGAGTCGCTCTTGAAAAACGGGGATGGCTGGGGCTACAAAATCGAGAAGTTGGTCGCGTGCTTCGTTCACGCGTCGGATGTATAAAACTGCTTAAAATAGCATTTGCCTATCATTGGTTGATCGCGCTCGATGAGTAGCTGACTCATGCTCTGACTTTGTCAGCTCTGAGGATGACTCGCTTAGCATGATGCCACATGAGTGACCAAGCATCAAAAAACGCATCTGGAGTGTTGCCTCGATGCCTTATGATAAATTCGAACAATCAAAGTACAGGCAATGTTGTACCAATAAGTACCTCGGCTGACTCTTGATTTGCGCTAGACAATCAGTTTAAACACCTGAAACTTGGATTTAGCTCATTCATATCTGATTCAATAGAACTGTATCGACTTTTCCAGTAACTTGCATGTGTGATAAACCGCGTAGGGTAGGTTGCCAGAAAGATATGCCTCAGGCACCTACTTTCCACTTTTCTCGACTCAGCCTCTGTCCTTAGCACGGCCACAAGCTGCGCCACGCTCAGTGCGCGTTCCCCACGTGCCTTGACAATAACGTCACCCTACGTCAGTTTAAACACAATCTCACGTCTTTTAATCTTAAACTCATCTCACATAAGATAAACCACCAAACTTCACATTAAAGCATCACATCAACCATCAGTCAACATGTCTTCTCAAAACGCTCCTCAAGAACTCTCAAATATGAGAACTTCTCAGCCTGTGGAGACAGATCAGCCCAAGGCGCAATCATCTATGGGTAAGACGACTGACTGCAAGACGCGACGAACCTTGCGCTGACCCATTTGCAGATCCCCAAAAAGCATCCGAGACCACAGAACCCAACCTCGAACTCCGTGGAGGTGGCGCCTGCGATGGACGACTTTGTGGTGTTATTCCATGCCCTATTCCGATCAACTGCTGGATCATCCCTTGCCCTTGCTGTTAAGTAATTACGCGAGAAGGAGTCGCTTATCGTCGGGCGTTCAGATGCGAGGATATGGGTTATGTACATAATAACGGGTTAATTAATGCAGTTCGCGATTGAATCACTTTATTCGTTGCAGCACTAATATGTCCCAATGTGGCCGATTGCAGGAGCAGCCAGCATACAGTTGAGACACGGGCGCCGTGCGCCCCCACATGGTAGACAGTCGATAGAGGGCATATCAGCTCTACCGAGACCAAACAAGGCTCAAAGCTCTGTTGATTATGATAATGATGATTCATGTGTAACACGAAGCTCCCTTTGTTCATGGTCCTTCTCATCCGGAGACACTCCGCTCTGAAAATAAAGACCTGGAGGTAGGTGCAATTTCCTAACACGTCGCCAAGCATCAAGAAGATGGTTGTGCTGTACGAGTTGAACAGGCTGTACGCGTCACATCCTTTATCTCATCTGTTAAATAAAACTATTCCCGCATTTGATTGACGTTGAAGGCATGCAAAGCACGAAAATGCCGTACCAATGGGATGTCACGAGAAAGACACGGTGATGCACAAGACTGCACTGCAACGTAGTCAAACTCCTGAATACATTGTACTACGCTATTCACCTATCCCAGAGATCAACTACCAACTTCACCACAGCTTGGGAGACTCAACTGCAGATGGAAGAGCACAATGGAAGGCCTCAGTACTACTTGAATAGCTCAAATCACCTCGTATGCCTCCATATTATTTGAGGTGCAGATAAGTTGTGAGACTCCAATGATGCTATTCGGCCCTTCTATCATCAACCAATAGCGGGTAGGTAGCACTTTCACCTTGGAACCTATCCTCGTGCGTAGATGAGTGTCTGTGTCCTTCGAGGTACAGAACACATGCTGGTACTCGGTGATCGACCGGCAACTGAACGATCCAAGGCTACTGCTAGTATCAATTACTCGCTGGAGGTCAAAGGGTTCATACTAATACCAAGGTCAGATAAATATTTACGACAAAGTGTAAAGGAGCATACATCCTTATTTCTGCACGGCAAGTCTTTCTTTCTTGCTTGGGCAGAAATCAAAATGTCTCTGAATGTCAAAATGTCGGCCCCGCATCTCTCCAGACCCGAGGCCTTCAAGCCGAAAGACCAGAAGTCTGATGCTCCCAAGTCGGAGGGTGCCGGTGACATACCCATAGCCCAAGAAGGTACGATTATATGCCAGTGCCCTCACGTCACCGAGATACTGATCCGTGCCACATCTCAGAGGCTATTACAAGCACTATTCACTTTACAGATGGAGTAAAGGAGCGTGAAGCATTCTATCTGAAGCTCCTCAAGTCCAATTTGGATGATGAAACCTTATCTGACCTTCGATCAAACATTGCCGGTCTTACAGGCAGCATCGAAATGTAGGTCTCTGCAGCTCTTGCCTTGATCTTGTTTCGAAACTGATATGAAGCAATAGCTCCCACTTCCCCTTCTGCGGAAGGAAGGGCGCTGTAGTTCCGGATAGCTTCTCCATTCAGGACTACTTGGAAGAATGTCTCGGGGTATGTCAGAGAGGTTTCGTCTGAGCAGCTTGCATCTGACCCCAGATAGACCAACACAGAAGAAGCCAAAACGCTGGATATTTACATGAGGGATACATCAATTTCCCAGGAACTGAACGTTGTGGGTTCTCTCCTTGCATATTGGAAACAGTACTGATGGAGATTATGTGTAGAAGGCCGATCCGGGCGAGGTATCCGATGCCACCAAGGTGTCCCTCCTCAAGAGTCAAGTCGACGATACCGCGTTCAAATGGATCACTGGAACACAGGCGAAGTAAGTAGGCTCTTATGTCTGGGAATTGAAAATAGAACTGATACAAGTGGAGGTATGTTCCCGAGCTGGAACAAAGAGACTGGGCAGTCATCAGAGGCAGCAATTCACTTTGCTATGGCATTTGTGTCATTCGTGTCCAAGAAAACTCGGATGCTATTGACAAGAAGCCGGACGATAGAAAGCCTGACCCTCGGGGCATACCAATTGGGATTGAGCGAGCTCGGTTTCCAGGCAAGTAAAATTGCTACTACGAGTATAAACGCACGTGCTTATGTTTATAGCGTTTCGACTGAAGAAGAGAACTATTTGGTCGGACAACTTGCCTACCACTACGATTGATGGCGTCAAGGTAAGTGAATTACGAACAAGTACCCGTCGAAGAAAAACGGGGTTGACTCGATTGACCACATTGATAGCTTGACCTTCGAATTCCCGACCACGTTATCGATGACAGATCGTATGTATCTATATACGAGACAGAGACAGACATGCAGAGTTCTATGGCGGCATCATAGTTCTCAGAGACCGATGTAGCTGCGGCGGGGTATGTACTAGTCTATTGTTTACAAAAATCAGCGATTAACTTATACCGCAACTATAGGAGTTTGCCATACATGGGCTTTTATGGTTCAGCTTCCATGAGCCTTGCTGTCGCAAGTTCACAGGCAGCCACAAGCTCGAACAGTAAGAAAAGCAAAAAAGTTACAATTGCCTACAATGTAAGCTCGATTATGAATTTTCGACGATAATGAGGTAGAGCTGATCGTGTCAAGTTCCCTCGAATTACCGCCTTTCTGGACAGCCGCAGCTTAGAGCTTACACCAGAATGCATGGAAGCTTTGTATCGAATGAAAACGACCGAAGACTTTTACAATTTCCAGAACGTCTACGGTATGCACCGTATTTAAACTTGTCTGATGAATCAACTAATAAATACAGGCGAATTCTTCAGTGCCCGAGTCCAACTAGGCGGTCGTCTGTTTTCTACAGAGGAAGTCTCTAGTAGCAGCGCCGAGAGCACAGAAGAGAAAGTGAAGTCGATGAAGATTGCTGCAGCTGCATCATTCAGCGGCTATGGTGCTTCTGTAGATGTGTCAGCATCATACGGAAAGGGAAGCGAGGCTAAGGAGATGAAAGCAAGCAGAGAGTCAGTGTCAACCTTGACATGGCAGGCTAACGGTGGAGACACACTTCTATGTAACCAGTAAGTCTAGATACTGTAGTCAAATGGCGCATGTGTCTAACGAAAGACCAAGACCACAGGAATGGACTCCGACGGTAGCCTACCACTGGAACTGGAGAATCACCAAGGTAAGAGATATCTGACCTTCTCATCGACGACATATGAGAGCTGATGACCAATTTTCAATCAGCAAGACCATATTGCCAGCATATTCGATGTGGCCGCACAAATCAAGGGTATGGACTGGGTCATCAAAGAAGCAATCCCGTTGGGTCTCACTATTAATCCCAACTTCGACGATGTTGTTGCAAAGCCTCCTTCATTCTTAGCTAAGCCCACCAAGAGCTTTACTATCCAAGAATCATGGTGTGAAGGTGGAAGGTACATGCTCACTTACCCTGCCACTATTTGCAGTACTGGTAAGAGTCGTTGACTTTCGTGACAGTGTTGACATGTTACTAACGTACCTTGTGCCTGCTGCCGCACAAGCCTGCAACGCGACGAAAACGAGCAACTTCAAGATCGACTCTACCTTACAGAAGTGGGGCCGTACACTTCTCGGACCAGAGACAGCCGAAAGTCATGGTAGCGAACGATTGTATGAAGCCGAGAACCTGAATGGGGAAGTACAGGATGAGGTCAGCTATACCCCTTCTCTCGAAATCACCGGTACTAAAATAAGATCAGCTTAAATACAACACCAGGTATCGCTTAAAGAACAAAGAACGAGGTCTTCATGTCGATTACCACAACATCCAGCATGACAAGTTTGTATCAGAAAACGACCAACGCTCAAACTCCTATTGCATCGTCTTCCAGAAACCTGACGGCTCACAAGAGGTCGCTGTCATCCCGGATAATGCCCTGGTCATGCTGCTGTTCTATGAATCGAACAACCACAAACTGGGCCATATGTACATACGTGCACTGGACAAGAAAAATGCCTACTTGTTTTGCTCTGCAGGGAACACCGGTTTAGAATTAGGTATCGATAAAGCTACATGCTTTTTGAGAAAACCTTACCCTCTTTCATCCAGTCAATTCTACAAAACTGTCTTCAATAGTCTTCTTAAAATGATCTATTTTTCCAAACACCACCTATTGACCGAAAGTGATATGTGGAATTTATGACCTATGCCGTTGCTAACTGCCCCGGACTGTCTTGTCTGTTATTTGGTTAGCGCCACTTGCCGAGGTACTTCTTCATGCGCACCCCTGACCTTTTTTACCGAGGTTCACCGACAGTCACGTGACATGCGGCTGCGACGCGCTTGTGACAGTCTTAAATAAACATTCCATCATCGGCATCACATGCTGCTTATCATTATTCCCGACTTCATCTTTCCGTCAATTATTTCGCATATATCTTAATTATGACTTTGTCAAAGAACAGTGGCCGTCGCGAGACGCTGACGGTTGTGGACAACAGAACCAACCAGAGCTACGAGATCCCCATCACTCACAATTCTATCCCGGCAACAGAATTCAAGAAGATCAAGGCTGAGGCTGGAAATGATCGCCCGGAGGATGAGACGAATCAGGGCCTTAGAGTGTATGATCCTGCGTACATGAACACGGCTGTTGTGCAAAGCAAGATCACGTACATCAACGGCCTGGATGGTGTTCTTCGTTACCGCGGATATCCTATTGAGCAGTTAGTGGAAAAGAGCAATTTCCTCGAGTCTGCCTATCTTCTCATCTATGGCGAGCTTCCTACCAAGTCACAGTACAACCAGTGGCATGGCGAGGTGATGCATCACACGTACATTCACAGCGACATTGAGAACATGTTCAAGTCGTTCCGCTACGACTCTCACCCTATGTCCATGCTTACGGCGGCTTTTGCTACACTGGGAGCGTTTGCTCCGGAGGCAAATCCTTCTCTTGCCGGTCAGAAGCTCTACACCAACGCTGCTTCCGGCAATGTTGAAGCTCTTCAGATGCTGGACAAGCAGATTCTGCGCATCATCGGAAAGGCCCCTACTCTAGCTGCTGCGTCATACAGAATGCGCCAGGGTCGACCCTTCAACCGGCCGGCACAGGGACTGGGCTACACCGGAAATTTCCTGTACTTGCTAGACCATCTGTCTGAGGCCGATTACAAGCCTCATCCTGTTCTTGCCAAGGCCCTGGACCAGCTGTTCATTATTCACGCCGATCACGAGGTCAATTGCTCTACCGCTACAGTCATGCAAGTCGGAAGTTCGCTCGTGGACCCTTACAGCGTTGTCGCAGCAGGATGCGCAGCACTATATGGTCCTTCCCACGGAGGAGCCTCTGAGTCAGCCATCCGCATGCTCATCGAGATCGGATCTCCCGAGAACGTCCCTGCTTTCATGGAAGCGGTTGAGAAAAGGGAGCGCGTCCTTGTAGGATTCGGCCACCGAGTCTACAAGAACGTCGACCCTCGTTCCACCGCTATCCGCAAGCTTGCCGAGGAAGTCTTTGAGGTTACCGGCAGAAACAAGCTGCTAGATACCGCTCTGGCTCTTGCCGACTACGCCAGAAAGAGCGAGTTCATGCGCAGCAGGAACCTGTACCCCAACGTGGATTTCTACTCTGGTCTGATCTACCAGGCTATGGGTTTCCCCCTTGACTTTTACCCTGTCTTGTTTGCTGTTCCCCGATGTGTTGGATGGTTAGCGCACTGGAGACAGATGATGCTGAACCAAGCTGGTGTCAAGATCTGGAGACCTAGACAGCTGTACATCGGAGAGGGCGAGAGAGAGTACGTTGATGCTGGGAACAGAAAGGCAAAGTCTGATGCGACAGTCTTTGATGCTCCTGTCAAGGTTCAGCATGGAGGAAACAGCCAGCGAACAATACTTGCTACCGGTGGAGGAGAGCTGAAAAGCAAATTGTAAGATGTCAAGCGTACTTTGGGTTTATCCTGTATTTATTGGGCGTCCTTTGCAAGCAAGCTATTGCGTATATCTGAATCATACTAGCAATTCCATAACCAAAGACCATCTTGTATATGTAAAACCCAGTGCGCTTAAATCACAAAATTGACATCTACCAAGTGTCGTCGGAAAACCAGCTTTGCTCGATAGTCGGGGGTGGTGGGAATAAAGCCTTTGGTGGAGCGACTTCCGGGGCCTTGAGCTCAATAATCGCAGCCAATTCTGCGTATCGTTCTAAAAGTTCCTTGCACATGTTCATCCTTTCTCCCCACAGATAACTGTCGTTTGCTGACATCGTCATTGCGGCGTCTCCAGCTCCCATCATCATCGGTATCGTAAGTGGAGCTGCCAATCCACCTGTCAACAACGTCAGGATAGCGGCGCCAGCTCGTGAACGGTTCAAGTCGTTATTACGCTGGGCATGCTCAATTCGAAGTTTGGCGAAGTGTTCGAACATCTTCTTGCAGATGTCCGCTGAAGATGGGCCAACAAGAAGGAAGGCAAAAATAATGGCATAGTCGACGTCGCTCCAGTATGTGTTGGCATCATGCCATCCTTTTCGAAGACCGTCGAAGCCTGCATATTCATTGTCAGTGAAACGTTCAAGATTCACGAATTCTCGTAACCCACGTTCGTTGACCTTGTTGATTTCCTTGTGGTCATCCACTTTGCCAATGAACTGGACTCTTGAGATATTCTTAATCTTCTCCTCATCCCATTGCTCTCCTTGACAATGCGAGTGACCCGGACGATGGCTCCAGTAGAGTCCAGTTGTAAATTTCTCAAGAAGAGTCTTGCGAGAATACCACACGCTCTTGGGAATAAGACAGACGGCTACCTCAACCTTGAAGGTTGACGATTCGATGATAGATAGGTTCGATGATACCTCAGTGCTGTCCCAGGAAATGAGTTCCTGGATTTCGGTGGTAGCGATAGGAGTATCCGTGTCAAAGGAAAAGGGATTCGGTTCTTGCTCCGGCTCTTGTTCCTGAGGCGTCGGTGTTGCGACCAGGACTGCTACCCAGTGATCTCGTTTTGGTTTCGCCTTGGGAGTCTTGGTTTGAGATCCTGGCGAACTGCTCTCAGATGGACCTTAAAGGGATATCAGCATATCATCCCTTTCTTATCAGTTGTCGCTGCTTACCTTGACCCATTGAAGAAAACAGCCAGTCGAACGTGGCACGCAGAATGGATCTCACGCGCGCAAAGAAATATCGCAATTTCTCGCCCGAAATATCAACCCGCTTCGCTATCAAGCCCTTCATCGTCTCAGACGGAGGCTTGATATCGGGCAATCGAACGGGAACAAAATATTTCACCACCGCTGGTGCATTGTCCCATTTTTCGTTCAAGTTGATCATCAAATCGAACGTGACCGAGGTAAGATAGCCCAAAAGGGCGATAACACAGGCATTTCTATACAACTGCAGCCATACTGGGCAAAGGGCGAACAGGGTCGAGATGGCGACAACGATGCAGACCAGCTGCTGTTTGACCACATTCAGCTCTTGACGGCGTTGCAAGGCCGCCTGCTGATGGGGCGTTAGGATGGGAGTGGGAATGGGCGCGGGAATAGGAGTGGGAGACATTGTCTGTATCCGAGGAAGACAGACTAGTCTTTTGATGATTCAAAACTATGAACAGAGAAAAGAAAGAATGGACGGGGATTATTATGCCTTGGGGTCTTGTCTTGATGCCCACCGCTTAATCCGAACCCACTATTGGGATCTTAGACCATCACCACATGGCGCACTTGGCTTCCAATCAATGACAGACCCACATCCACTTTTATCATGCACTCTTACGTGTCTGACAACAAGCGACAACAAGCGACAACAAGCGAGGATTTCATCAGAGAAATACCAATGCTCTGGTCTAAAATACTGCAGAACTACATGCACGCCATCGTATGATCGGGGTAGACGTCGTTGTCAACTTGCAATATATCCGAGTGGATTGCAGACAAATTAATTAGAGAGACTGATCTTGTGATTAAATTGAATAGCCCAATAATTATTCCTGGCCACGTTCAATCCAGACCAAAGTCGCCCTCAGTGCAGAGTAAGCTTAAAGACCGTTAACAGCCTTGAATCCCTTCTGCATAGCCTCGAGGTGGCTCCAGTCATAGCTATCTAGCGCAAGAGCCCAAGCCATGACACTCTTGACACCACGAGTCTCAGCCATAAGAGCGATCTTCTCAGCAATAAGCTCAGGAGTATCCCAAGACCAGAAGATACGGGTCTCGGAGTCCCAGTACCACTGACCACCGTTCATCTTGTCAGTGCGACCGTCATTGAGAGCCTTCTGGAATGAACTGTTGATGTCGGCGCCTTCACACTTGCCGTAGGCAGATTGACAGCCTGTACCGCAGTGAGCGGGAGTAGAGCCACTATAGATATGTTAGCACATTGAGTTCATCAGAAAGGAGAGATACTCACCACCACCCAGATCCTCCACAGCAAGATCCCTCAGCACACTTGAAGAAAGTACCAGCACCACAGGTGGCATCGGGAGTGGTAGTCAGGTTGGTAGGAGGAGCAGCAAAGTTGGCAGCCTCGAAGGTCATAGAGCCAGACTTGCCAGTGTCGCTTCCGTCAGGGTTCTCGAGAAGCTCAGCAGGGCAACCAATAGCTTGGGTGCAGGTATAACCCTTTTTGGTGGTGAACCACTTGGCGTAGAATGGAAGACCGAGGACAAGCTTATTGGCGGGGAAGCCGAGGGATAGATACTTGTCGACGGCACGAGCAGCGCCTTGAACAGAGACATGGTGGGTGGTGTAGTGGTCGCGACGGTTCATGAGATCGTAGGTCATAACCTACAAGAGTTAGCTTGGTAAGCATCAAGTAATGAGAGGTTGACGCACGTTGACAAAGTCGACATATTTGTTGATGAGGGGAGCCTCAGTGGGGATGTAAGCGATCATATCACGCTCAAGACCAGGGACGGCAATAGAAAGCTCCTTGTCTCCAATGAACTTCTTGATCTCCTTGAGAAGCTTAGGGAAAGCCTTGATCTCATTGGTCTTCTTGGAGTTGGGGACCTGCTTGTAGTCTTGGCCGTTACCACCGGGGTACTCCCAGTCGATATCTTATCAATCGTCAGCATTGTGGAGAAACGTTACCCCAGAAAAACACATACCGACACAGTCAAAACCAAGTCTATCAAGAGTGGAAGCGATGTTCCTAGCAAATCGCTCACGGGTACGATCAGTCTTGACACCTTCGTCAAAGCCAGCGTTGTCGCCCCAGCCACCAACAGCAAGACAGATTTTGATGTCATGGTCAAAGAGACCACGGACTTGCTTGAGGGGCTGGAAGGGCTCGTACTTTCCACCAGGCTGGGTGGTGAAGAGAGATGAGTTGGCGAAGGACATCATGACATGGGTAACGCTGCTGGTGATCTCCTTGGGAGGGAGATCCTTGGTGTGCCACCTTGTCGGGTGTTAGTATGGAAGGGCATGAGCTTGAGTCGAACAGCTTACTGGTCATAGTAGAGAATGTTGCGTGCTTCGGCTGCATTGGTGACAGCTGCAGCACCGAGGCCGAGAAGCATAGAAAGATGCATGGTTAAGTTAATGAAAGTGAATGAGTGACTAGAAGAGTGGTGGGATAACGAAAGAGTGTGGTGTAGCAGAGCTTGTCCTCTCATGCAAAGCGTGAGACAAGCTTACCTTATATCATCTCACGACTCCAGAACAGGATGTAACATAAGGCCTTAACGGTCAGCCCGTACCGAAGAAGCCGAAAGCCACCTTTCATGCCATTTTCCCGAATTAAGTTTAATTGACATTTGTTCCAAATGCTACGCTGTAGAGTTTAATTGCGGTTCAAAGTGGGATGCCGCTACGGTTTCGAATTTATAGCGCTGCATTGAGCGCAGGAAACAAATAGCTCCAACTCAAAATGGTGCACGTTCTGCTGTAAAATTGGGGGGAGATTTAGCGTCTTCGGTAGTTAGGTTGAGGTGTCGCAAGGGTAACAATGGGAGATCGGAGGATTGGATGGAATAACTACCGACAGTTTGGGGAGACCCGCGCAAGCCGATATCCCGAATTCTGATCATCAGTTCCTTGTCCTTTCTGGGTAGATGTTTGCACACGATCAGATGAGATTTATAAAAATGAATTCGCCAGCTAAAAATGTCACTAAAACGTCAATCAAAGTCTGCTCGCAATGCCCGTCTCCCTCTGAATGAACCAATCCACTGTAGCAGAAACACCTTCTTCCAACGAAACCCTCGGCTTCCACCCCAAAACCCTTTCCGCAAGACTGTTATCAGGTTTTCTCCTCAGAGGATCGTCTTCCCTCCTGGGCTCCAACCGTACCGGTACAGGCTTGTCGTATCCCGTTTTTGCCGCCACAACACGCGATATTATATCCGCAATCTCGCTGATTTCCATCTCATAATCACTGCCGATATTGACCGGCCCATGGTGATCGCTATTCATCAGCGCTTCCAATCCTCGAACGCAATCTTCTGAGAATTGGAAGCACCGCGTTGCATGGCCGTCTCCGAAAATGGTTATTGGTTCGCGCTTAAGAGCTGCTGTTATAAAGTTGGGTACCGCGCGCCCGTCTTCGGCTTCCATGAAGGGTCCGTAGGCATTGAAGATTCGGGCGACGCGTACTTCGAGGCCGTGTTCGAGTTGGTATGAGTATCCTAGGGCTTCCATGACTCTTTTGCCTTCATCGTAGCAGGCGCGGGGGCCAAAGCAATTGACGTTGCCTCGGTAGTCTTCGTTTTGACATGGGATTTGGGCGTCGCCATAAACTTCTTCTTGGTATTAGCGAGTGCGAATTGATGGTATTTTTCTTCAAGTTGCCTTGCCTGATGTACTTGCTAGAAGTACGCGCGCGTTCTGTTTGACTGCGTAGTCTAGAACATTGGATGCTCCATTGAAACATGTTTGTAGAATATCGATCGGTTGTGTCTCGAAATGCACGGGACTCGCTGGGCATGCGAGGTGGTAAATCTGGTCTACTCCATCTATCCACGGTAGAGGGTCGCGTACGTCGGCCCTGCCAATATTAGAATTGATCGATAGAATGTCAAGCGCATACATACTGGATGTATCGTAATCGTTTATTGGTTCGAAATCTATCGAGGTTGCTGTCGGATGAAGTCCACAAAGAGTCGATAATGACAACTTCGTGGCCTTGGTCGAGTAGCAATTGAACTAGGGTGCTGCCGAGAAAACCGGCGCCCTGGGGATTGTTAGCTTGGTACTTTGGATGAGTATATTGTATCATTATATCCACTTACACCTGTAACGAGAATAACCATGGTAAAATGTTATGTATGAACGAGCTTCGAACCGTCACAAACGTTATGATGGTGGGTTTAAAAAGATAAACATTCCCGGTGCATTTCAGAATTAAATACACATTCTCAAGTCAAACAAAGCATCATCGAACCCATCAAAAGCGAGACATTCTCAGCTCTCAGCTCGGACTCTAAGCGAAGATCCTAGCCACATGTAGCCTCTTAGCTCGGGATCTACCGAGTAGATCCTACGTCATGCCCAGCTGTCGTTGGTCGTGATGGGGATTTGACGTATGCGGCGCGGCCTTGTTGAACCCAAAAGCAGTCGAGCGATTGACGGGCAGGGAAATGATGGACGTACGAGAGCTGGAATTGGAGCTGATGATCCACCTTGATGTGAGACATCCGTGAGGCCGGCGGGAAGAAACAAGGCGATGAGCCTCAGATGAGGGCCTCAGCTTTGCTATTGGAGCTCAGCCACCAGGGATGTTGTATGTGATTCGTGATGTTCAACGAATTAGAAAAGAGAGATGGTTTCTTGGAAACCACAAGGAGAGGTGGTGGGTGTATGTGTCCAGTCTCTACCAAACTCATGTTTGTCAAGGTTCTGGTGCTTTCAGGCTGTGTAACTTGATCAAGCAAATCCATTCCCCAGGCGTTTCGGAAGCCGATTGTGTAGCAAATTGTCAAACAGCTGCAATAAAGGAATTACAACTCCTGCAAGATATCACATCCACTAGGGAAACAACAGACAAGGAGAGGATTGAAGACTTGAACGACTCTGCGAGTGAATGATATAGGGTAGTTAGTGGACGAAAGGAAGATCTCTATAAATAGACAGTCCAGTATCGAGATCTATTTTGTCAGCCATTCCATTATCGGCTGTGGACTTGCTCTACCTGTGGGACTAACCTACAATAAATACGTTATATAACTAGCTTTACGTGTATATTCTAAACTTCCATACGCGCTCTAGATGTTGCGGAACATTCTGTTCCGTTGACTCCAGAAATACTGCATCAGGCCAAGATCTGCACAACGCGTCGCGACAATCTACTACCTGGTATGCTAGTCACGCCCAAAGTAGTGTATACCCCGCCACGGAACAACTCCGTCTCCCTTGTTTAAGACGTCCGAGCTTGCAAAAACGTGTTCCGATTGCCGCGCCTGCATTGCCTGATCCTATGGTAGAGTCGTATTGGTTATTGCAGACGGGGAAGTTCTGAACCTGAAATCCACCAATTAGAAGGACAGTGAGTAGGACAATACATATGCATCGTCAGTTGAATATGAGGATATATAAAGCCATTCGTGATGATGTCTGGGCCTGGGTTAGAGGATTATTCTGGACTATCGTGAAATTGTCCTAGCTGAAGCTACTACGAATCATGTTGACCAAATTTGTCCTTCCGGCTCTTGCCAGCATCCTGCTGCGAAGTACCCCAGTCCAAGCAGCAGGAGACATCGACTATCTCATCACTTTGTTAGACTTCCACCCATATCACCGCAGTTCCCCATGTTAACCATCATAGTGGCGACTCGTACTCCCAGACATGGTTCGATATTAATGGCGAAAAGCCCTCCGCGAAGAACCCCATTGGCAATCCTCCTTTCCCTGGCTGGACCGCCGCTGGTGGTCCCAACTGGGTCGGTAGCATCGTCACGGAACAGAACAACTCTCTCGTCCTGGCATACAACTTCGCGTATGGAGGCGCCACGGTTGATGCTAATATCATCAAGCCATACCAAGATACTGTCTTGAGCATGGTAGACCAAGTGAACCAGTTCTCGAACTCGATTGCCAAGAAGCCTAGCTATGCTCCATGGAACGCTCAGAATGCTGTTGCAGGCGTTTGGATTGGCGTGAATGATGTTGGAAACTCTTTCTATCTGGGAAACATGGCAGATATTACCGAGAGGGCAGTGTCGCGATACTTTGAGTTGCTGAAGATTATGTATAATGCTGGTCTCCGAAAGTTTGTCCTGCTGAGTGTCCCTCGTAAGTTCATGGATGAGATATGCACCGGTATATCGACTAACAACGTTTCAGCCACTCAACTCACCCCAACAATGATCAAACAAGGCCCCGACTCCAACGCCATGCTTGTCAAGTCCATCAATCTTTATAACAGCAAGATTGCTTCCAAGCTCCAGGCGTTCAAGCAAGCCAACTCCGGTGTCAAGGCTGTCATTGTCGACACGTCGGTTTCGTTCAACAAGGCGATCAAGAACCCTACTGCCTATGGTGCACCGGACGCAACATGCTTCAACAACAACGGAAAGTCATGCGTAAGTGAATTCGCTCAGTATGTCCTGGTATTCGCTGATCATTGCTTAGTTGTGGTTCGATGATTACCACCCGGGTATCGCTATTAACAAGCTCGTGGCAGAACAGGTGGCGACTGCGTTAGAAACAAACGGGTTTGGATGGTAATCAGTTATCATTGGAACGCTCGTTTGGCCCAAAAAACATTGAATCGATTGCATGGCTAGTTCCGGTGGACCAGCCATTTTTGGTTAAGTACATATGGTGGTGTAGGTCAGATAACAACTGTAAAGTAAGCATAAACTGGAGTAGACGCTTCAATGCGATCCACAAAATAAGACTGATACTTTCAATGCGAGAACTTTGCCAAACAAGAACTAGTTCAATGAAACAATCGGACTGTGTTAGTCAATGAACTTCCATCAGGCATGTGTCCCCCTGTAGGAACAAGCCAATGAGGCGATGGTAAGCATTTTCGTAAGCTCGGTATGGAGGCGGACTTGTCAGCCCTATACCCAATCGATATTCAAATCGCAATATGGTACGCTGCGCTTACTGCTCCATTTAGTCTGATTGCTCGAGAGAGCTCTCATTCGCTTTCGAAACGCGGACTTCGGACTTGCAGAGCCCAGAGGGAATTTTCTTATCCGTTAACTGTTGTTAAGAATCCTTGCGCTGTCGATGGGCAGAAGATTAACAAATGATAAATATGGTCTTACTTCCACTCTCAAGTCAGCACAGGTCTTCCAGTGCCACTCCACCCTATCCACAGTACAGAATCGTAACGATGGTGTTTTCCAATGACCAAAAGGTCGACTTCAACGTAAATGCTCCCATCCTTATTATAGATTCCTCTAACTCAAGACTAGGTCTTCCACAACATCATTAATAATAAACCATCCCCCACAGCCGACACTCGTCGAGGAATCTGCCCCAGCACTGAGGAGCCGCTATGGGAATCCCCCGTGTCTACCCAAGAAGATGTTGACCTAGCCGTGCAAGCTGCTAAAGCAGCCTATCCCGCCTGGCGCAAACTGTCACAGGATGAGCGTGCAGAGTATCTTGTCAGATTCGCTGACGCTATTGAGGCCCATAAGCAGGAGTTTATCGATCTTCTTGGTCGGGAGGCAGGTAAGCCGCCACAAGCAGGTGCCTTTGAACTTTTTCTTGTCATGGAGCATATCAGGAAGACGCCTGAGCTGAGATTGGAAGAGGAGAAGCCCGAGGATAATGAGGATGTGAGTTCCAACAAGCCTTCCCAAACACTGTAACTAATGCTCCCTCAGCGCACAGCTATAGTGCGATATGTCCCTCTTGGCGTCGGCGTCGGCATTGTCCCATGGAACTTCCCCATGATCCTCGGTATTGGAAAAGCCTACCCCGCCATGCTCGCTGGCAACACTTTCATCTGGAAGCCATCGCCGTATGCTCCCTACTCTGCCCTGAAGCTTGCCGAGATCGGAGCCAAGATCTTCCCACCGGGTGTATTCCAGGCTCTTAGTGGTGGTGACGACCTTGGACCTATGCTTACGTCTCATCCCAACGTGGCGAAGGTGAGCTTCACAGGGTCTACCGAGACGGGAAAGAAGATCATGGGGACATGTGCCTCTACTTTAAAGCGTGTCACGTTGGAGCTTGGCGGTAATGACGCTTCAATTGTGTGTGACGACGTCGATATTCCCACCGTGGCTGGGAAGGTAAGTCTTTCTCACTTTCGTACAGAGGGTATCTAGCTCACGTCTTACCAGGTCGCGTTCCTCGCCTACGTTGCTAGCGGCCAGATCTGCATGAACATAAAGCGTATCTATGTCCACAAAAGCATCTATGATGACTTCCGTGCCGCTATCATCAGCTTCCTAGAGAACATGAAGACCGGTGACTTCTCCGACGCTGAGGCGTTCTTCGGACCAATCCAGAACAAGATGCAGTTCGAGAAACTACAGCGTCTTTATGGTGAAGTTGACAAGCAGGGATGGAACTCTGTTTATAACAGCAAAGGCAACAAGCCAGAGAAAGGCTACTTTGTCCCTCCCGCCCTCATTGATAACCCATCCGAGGACTCAGAGATCGTACAGACCGAACCGTTTGGACCGATTGTGCCGATGATGAAATGGACGGATGAAGATGATGTTATCGCCAGGGCCAACGCATCTGACTTGGGTCTTGGGGCATCAGTTTGGAGCAAGGATGTTCCCCGCGCCAGACGGATGGCCGAGCAGCTGGAAGCAGGAAGTATTTGGGTAAACACCCACTTTGAAGTTGCGCCTAACGTACCTTTTGGTGGACACAAGAACAGTGGAATTGGTATGGATTGGGGATTGGTGGGATTGAAGGGTTGGTGTAACCCTCAGGCTTACTGGGTCAAGCACTCGGGGGCGTGAGGTAACAACAATGAGTTGAGTTTATTCATAGCTATGAAGGTACATGAACGAAACAAAGATGTTAAGAAAGGACCGAAATTACTCGTCCGAAATCATCACAACAATCTTGCCCCTCGCCTTCCCACTCTCAGCCTTCTCCCACGCCTCAGCATAGTCATTCATCCCAACAACACTATCAACGTTTGGCTTGACCTTTCCAGCCTCTACAAGCTTAGTGATGAGATCCAAATCCTTTCCCAGAGGGTCAATGACAAAGAAGGTGTTATGGACATCCTTCTTCACATCCTTGGGACGACTCTGTTCAGGAGGACCGCATACACTGATGAGGGTTCCTCCCTCTCGGACAGCATACCAGGTTTGAGCAAGTGAAGGACCACCAATACAGTCGATAACAAGATCAAATTGTCGAGAGGTCTGCCCATCTACCCATCTCTCAATAGACTGTTCCTTGTAGTTGATGGCCTCAGTTGCGCCGAGACTCTTCACAAAATCAATGTTTCCTGTGCCAGCGACCGCTGCGACAGTTTCCACTCCAGCAATCCGGGCAAGTTGGACCGCCCAACTCCCAACACCCCCCGAAGCTCCATTAATCAGAACACGAACATCTGCATTCTTCTTTCGTGCTTGTTCATCGCCTTCGAGGGCAGCCGTCATCAGTGTTCCTTTCCCGAAAAGTGCTTGGTACGCTGTAAGCGCACTAATTGGACAAGCCGCCGTCTCAGCCCAGCTCAAGTTCATGGGCCTGATAGAAAGCTCTTTTTCACGGGCAAGAACATATTCCGCTGCCGCACCGGGACGATTTGCCTCGATGCGAGCGTAGACTTGGTCTCCTGCTTGGAAGCGACTGTTCTGAGGAGCGGAGACAACAGTTCCCGCAAGGTCTTGGCCTGGGATGGGTGTCTTGTCACCGATGAAATCAGGTGCCCAGAGGGCCCAGTCAAGTTCGCCTTTGCATGGAGAGGTTGCGTGTACCTTGACGAGTACATCTTGGGGGTGCGAAGGAGTGGGAAGGGGTTGATCAGTCAGCATTAGGTTGTGGGAGTGTTTGTCGGGTTGGATGATAGCTTTCATTGTGGTTGGGAGACCAGACATGTTTGTTATGTGAAATGGGATAATAGATTGAGTGAAGATTGTTTGTTATTGTTATCGTTAGTGACCAACAAAGAAGACTGATACTGGCTATATATACTTGGTGACTTGAAGCCATGGCTGTCAGTGACCTCCCTCGCGATAAATCGGAAGGGCGAGATTGTTGCCAGAATTAATGATTTCCGCGGGAATCGTTGAAATAGCCGCAAAGTCAATTTATGCTTATCCCTTACACAATCGCTGTGTCAGCACGCCGTCCGTCTGACATGCATCGGGACATCAGAAAAGTGAACTGTCTAGAGTAGATGTGACGAAATACTTTGGTCATTTCCACGGGCTTGGTCAGGCACACGTGCTGTTTTATTTTCAACGCGCTAGCTCTTACAGGACAACCTTTCTGCTACCCGATGGATAGGCTATTGACTGTTGCGGCATTTGCGGCACATTGACCAATTATCTATTATAGCGCTCGGAGTCGGCATTGTCAACATCCGGTTCTGCCGTTGTGCAACCTCGCGCTCGGCGGGAAGCAACCTGAAAAGGCGAGCAAAGGATTAGTAACTGCATGCTTATACCAAGACAATGGCCATAACCGCGAAGAACCTGAACAACATTTATAAACTTAACCTAGTTATTAGACGTCTTTGTCGGTAGGTATGACCAGTTTCTCAGTACTGCATTCCCTGCTCTGTAGCGCAATTCTAATCGGCTCCTCGAAAGTATGAATAGATCTCCCATTGAATCCTATGCTGCTATAATTTTGGTTCTGCGTCCCGATGGCAATCAGACCAAAGAATTGCCATGTCCTTTGCGCCGGGTCGTTATCAGCAAGACTGGGTAAAGTAGAACGACAAGCAAAACAGAGGTTATGACATTGATGAAGGTATTTGCCACCTGAAATCTGTCGTTGTCAATGCGAACCCCATGACATCTCTATTCCAAGCTTTGCGAACAGGATAGCCTTGGAATGTTGACTCAAGGCAGCCATCAGCGTAGTAGATCGTGATGATACAAATGAGAGCGAAGGTGGATATGTGTTGGTTGTGTTCTTTGCTTGATCTGTATGTGAGGGGCACAGCGCCCCTTACAAGGATGATATAATATCCGAAGTAACTCAGCGACCGAAAACTCTGCGTCGCTGCATTGGTAGTAATACAATAGCTTTATTCTTTGCGAACGAGGTAACTGGAAGTAAATTAGCTACTTGGTTACCATCCTTGGGTTGAGAATGAGTTAGCTCGACATGCCTGGACGGAGCGCTAGAAGAGCTAACGGAACTGCCCTCTTAGCCTTCTTATCCACTGTCACGAGTTGCTGTAGCGCGTGTCTACTGATGCAACCATTAATCTCGCCTAGATCCTGGGTATCTGTAATACGTGTAACGGACGAACTTCCGGGTTTCCATCCGCCGGGTTGTTAAAAAGATGGGTCAATGAAGGCATTGAAGACGAGATCAATTGGGCATTTCTCTAGGGTTTACGGAGTGCGGATACATGCGCAGCAATTAGAATAGGCTACTTCATTTTTAGCTCCAACCCCCATGCCAAAGAGTGCCCGAGGTGGGGTAACATCCATTACCATTTAACTGAGATCAATGTCAATTTACTTCCCTCACCTCGGGCTTCCTTTGGACCAGACTGTGATAGTCAGAGGGCATACCGTCGGTAGTGTATAGGTAGAATGGTTCTTAAGGCACATCTTTACCGGTGTCTCACGTCAATCAGCCTACTGGCTGCACCAATTGCCTGCGACGACTTTCGCGACAGTTGTCTCGACTTCAAGCCAGCAAACCTCATACGCAATTCCACATTGACGCGACAAGAATTTATCTCAGCCAATACGACGCTGGATTTATCCGATAACGTCCCATCCTGCAACCGTCGCTCACAGCTTATCTCGGTCGACCTCTGTCGCATTGCTCTCCAGATTCCTACTTCGAGCCGATCCAGTATCAGCTTTGAGTTATGGCTGCCTCAAGATTGGGAGGGAGAACGATTGCTCGCAACTGGCAATGGAGGCGTTGATGGATGTTAGTCTGCATTAACACAGACCGAGAACGAAGCTAATTTTACCTCTAGGTATTAAATACGAGGATCTTGGATATGGTACCTCCAATGGTTTTGCTACCGTGGGTACTAACAACGGTCACAATGGAACCACGGCTATTGATATGCTGAACAATCCTGATATCATCAAAGACTTTTCTTACAGAGCGTAGGTTGTCCTGCATAGTAGATTGCACTAGCTAACTATATAAGCCTACATACCGGAACTGTCGCGGCTAAGAAACTCATCAAGTCCTTTTATGGCAAATCATCTGCGAGAAACTACTACATCGGCTGTTCATTAGGCGGTCGTATGGGAGTAAAGGCTGCAGAGGCATACCCAAAAGACTACGATGGTATTGTAGCTGGAGCTCCCGCTGTTGATTTCAACAACCTGCAGGGGCAGAGAGCCATGTTTTATCCGATAACAGGCGATGCCAATTCCACCGACTATATCCCTCTGAGCACCTGGACTGGCCTCATCCATAATGAAGTTCTTTCCCAATGCGATAAGATTGATGGGGTTGAGGACGGCATCATTGAGGTTCCAGAAAAATGCATCTTCAATCCCAAGACTTTGCTGTGCAAAACCGATCAGACCAGCAACTGCCTCAACTCGGCCCAGGTCAAACAACTGGAGAGAATCTATGCTCCTTATACTTACCCGGACGGCAGACTTATCTTTCCCCGTATGAACCCCGGCAACGAGCTACAGGCAGTCTCAAAGCTTCTTGCTGGAAAGCCGTTTGACTATTCAGTGGAATGGTTCCGGTACGCCGTTTACAACGACCTAGATTGGGATCCTAGTACCTATAGCGTCGACGATGTGCGAAAGGCTGACAAGTTCAACCCATCCAACATACGTACTTATCCTAAGACGTTACCTGCTTTCAAGAAACGTGGTGGAAAATTGCTTAGCTACCACGGCGGACAGGACAACCAGATCACGCAGTTCAACACCCACCGGTTCTGGGATCGGATGTACTCGGCCGATAACGACCTGCACGACTATTTCCGTTACTTTCCCATTTCCGGCATGAATCACTGCAACACGGGTCCTGGTGCCTGGGCTGTGGGACAGGGTGGAGGTGTTCCAGCTGCGGGTGTCCCTTTCGATCCCAAGTACAATGTGCTAGCAGCGATTGTGGCCTGGGTGGAGAAGGGAGATGCCCCCGAGACTCTCACGGGCACAAAGTTTATTGATGAAACTTACAGTAAGGGCATTGACTTCCGTCGCAAGCATTGTCTGTATCCCAAGGTTCAGACATTTGTTAGTGGAAATCCTAAGGAGACGTCGAGCTGGCAATGTAGATAAGGGCATGCGCGTCAAGCTATTCCCCAATTTTCAATTCTGAGTTCTTATAGGATGTGTAATATCGTGATATTCTATTATGTCTGCAACACATTAAGACATCCTTCCGTGTTCTCATTCATAACACCTTCTTAAACATCACGTAAAATTAGATACGGTGATACTAGTCAGACGTGAGGGGACAGAACCTTGACAGATAGTAGCAATTTGTTCGTGACATCTGATGTTTGACAGACATCACCAACAAAAGCCTACAAGTCTCTTTACCTTATAGTCCAAACCTTTTTTGCCTGCTCAAGACTCTCTGTTTAACCTCTTCAGGATATCCGCTGTCAAAATCACAGGTAACCCAACCCTGGTTCCCCTCATATTCTTCCGGCAACAAACAGTTGGCTACCACTTTTCCACCGGTCAGCTTCGTCCCGGGGCCGTGAGACATATATGGCACAAGTGGGTAAGCAGGGACATCCTCGAAGTGGAACTCATCCATCGCTGGCCTACACCTCGTTGCAAAAGCCCAAGTAACATCGTTCATATCAAACGGATCAATGTCGTCTCCCACAACGAGCAGCCGATGAATCTGCATACCGCATTTATTGCGGAAAACCAGATCACCAATCTTGGCGCAAAGGTCTTTGGCATCAGTCTTCATTTCGGCCAGTTTCTTTCGATCAACTTGAACAGCTGCCCAAATGACTTGGCTTTCAAAAAGGGCGAAGACCTGAGTGACAGGTAAGCCATGTTGTTGGAGTAAGTGACGGATTTCAGCGGAAGCTAATGTTCCAATCATTGTATGTGTCTCGTCAGGGCCAAGGTTCGCCCGCCCAGGCACACAAACTGGAAGAATCGGGTTGTTCCTGTAAGTGATCGCCTTCACGGTATACAGAGGCTGCAAAGAGTTCTCGTCAAGAAAGCTGTAGCCGTGCATCTCACCAAACGGACCCTCTTTGGCCGTATCGGTGATCGAGATAGTGCCTTCCAACACGATTTCACTCGTTGCAGGGACGTACATGTCGTTGGTTTCGCACTTGACAAGCTCTAACGGCGAGCCACAGAGAGCCCCAACGTAATCAGCTTCTGAGACACCGGCTGGAAGAGGCATGCTGGCTGCCATAGTGGCGATTGGCGGGGCACCGAGAGCGATGGCATACGGTACGTCTTTGCCCGCCTTCTTCCACTCGGCGAAGATGCGGGCAATGTGTTGTGGCTTCATTATCAGACCGACCATACGCGTTTTGTCGTAGATCATGGCCCGAGCAATCGACCAGTTGGTCCAAGGCTCTGTAGGATGGGATATGATGTTGATGCCCAAGGTTTGGATGTAGTTACCTCCATCAGCCTTGTTGAGAAGAGGAGCAGGCAATTTGGTGAGATCAACATCGTCACCCATGATGATGTTCTCTTTGCATGGGCCTGTAGACGCATGCACTGGTGGTAAAGGCTTTTCGCCTTTCGCCGAGAGCATCTTATCAATAACGTCCCTCACCCCAGAGTTCTTAGGAAGAGCAAGGTGGTGAGCCAATCGGCGATATGGAAACTTGGGGTCACTAGAAAGCCCAGCTGGTGCACCGAGAATACGGAATAGTCCACCTTGAGCTCCTTTCACATTGTGGAACAGAGGAGCCTTTGTGCGGTGTTCGTATGCTAGGCGTATGAACGCTGCAACTTCGAGTTTGGGATCTACTTCAGCAGTGATGTCGGCCAGGTCATTCTCATTTCGTAGCGTATCAACAAACGCCCGAAAGTCAAGGTGTGCAGGATATGTCTTTCTCGAGAACCAGCGACAGGGTGGACGCTGAACCACGATACGAGTGCTTGAGTTCAATCGGAGTCGATGCATTTCCAGTGTTGTTGTTGTAAATGATTTTCTAACTCGAGGTTTCTTCCATAAGTTTCCAAAATGTTTTATCCGTTGTGTCGTCAGCCAATATAAGGTGATGAGAGCATGTCGGCCGCCATTTGCCATTGCAAGGAATGCGCCATTGTCAGCTTTATCAAGCACGTTATTCAGCACTACTGCGCCGCTTGGTAATCAATTGGACTGCCAGCCACATTGTTATCAGACTTTTTCAATTGGCGAAGTCGGCTTCATGATCCGAAAATCATGGTGTACTAACAACACTTATATCGGCATCACACCACTCAAGTGGCTGAAATGAGATTCAACGTCGGCCGCTTGTGCCAGTGATCAGCTACCGATATAAGAGGTGATCTTGCAAATCTCGTATACAAGACAGCCGCTGGGACGTGGCGTTTGCTTGATGTATCCCAAATCTTGGAACGAAACAAGATCGGCACCATTTACTCCCATGTATTGTTTTATGGTGTGAGCACACGATAGCTGCAGATCTAGTTATTAACATAATTATGGTTCGCGGCTTGGTTTTGAGAAATCTCAAAAATCGTCAGGCTCTCGCTTCCAGCATCATTCCTCAAGCACGCAAGTCACCATTAGGGTCAATATTCGCGATGCAAAGTTTTATCCGGACATCAAGATTATCAGGTACCCCGGGTTCTTTCAAAGGTCTACCCTTTAAGCATCATTCACTCCATATCCGTCACCATTCTGCGTCGCATAAACATAATGAGCTCAACCGACGCCCACAGCGCATTGTTGTTGCTGTTACAGGAGCAACGGGGTCACCATTGGCAGTGGCTATTCTCCAGCGGCTTCGTGATCTCGGCATCGAAACACATCTCATAATGTCAAAATGGGGAGGTGCCACACTCAAATACGAACTCGAAGCCCCAAACAACACTCCTTCGTGCTTAGAGTCAATAGCCTTCAAGACACACTCATCACTGGACGTTTCGGCTTCACTCTCGTCTGGGTCATTCCGCACAGACGGCATGATAGTAGTCCCATGTAGTATGAAGACACTAGCCGGCATACGCATGGGCTACGACAATGATCTGATTGTCCGAGCAGCAAGTGTGACACTTAAAGAGAAAAGGAGGTTGGTTCTAGTCGCAAGAGAGACGCCGTTGACTAGCATTTACTTGGAAAATATGCTTGAAGTGACGAAGGCGGGCGCAGTTGTATTTCCACCGGTAATGGCATTCTATACGCGGCCGAAGTCGATCGATGATATGGTCCAACAAAGTGTCATGAGAATGATAGACCTGTTAGACTTGGAAGTACCTGACGCCGATAGGCAGGATGAGGCTCGTTGGACAGGATTTAAGTAGGAAAGTGGAGGGACAATATTTACATAGCTAGGGGACGAGACAGCAATGATGAAAGTGAGCTGAACAAGGCACTGTCGGTCGCTCGTACCACCAGGCAACCTTGTATTATCTTAATTGTTAGAACAAAAAGAGTCCAAATGAAATCCTTCCTGCAATTTAGTGTCAATATCAACCCTCCATAGCCCTTCCAGACAGACCAGTAGTCTTCACGGCGACATATTTGTCCTTGACACGGTCGTCAGCTAGATTGCGTTAGTGATGCCATTCATGAGGCCCGTAGTCGATGTTCCATCAACACTGGCAGGATGTTCAAGAGGTGGTACGTGAGGCACAGTTGCAGTGACAGCCAAGACACCTCGTGTATCATCGTAACCTGACGACAGCCCATGATCGTTGATGGTATTTCCATTTTCGTCCTTGAATAAACAAGGTCCGCAAAGCGTTGGTCACCTGTGTTATCGGCGATGGAGTTGAGATACGTACCTATGTCATCCTCACTTCCTTGCAGTAGCCCTTGGCTTTCTTAGGCGTCGAAGGATCTTGGTTCTCCTACTGGGCAAGGTTGTCGGGGGCGCCGTCTTTGCTGCCTGCGTCGACGAGATAGATAGAGTAAGTTTGCAGAAAAGCCAGTCCAGTGTCCTATGCAGTTTATTCAAATGAGACCTTGCCACCAGGGTAAAAGTGAATGCTAAGTAGCAAGTAGAGACATTGTCCTAAATCTATGGTTTCGGCTTCTTAGACTAACTAGTACTATGTTGCTATCATGATTGAGTTGCGAGAGCCAAGAGCATAGTTGGCTGAATCAGGCAGGAGGCGCTATTATGTCGGAAATCTTTTCCCTGTAGTGTGAACACTGCCGCGGCCGCCTGGGTGGAGACAGACTGCAGGAAGAAACCAATCTGGATGCCAATGTTATACAGATCAGGGTTGCCAAGAGAGAAGGAAACAAACAAAATGTTATTGGTGGTGTGCTAACCCTTGACTCTTACATAGATAGTATCGTTAATATTGGAGTCGCACGACTACTCATTCCGTCACGAACCACCTCTCATTGGTTGACTCGGAAAACGTAGTACATGGAAGATACTCGGACGTGCTCGGACTATTGAAGGATTCGAGTACAACTTCTTGGCGACCTATATCATCCTCCAAAGGATTCCTTTGGCTTCATGCGACTATTGTAACAGGATTAAATATTCTTGGATTACATCAATGACTCTTTGCGAAGTACCATTGCAATCGGAGATCGCTTTGAAAATCGCTTGTGTGTGATAGTGTTAACTCTAGCCAGCTTAAACAAACTGCAAATTCATGGCCAAGACTTACGCAGAGTTTGGTATAAATATCACGAATAGTTCGACCTTTCACTTTGCTAATCATCAGCTTCCGATCTCTTCATCAACCATCCTTCATCTCGGTAACCTTTGAGTCCTCTCGCAACTATGAAGACACAGGCTCTCCTCTGTCTCCTTTCTGCCTCGGGCACCATTGCCCAGAGCGCCCTCGCCGATTGCCATCGCGAAGGCTCGCCTGACTGGAGTGATTGTGAGCCCATCAAATCCGAACTGGCTTTATCCTGTATGGAACGTCATTACTAACTTTAGCGATACAGGTGATATCCTGCACGCCAATTTGGGATGGCGACCAGGCGTTCCTACCGAGATCACCAGAAACTGTAACAGAGACACAGACATTGAGCTTGATTGTATGACATGGTCCTACGGTAGTTGCCAGTTTGGCCAGTGCTTTCCTGGCGAAGAATGCCAAGGAACCGACCATGGTATGATGTGGGCGCGCCACCGGAATGTGGAGGACTTCTGCAGGCCCGATGATCTTGGTGGTCGCTTCACAAGCGACGGCGGCCAGTTCTTCGAAGTCATTCGCTATCTAGGTGCTCGTGCTGGCCGTCGCCGTTCCTTGACTGTCGAAAAGAAGGGATACTCTCTTGCCGAGTATGAGCGACGTTTTGGCGAACAACATGATGTCAAGTTCTCAAAGGTCATTGATGCAAATGCCTTAGAGATTGTCAAGCGACAGGATCAAGGTGAATGGACCAATCTCATCAGTCGACAAGGCGTCATCAAACCTGGCACCCGCCACAGAGTCAACACCATAGAGCTTTCGCCCGGCATTGATATGACCTGGGAGGAATCCTCGTCGTACAGCATCAGCGTCGGTGTCACTGCTGGTGTATCTGCGAGTCTATTCGAAATCTTCAGTGCCTCTATGGAAATTAGCACTGGCTATGAAGAGACATACAGCGCTGGTAGTTCGCTCACGTATAACACCGGCAATTGTCCTCAAAACGCCAACATTTATTATGCGCCCGTCTTTACTATGTATGAGGGCTACTGGTCCAACGATCAGGATACCCTTGTTGAGATTTGGGTTGCGCAGACTGTTAATGGAAACCTTGAAGGGCGATTCATTACTGAGTGTGTCGGCACTGCTCCTCCTAACTAGGCACCGCGTGGGGTGTATTGATTTGAAGAATGGATTATTGGAGGGTTCCGGGGATATTAGTAAGGATAGGGTCAAGCCTTCAACAGGCACTTTTTGCACATGCAACTGTACTCAGTATGCCTGTATGGTATCTGGGGAAGGATAGGCAGTTATATTCAACAAACATCTGTTTACCACCGAACTGTTCTCAGGAGACATATTGTAATAGGACCACGTTATGTGCTGGTCAGTCTCTGTTTACGTTTTGTATCATACAAAGGCCTTGTTCTTATGGAACTCATCACATGAGCATGGCATGTGCCCTGTTCACCTCTGAAAGGGGTACTATGTCACTGTACATATTCAGAGCAATGGAAATGTGAACATGCGAGTAACAGTCAAGCATCGAACACATCAACTGCCACGGACTAGATCACGGGTATAATGTTCACACTCACAGACTCTCTTGACCTATCCTTTTTCTTTTCTACAACCCTTCCACTTCAGACATCCTTTTCGCATCCCACTTTATCATTTTATCCTCAACCACCAATCTACTAACTCAAATTCTAGACAACCCAGAACCGCAATCATGCCCAAGATTCCAGGAAAGCCCAGCCTTAAGGCCACTGCCAAGAAGACTACCCGCTATGTAAAAGTCTTCAAGCAGGCTGTAAAGCTTACTATTGCCAACAACCGCGACAAGAAGGCGGAGGAGAAAGCAAAGAAGGAACCCAGCTACCAACTTCAGGACACTATGGCCCCCGATGGTGAGGCTGAAGAGGAAGAGTCTTGGAACATCATCTACCATGAGGACGCCGCCAACGGCTCTTCTCGCGTAGAGGACCGTGATACTGTGGAGGAAATTGAGATGGCGGCCCGTGAGCGAGATGACCTTATTGGATCCCGTCGCACTATCTACTAAATGTTGCAGTCAGAGGTAGGTATTCCTAGTGGATAGATAAGTGTTAGATGTCAGTAGAGCTTTTCAATCAATCAGCTGCCACTTAGCCAAGGCATTGAAATGACTTCCAAGTCTTCTATCGGTCGTGATGATGTCTTTACTGTTTTATCTAGGCTTTTTCATATACCATGACACTATTGTGATCACAGCCTCGCTCGGCACGTCCGTAGAACTCACGACGGCTCAGTGGTTCTTCATCTAGATATTTTCCCGGGGCCTCCAATGTAGCCGCCAATGTTAGCTGCAAATAGGGACTATTGCTTTGGCCACTACAGCATTCCAGTAGCATTCCCATTGTGACCACTTGAAACATTATAAACCCCCTCACCGCTCAGATCCCCTTTCTTGAACCCGCAGTCACGAAATGTGGCTGTAGAGTTTGAAGGTGGTCTGACAAGATCAGCAAACACGTGCTGCTCTTAGCAAGAAGACGTAACGCCTTGCTGATCGAACGTTGAGATAACTGGTTTATGGCAATAAACTTTACACTTTCACCTGTCATTACCGCCCGCCCGTCGTTTTGATGATCTTTATTGGACAATACTGGCTGTTGGCGCTTTCAAAGTTTGACGGCGTGGAAGAACCAACCCCGCTCAAGGATCGTACAAGAAGGCCGTCAGTCAGTCTAGAAAGAAAGAAGAAAAATGTCTCTTCTAAAATAAATTTTTTTTTAAGCATTCGCGACCCAAGAAGTTACTATCCCGGAGCTCAAATCCCCCCGAAAGATTTGACTTGTAAAAAGGTGAGTGCATGCCTTTTGTTCACTGGTGACTGGAATGGCTTCTTTCACCAACATGTCTTTGTCTAGTCACCTGTCAATTTTGTTACTTTCAGGTGCAAACATTGCATGAATGCAGAGAGAACAAACACATTGATTGTAGCTAACGAGTTCTTTAGACCCACATCTGATCCAAATCATCCTGCAGCTAGCAGAAAAGATTCACGTTCTGAGGAAGCTGTATATCTTCATCCTTGGCTTCGTCTAGTCTCAACCATCAGATCTACAAATAACAAGAAGAATATCTACTAGCGAAGCAACGATGGCTCTGATCACCTGGCGAAATGATAGCGATGCGTCTAGCATCTCTAGCGACGACACTATCGACACATCGTCCGCCTTCAGTTTTCAAGGCAAAACACCCAGTCTTGCCACCTTATCGACCTCACGCTGATTATTCACAGAAATCCGTATCAACGAGCCAGCATCTGCATTTGAGCTGGAGATGCCAACATCAACCGACTCGTCCTTCTCATTTACTCCGCCAGCAACACCATCCACCATCACAGAGCTCTCAGCACAAGAGAAATGGGAAGATCTTGTCGCCACGTACCGTCAAGCGGTAAATCATGTCAGAGAAATTGAGGACGAAATGGTGGATCTTCGCTTCAAAACCTTCCGGCCAGATATCAACCTCGACAATGACGACCGCCGCATCTACCAAAAGTCCCGTCCACAAAGTCTGTTCAGCATCACAGACGAGATGGCACCGACTTTCCGCATGTGGGAAGGCACTCATGTATCGCCAAATCTTGTTCAGGGAGCAAATCACCTAAAGTTGGAATTGAACGAAGCTGTAGAGCTCTCGGTCGTTACGCTAGACACTCTGAGCGGGAAGAAGACGATGATTAGCTTGACTGCCAAGTCTTCGGGGGCAGATATCAAGCAGCTGCTTGGTTTTTGGGAATTCGGTCTGTCAATAGACGTGTAGGGTTACCACAGAGGTTGGCATAACGCGCCATGCCTTGGAATGGAGGTTGGGCCAGTGGCACACAGGGGGTCTCAGGGTCAATGGTGGATGTACGAAGAAGGGAGCCAGGTTGGAAATGAAATGCCCTGGACACGTAGATCTATGAAATTAGCAGCGATTGGTTTAGCAAGACATATTGAGAGGAAAGACTTGGGTGTATGTCTTTTGTTCCTTGGGTGGTTTTTCCACGGAGTAGAACCCAATATTTTTCAGTTTTCAAAAACAGTGCTAGATAAATTCAACCAAAATTACAAAAAAAAAATAAGGACCTTGGCTATTGCTAGGTTGGAACTACTTTTGCCTCAACACGGGATCGAACCGTGGACCTTGTCATTACTAGTGACACGCTCTACCACTGAGCCATTGAGGCGAGTTTCTACTATTTGAAAGGCACGCTTATAATAGTATATATACTTATATCTTGTCCTATTCTTCAATCGATGTAACATTTGTCTTCAAAATTCACCGCTGATACTTTTGCAGTACATAGTGTGTTGCCCATTGTGCCTGTGTGGTGGAACGTTGACTGGAAAGATGTCACTAGATGGACGGCCAAACTGATTTGGCAAACGTCACAGTTGATCGGCGGACCAGTTTAGATTCTCTCTACCAAGAACAATAACTGATTGCCTGTCAATGTTTTAAGAGATCTATTCTAAAGTATTAATAAATAGTAGTATGTACTAAAATTCTTTATTTTGTTCTGTTAATTAATTGTTCTTTAACTGTCTTGAGAACATTACCCTGCAGGATCCACTGTTCCCATTTTCCAGCCTGATCGAAAAACTTATTTGTTGGGTCGTTTCCCACTCCACTATTAACTTCTACCCAACTGGGCAGGCGGTAAAGCAATGCGCTGACGCCAAGCAAAAGCATCGTGACGCGAAGGGTACCCTTCTAAATTGGAATGGATGCAAGACAGGCGACCACGGTTGTCCAGTGTTACCAGTTATGTCAAACAAAAAGACTGATGCGTTGTGTTAACTATAACTAATCATTGTAAATTGTCATCCCCAACGCCTTTGGGCAATCTCATCCATCCTGTATCAGCCGCTGGTACACCAAGCCACATCCACAACGTCTCCTCATGAGCCCAGCGTAGTCTCTCCACCCTGAGAAGCTCATTTGCACTATCAGTCTTCCCAAACCGTACAAGCCTCAGTGCCTTCTCTGCTATCTCGAGCCATCGCGGTGGATCGGGCTCACCGTCAGGATCATTTGATTGATCAGTAACAATACCGTCAAAGAGGGAACATGCTAGATGTTCATCTCCTTCTTCCCCCCTATATCTTATCATATAGGCGAGATCAAGTCGAATCCACTGCAGAGCCCTATTGTTGCGCTCTTCGTTGACGTTGATGAGGAATTCTTCCAACATTTGGATGGGCTGGGCGAGGTTGCCACCTTCAAAAAGCAACAAGGCCCTCAAATGCTTGACTTGACATAACCTGACAAAATTCTGATCTTGGTCCAATTCTGCATTTTGCTCAAGATCTTCTATGATATCAGCAGCTCCATCTTCATTCCCGAAGTCTCTGTATGTTATCGCCAAAACCAGAGCTGTATCGAGTGTCAGGAAGTGGGAGATGGGCCAGAAGCCATGTCGAAACTTGAGTCCGGGTTTGATGTTCAGGAGCGCTTCCTCTTCGGCCCCTAATTTCCGGTGGAGATCTCCTACGAATATCTGCGTAGCGATACCAAAGGAGTCTTCCGGACCGTATTGCTCTTTTCGCTTGTCGCGTACAAACTCCATCAGTTTGATCGCCTGTTCAATATGACCCGCTGATGCAGTGGCGACCGCGTACCACAGCTGAGCGATGAGGTAACCATTGCTCTGTGGACCTGTGGTTTTCATGAAGCCAGTTAAGGAATCCGTCAATGTCGTTAATGCTTTATAATTCAAGAGCATTAAATGCTCGGCTTGTGACTTGAGGATGAGTGTAAAGTAGGGGATGGGGTCGCTTTCTAACACCACGCTGAGCTGGTCATGAGCTACGTCGGCATAAATCCTCTGGGCTTTGCGGAGCTTGTTGATAAACAGAAAGATATAGGCTGCATCCGAGGAAGCTCGAAGGGTTAGAGGATGTCGTCGCCCTAGAAGTTCAGTGAGTCCAGTGGCAACCCTTTCACGAACATCTGCCATTTCAGCCACCCTTCCCCTGTCGAAATAGTAAAATCCGAGCTGCATCAGAGCCAACCATCGCAACACCTTGTCTCCGTCATTGTCCCGGAAGATCCTGTGGAGACTTCTGTAGGACATTCCAAAATAGTCCTCCAAATGCAGCAAAGGCTTATCCTCGTCCGGGAGCCTTTTTCGCCAAACTGTTAAACTGATCTCCGTTGATCTAATGGCTTGGAAATCCCCCATGTCCGTGATCGAGTACTCAGCCCAATGAGCGAATTGCAGGGACTGGATAAACCTCGCCGTAAGTTTCAACAAGCGCTTGTCAGGAGATGAGAGTGCTGTAAGATGCTTGTACCAGTTACGAGCAGCATATTCATAGAAGCCCTTCTCCTGGCTGGAGTCTGAGGTACCGGCACCAAGATTCTTCCTTAAGAGCTGACCTATACGATCTTGTTGGGCATAGATGGCTTGAAGAAGAAACTCCAGACATTTTTGTGCTAAAGTTGCATCGGGGTCTGAGGTGGAGAAGCCAACACCCGAAACTTCTTCACTAAGCAAAAAGTCCCTGACAGAAGCATGTCCCAGCCTCACCTTGCTGTCTTGGACCTCGATTAAAGGCTGACAGAATGTCGATATCAGAAAGTGACCATTCCCACACCCTGGGATGAGATCAAGGGCATCTTCTATTTCATCGATGTTGAATTGTCTTCGGGCACCAAGCAGCATCTTGAAGATATCTTGACACTTGGATTTGTCATCATCGTTCATATCTCCGAGACGATCCTTCCAAATCTTAGTGTAGAAGCTCCAATGACTATCTGGGGGATTATTGAGATTTGCATAAAATGTAGCCATGTCTCTGGTTTTGATAAACTCCCTCAGGAATAGGTCAGTCCAGAGGAATGATCCCTCAGAACACTGTTTTGCACGAGTTGTAACTTGTGACTTGAGCTCCTCTGGTAAAGGTAGTTCAGCTGCAGCTGCATCAATGAAGGTATTGATTTCAGACTGCGTGTCTGCTGCGGCGATCTCGACCTGATCTATGCGGAGGTTTGGGTGGCTTGTGACTTCGAACATGCAGTTCGGGCGGGAGAAGATGAGAATCTTGCCCTTAGTCCCATCCAAGACGCCTGTTAGATGACTTTGAAATTCTTTAGCCTTCGTGTTGTTGTCAAAGATGCATTCGTCAAGGGCGTCTATTATTAACACGAACTCAGGGTTTCTTCTCAAAAGTGAAACACAATGAGGCCAGAGGTCATCAAAGGGACAATCTTCCAATTGCGATTTGTACTGGTTCTGCAGCCTGAAAAGCTGCTTGAGGATACTTTCTTCGAATTCATCCACTGGACATAATTTCGGAAGAAGAGTGCTGATAATGGAGGCTGCAAGACTGTTTGGTCCTCGTTGTTGAGTGGACACGTTGCTTTGAAAGGCATGGGTGACGATGGTACGTAGTGTTTCAGATAAATGTCTCCAGGTTTGATGAGCAAGGACAGATTTTCCACATCCTGTGCAACGATTGGTTAAATATTCCATCATACCTGACTAGAAACTGACTTACCCAGCTTGCCAACAATCCACAACATTCCAGCAGATTGACTGTCCAGCCATGTCTGGTACTTTGGATTCTCCTTGAGCCATTTCGGCTGAGCGTCGGACGCTGCAGCAACAAAATTGCATGGGCGAGCGGTAACGAAATTCGCCATTGAATCAATGTAGCTGTGTATCTTAGTAATGTCTAGGTTCTTTTGAGATTCTCCTGTACAGGTTACGTCAGCGCAAGAAAACATTTAGTCACCTAACCGTGAGTAGTCGCCTTCTGCTTCCCGCTAGCAAGTGACCTAGCTAACAATATATATATGCCTTTTAACTCTCAAATACGTAGTGGAACGAGAAATGCAGTGTTTTCGTATTACCTTTCTTTCTTGATTCACATGCGTCAAACGCTTCGACCACGGCTCTTTCGGTCGCTGGGCAAAGTATTAGCTAAGATAACGTGATAAGGAAGATGCCTCAGGTAGCCTATATACTCGAGGGAGCATTTCTCGAAGCTGAGATATCTGTATAACTGCCGGTGGCGATGTTGCGATTGAATCTCTACCCCGCGCCGATCAAGGACGTCGCCTCGCTTCTAAATATAAGGCTGTAGGTCCCGTGACTGGGAATCTGGGATAAGCCCAGCTGTCACACGTATGTTCCAGGACAATCCTTGTGACAGTAGCATTCCCTACATTCCAAAGACGTAAAGGCGGGTAATTTAAACCTCTTGACATACCTGTAGGGATTCGAAATTCTAATTGTCCCAGAAGGTCCATGCTGTGCTCAAAACCTATAGGTCCAGAATGTTAGCTTTGGTCCAGCTTTATCATGGGTGACCCGGTCATTTCAGGCTGCATACCTTCCCAATTGGCTGCCCTGTCGAGTCGATCTGCGGCGTCCCGTAATTTCGAAACTTTCAATACGAATTCGTCTCTAACTCCGTTGAAGAAGGAGGCTCTTTTCCTGGCTGCGATTTATGGCCAGTGTTAGAAAAAGGTCGTCGGCACTTGGAAAAGATTGACGTCTTACCCCACTTGCTCCGCTCCAAATGCTCACGGGCAGACTGCAAGAAGTAGATTACCTGGACGTATAGATGGATTGTAGCGTCTTGTACGCTCTTACGATGTCCGAAGCGACGAGCCATTCGAGACCATCTCTCCGTTTGCTGTACCACGAGCAGTATACCGTCCGCCGTTACTTCAATCGCTTGCTCGATATCCACGATGACCTGGCTTCGTTAGCATGGTAACACCTGTGTACACAGTGAGGATCGCTACCCGTAAAAGGAATCGTATCGAGCCCCAGACGAGGGCTGTGAATTTCGGTTCTTGCTGGATAAACACGTTGATGACCTGCGCATTCCTCTCTAGAAAAAACACGATCTTGAAGAAGACGCCCTTCAATTTACCTCTTTTTCTCACCGAATCATCCAGCGCCTTCTGTGCTGTCTGCGCAGTGAGAACAAGGTCTTGGACTGTAATGCTGGTGTTTTGTTCGATCTTGTCCAGATCTACCGTCGAATGACTACCTTCGGCTAGCGAGGGCTTGATCGTGTTTTTCTTCTTCTTCTGTTTACAATGTTGCTTTGCTCGCGCCTCCTCATCAACGATCTGACCGTCCCTCAAAGGTCAGTCACACACAATAGCAGGGGTGAAGAACCAACGGATTCGTAAAGTGGAGACAGCCACCAACCTCATTTGCTTTTTGCCAGCAAACAGCATCTTTCTCTATGAATTCTGATATTTCCGATTCTGATAGTTCGATTTCGTCCTTCATATTGTTCATGTTGCATCACCAGATAGGGTGGTTTAACAGTCTGTTGTAGTGGATGGACAAGCCTTCAGTTGTGAAAACAAATTTTCTCAGCTACTCTTCTTTCTATGCTGTCACAAATGGTTAAGCCTCAGTAGTAGACATTTCTGCCTGCTTGTTTCGGGGCCTCAAAGTGAGGCGGGATTTGGAGAAATCAGGCTCTCAAGCGCAGTTTGGGATCTGACAAGGTTGTCACGAGCACACCTTACATCTGACCACACGTTTTTCAGTGTAACACAACCCCAACTCACCGGTGTCTCAATTCCCAACAATACAAGTCCAATCAAGGGTTTTGCCTAAATGTGATGGAAGGCCTCAAATTTGGCCCAATTGCACATTGGTCTGAGTAAGACTTCTGCCTGATCAGAGAATATCAATCGGGACGCAGAGCCTCACTGATACAATGACATGTGATGGACAGAGGACAATATTAATGGGAGAACTATGGTTGAATGACCTGTAACCCAGAAGTGCAGGCAGTTCAGATACTATCAAGTAGGAAATGAAATCGTGACTAAACTGTCTATTGACCGGATAAAACTTCAAAACAACTAAAGCGCTGCAAACACTGCAGTCTAATGGAAATAAGGATGCTAGAGTAAAAGGGCACTGCTTTATGCCTTATCAGATAAACCCCTTGTTTCTTCCCCTGGCACCCTATCGTCGCTCGTCCCTTCTGCTTCTCCTGGCTCTCTGAGGTGTACGGGCTGTTGAATGCCGTACTTGTTCTTCTTCTGGGGCATAATCAGCTTCGTACCTCGGCTGTTCATACGATTCCTCTCCAAGGGTCACAGAGCCTAGTCTGTCGGCAAGATCCTGGGGGCTACTTTGAGAGTTGTACGATGGGTACGTGGGTGACTGTGATGGGTTTTGATCTTGATAGTAGTAGGACTGTTGGTTATACGGTTGCTGCTGGGTATAGGGCTGCTGTTGAGCATAATATTGCTGAGAATAAGACTGTTGTTGTCCATACGGCTGCTGCTGTTGCCCATACGATGGTTGTTGTGGATAGCTTTGGTCTGGGTCGGATTCTTGGTCAGATGAGACTTGTTGGCCTGGGTCTTGTTGAGCAAATCGACGTTCTCTTCCCATTGGCTGCCTGTATGAGCTTTGTCCTGATGTCCGTTGTTCGTAAGACTGTTGCCCTTGATAATGTTGTTGCGTTGTGACCTGTTGACTGTACACGCGCTGCTGAGCAACAGGCTGCTGTCCATATGAGTCAGGCTGTCTGGTCTGTTGTTGCTGCGGATATGAAAACTGCTGGGTATACGGAGGAGACCGCGGAGCGTATGTGGAAGACTGAGTGTAAATACCGGGTTGTTGATGTGACGACTGAGGAGCCTGTGACGTATTGCTTGCCGCAGCAGGGTAGCGACTATAAGAAGGAGGAGGTTCGTATACGTCCTGGTTAGAAGCATAGCCTTGGTTGGTGTCTCCAGCTACACTTCGAGACGAGCCACCTCTTCGTTGGCTGGAGGTGTAGTCGTCGCTTCTTCTAGCAGGTTCACGAGAGAAGGTGCTTGTTGAACCATACGCACTATCTCGTTGGCTGCCACTTGTTGAAGCTCTTGATGACCGTGGCGAGCCAACCGCCTCTGCTCTATCGCGTTGTTCTCTCCGAGTACTGGTAGAAGACCTGTCACTTCTGGAGCTCCGATGGCGGGAGGACGAACTGCCAGATGCCTGGTCACTTCCAGTTCTGGAGCTGTGATGTCTGCGAGAAGTTGAATGTCGATCTGAGGTTTGACGTCGGCCACTGGTTTGCTGCTGACGGTAATCCCGATCGATGGGCTGTGTTTCACCTTCGGATGTTTCCTCATAATGACTGTCGGGACAATAACCCTCATGTTCCCGATCGCGGGGCAACGCAAGGCCATTGGTAACATCCCCACCAGGAATCCATATCGCATGTCGTCGACAGAAGTAGCCGTTGCCACAAGAACACTGAACAGATCTCCATTGTCGATATTCTTGTTCCCAAATCGCATGTTCTTCCTCATCCTCGGGATCTGGCTCTGGCCTTGGGGTCACGTTCAATTGAGGAAAAGTGTCGCAGGCATTTGCTGTACTGATGGAACGACATCCTGGCGCGCCACACACTTTTTAAGAAGGTCAGTTGCTTTGAATAGTCGCTTGAAAAACATACCAAGTACTTACTGGTTCTATCGGTCTAGTCTTTTTTATAATGACATTAGTGGATGAAATGTTATCATAAAATGGTTGAAGGGATGGCAAAGACCAAATCCCCAGCCGACTTTCGATTTGGTGGTTTTAGATCGATTTTCGGGTAATGTTAAATGGACCACTGGAATTCCAATATTACGTAGTTCGAGTCCCTTTGCCGCTTTCACTGATCAATGGTCAGATGATATCCGCCCCCCAAATTCCTCGAGGGGGCCACACCATTTTATACCCTGGTAACCCTTAGAGGTCAAGTGCTGATGCGGGTCACCCGCCCTTCTGTTTGCCTTTGTCCTTTGAAAATAGTCTTTAGTCTTTGAGGGAATTTGATGAGCCCATTTTCCATGGCGCGGGTCTCACCGCAATCGGCCGTTGCGCCTGCGCCTGATAAGACAAGGCATCCAGAGAGGCGCATAGCCGCCAGTCAGCTCTACTTTTGAGGCTCTTTTGCACATCTCTTAGCCTGTTATGCGCAACCAGGCTCTGAAGCGATTCATCCATGAAGGCCCAACGTCAAGGCCTAACGTAACACAAGAAGCTAAGCACCAGCATCTCACATTCGAGGAGTAAGTTCTTGGTCCATACGATTCTGCGTTTCCGACATCCAACACTAGAGTCTTTTACTGGTTTGATTTATTTTGTAACTTAGACTCTCCTTAGTGGTGAAGTATCACTGTAGATCAGTTCGTTGGTACCCCAGTTAATCGATGCCTATAAGGCTCTCTGAAGAGAGGCTTGAGAAACATTGAGCAACCCCGCATCGCCTCACATCATCTTTTCACCATCTTTCATGCGCCAATGTTACTTGTCAATAATGTAATACTTGTTTTTATGTTGCCAAAGACTAGCTGTGGTATGATCTTTTCGTATAGTTGTAGAACTCATTCTATAGTTAAGCTTCCACCTGAGGTTAAGCAGCTAATATAGCCGTAGTGAATTGATTGGTTTCCCTGTGGCAGTCAAGGGTTCATAAACATGGCAGAGACGTAAGACAATAGTTACCATAAATATAACAAATTACTAGGTTAAGAAGTGGTGGTATGTATTCCAAATTAAACCAAAGAGTCATCCATACTTCGCAAATCTTTGATCGTGTTCCAAGCGATTCACACACCTCGGTGTATATGAGCCCGGGCCTGTCTAAAGGTTACTGCGGGGTGCTCAGGATCCTGGGCAGATTAATAGATTGGTATCTTCTGACGACAGTAGCTATGACATCACATTCGAGGCACGGCGAGAGCGAACTTCCGTAGAAGAAGACGTAATATGCCTTGACTACTATTCCTCATACTCTTGACTATATCTCGTCGAAAAGTCTACAACGGTGCTCGAAACTGGATATCGAACAAACATGCGCATATTGTATGTCCTCAGTTTGTTGGCTACTTCGGTTTTTGTTCTTTCAACCGATTGTAAAGTCGATGAAGATTGCAGCTTGAACGGCATCTGCTCAAAGCGTTTGAAGAAATGCCAATGCGATCCAGGATGGATTGACCCCGACTGTGGTCGACTTGATCTTGCACCTACAACACGCTATGCCGGCTACAACTATACCTACATGCCGCCTGGTCTCGACGACTTCAATATTTGGCCCAACGCATCTTGGGGAGGCCGTATCATCCAAGATCGCGACAATAAGCGCCTTTTCCACCTCTTTACAGTTCAATTCACCCATGGATGTGGACTGAGAGGCTGGCGTCCGCATTCGTACATCATTCGCGCTGAATCGTATAAAGGACCCCAGGGACCATATCAATACGCTGATGCTGTGTCCAACAATTTCGCTCATAACCCGGACATCGTTCATAGCCCTGCCGATGAAAAATATCTTTTGTACAGCATCGGTGTTAACTACGACAAAGATTTCACCAAGTGTGAGAGAATCAGTCACACGAAATGGCCGAACAATATTTCTCTATCCACTACAGACGATATTCGTGGTCCTTGATCGTCATCCGAGATGGTTGTCAACAGTAATCGTCCTGCTGGTATTCACGCAACCAATTCATCTGCCTTCCCTCTATGGACATGCAAGAGCCCCACAAGCGAGATCATACTCGGTATGAAGGATTATTATATCTTCAGTGCAAAGTCATGGCATGACAACTACAAGCTCAAGTACCAAGCCACGTGGAACGTCACAGAGCAAGGTAACCCAGAATGGACCGAAGACCCACTCATCTGGCGTGATAAGAGAGGCCACTGGCATTCAATCAAACATTGGATGATCGACTACGTGGAAAACAACAAACAGCAGTGGTCTCGCGTAGGATCACATCTCTTCTCACGAAAGCTCACAGGACCGTGGCACTTTAAGCTCCAAGAGGCTTTCAGCTCCAACGTCACTTTCACGGATGGATCATGGCAGGTTTTCAAGCGACGAGAAAGACCGAAACTGTTCTTCAGCGACGATGGTGAAATGAAACCGCTGTACATGACTAATGGGGTACAGGAGATAAACGAGACGGGTGCTTCTTTTACGCTTGTTCAGCCGATTGGTACGAGGTGGAAGAGGTTTGAGAAAGACTTGGGTTTCGGAGAATCTTAAAGGCTGGCATGGTCTGTATTAAGGCCATCGTATCATGTGTTACTGTATCTATTCGATTCTTTCCAAGAGGAGATACATATTAGGCTACCTCCAAAGTCCATTTCCCCAGCTCACCCGACAGCCATCTATTAAACACCTTTAAGCTGAACAATCAAGGCCTTTATTGATCCTTCGCTGCCTTGCATCAATATAGACGAAGGGCGATATCCCATGACAGGAGTATGACAATTCCATACGTGAAGCTATCACCAGTCGATGAGAAGCACTGGTCATATCATATGCGAAGCCGGTTTAGCTTCGTTATTGACCGGTGTTAGTGGAAGTGTAAGATGTAACACTAACCATACGATTTATCTGGTTTGGGTTTTATTTCCCAGGCGCAGAATCCTCAGTAAATTTAGGATAGGGATCTTTGGGGGATCAAAGTTTCAATGAACAGTATGGTGATCGGAGGTTGTGGCTGTAAAGTCCTTCTTCAGTTTCTCCTATTGAGATTAATTGCAGAATGATTGCTGAGACATTATGGCTACTGTTGCTTGATACTCCTAACTTTGAGTTCAACATTCTAACCTTTTCTGGAGTTTTTCCTTGTCGCCTTTTAACTTTAGACCTCCGCCTTTTGGTTCTTGATACAGAGCATTCACCACAACGAGAGGTAAACGCATCACTGCCTGTCATTTACAGTTTACTGTGGTGCAATTGGCTTATGGATTTTGAAGAGTTTCGAATTTTACAGCACTGTACCACGCTATGACACATTCACCGAACTCTGTAATCTCTACAAATTCCCTTGCGGAGCCTGGAATTTAATCATAAATATGTAGACCACCTTTTTCATGCTATCTTTTTCATAAATCTGACATCGACAACCACGCTCGCACCGCTCCACCGCATCCGGCACAGCACCCAAAATGGATACACCATCATTCGAATCCTTCCCTGATCTGCCTGCTGAGCTTCGTCTGCAGATATGGGAAGAAGCTTGCCATGAAGCCTGTCGTGAACGAGAGGCCAACCACCCCGGTGTTCAGTACACCATAGTCCGAGAGAGCTCTCCAACACGTATTCACCTAGTTCACCAACCCGTCCACCTCGATGGGAATGCGAGATCAGGTACTATGAGGGACGGTGGTCTTTGGCTAGCCTGCAAGGAGTCACGAGGCGCCATCCAAGAACACTGGCCCAACGGGCCTGGTAGCGGAGGAAAGGTCCTTACTGGTGACGAATGGTCCTACTACGTGCACCCCGGTCATGATATCTTTTGCATTCAAGACCCCGAAAAGATCAAGCACGATGATGTCCATTCGGCCCTTGACATATGCACATGGGCCTCTCCAAGAACCAACTACTTTCATAACATCAAGAATATTGCCATTGAATTCGACCCTTCGTGGATCAAATGGTTACCAAGGACCTACAAGAATATGTCGGCAGAAAGCACTCCCCGCGGATTTCTAGCGCGACTACTCCGCAGCCAGTACATGAGTGACAACCATCAAACAACAGTCTGGATCGTCGACAACGAGATGAAATGGTCGCGACGTCCGAGCAGCTGCTACGGCACTGCACCTATGCCCGACTATAACAAGAAGTTTATCAACTGCCACGAAAGCTACGTCGAAGCCTTCCCTAGCAATACATGCCACTACTGTTCAGATAAGAGGAGTCTGGCTCTTCGAACCTTCTTGTTCAGTCTCAATGTCCGTGGCGAGCATTTCGAGACCGAGCACCCCAGCTACGTCCCCACCTATGACGATTTGATAGACAGTGGTTTCGACGTCCCCTTCGAGATCGCGGAGGATATTCGAGTTCTCGCCCTTGCATGCAACGAAGTCGAATTTTGTAGAAAAGATCATCGCCAAGATCGTCCCACGTGGAGGGATTGCGTGTAAGGTACTACTCATCGAGAACAATGCTTATAATGAGAACACGAAGAAAAAGAAATGCATTTGGAGCCCCCCCCCCCCCCCCC